AATTTTCCTCCTTTTTATGAGAAAAATATGTCTTCCGCTTTTCTTTCTAACATAATCGAGGCCAGCATTTCACTCTCGAATGACCTTGTATGTCCTTTGGGCCTATAATAGAGAGAAAAAGAAAGGCAGAGAAAAAAAAGAGACGAAATTGTTTTTGCTCTTTTCAGTCCTTTCCAAAATTTTCAAAAAAAAATTTTGTTTTCTAGAAAATCAAGTTTTTTTCTCGAAATTTTCGATGAGATGAAATCTTGTTATAAGCTTCCTAAACGAATTCCAGAAATTAGGCTAATCTCATCGAACAAATGAAAAAGATACTTTTTGCCAACTTTGATGACTCTTTTTTGTTTCTTGAGACTTTTATTCGGTCCCTTCTCAATCTTCATCATTTGAACACATGCAAAAAGGCCTTTACACTCACTCAGGCGTGTGTGTCTTTCCTTGCCGCTTTGTGTTTGAGTGATTCATTTCCCATTTCACATTTCGACCGGCAACCGATCAGAGAAACTTTATCAGTTAACTATCTTCTCTGTTTCAGTTTCAAAAAGGGGTAAAAATGCAAAAATAGTTTATTTTATGAAGAGATGGGTAAGTACGGGAAAAACTTCCGAATCAAACAAAAATGAAATGAAACCTTCCAGAAGTTTTTTTAAGAGTTTGGAACTGGTCTCATGTAGAATGACCGGCAGCGAAACCCGTTTTAGGTCGGGCGAATTTTCATTTTCATAGCTCCTATCATCGGTCACGTGTTTGGTCATTCCACGTGCGACCTTCTGTGAGAAAAATCAGAATTAAGTTGAGAACGCTTCAGAAAAACACAAACTAGTTTTTTTAAAGATATTTTTATATATCTTCCAACTTCAAGATCTTCAAAGTGAAAAAAAGGAGCAGAACGTGATCAACTTCCCCACTTTCATTTTTCTTTTAATAGCTATGTGAAACGTATCTTAATGTCTTTTATCATTCAAAGGGTCAAGATAGTGATGACTGATAAGGATATGTCGACAAACAACTGAGCAATTTCAAGAAAAATAAAGTTTTGAAATTCCCTTTCTTCGAACTTTTTCCGTGAGCATTCTTTTTGACTACGAGATGGCTTTAAATGTCGTGATTCCAATCGAAATTAATTGACACTGCCTTTGAGCCATTTCAAATGCGGTCATGAGCTTTGAACTTTATTCAGTTTCATGAAACTTTTATTACTAATATTGAAAGTTGCTTCAACTTACAAGGAAGGTCATTTTGGGGATTCCTTGAAAATTGGCCAGAATACTTGACGTACCAGAAGAGTATTCTGAAAGTTTCAAACTGCAAAACTTCCTAGTTTTTCAGAAACGAGAGCTCGAAGCTTCAAAATAGCTTTGAGGCGTAGTTGTGCAGGTTGAGACTTTCAGAATCGTCTTCTGGTATATCAAGTAGTATCCTGGCCAATTTTCAGAAAAATCCCAACCCCAAAGTAAAATAACCTTTCTTATTAGGACTATGATTTTATGAATTTTCTTTTTTCGTATGTCTCAACGTCTTATCAGCGATTACTCAAATCCTTTTTTCTCTCGAATTTTCGATGTAATCCATTCCTAAGAACATCTAATCGCGGAAAAAGGTCTACAAAGTAGTTGAATCGAATCAAATAGCTGCGCTATTCAGCTGCTAATCTCATTCGATTCAATTCAAATGTGGACAACCCAAAAATTGAAGGATATATATGTGTGTGTAGAAAGGTTTCCGCCTTCTCTCTCTCTCTCTTTCTTTTTTTTTTGTTCTTCGTTTATTTGTGTTCTATGCATGGGCAGATTAATGGGAACTTCCGCTGCCCTGAGGGCTTCATCGTTTTTAATAGCCCATGGTCGTCTATTTACGATTACGAGCGAGAAGCCCATCTTAGACTCTGATTATTTCTTTGCCTTTTTCCGAATATCATCTTTTTTGTGAATGCTTTTAGAAAGATTATCAATGCCAGAGACACTTTTAAGCCTTAGGGGGTGGAAAAAAGCTAAGAATCTTGTCGCCCAGGCTTTTCACGACTTTATTTTTTTCTTCTTTTGACAACTTTGAGTTTTCTCTAACACTTCTCGAAACTTACGAGCCACCTTTTTCTGAGTTTTAAAAGCTGAAAAGACCATTTTTCTAGAGAGTGAGACTGGACTTCCGATTTTGAGGAAATTGAAAGTTTTATATGTTGAACACGGGAAGTCACTTCACTTGAAGGTTTGAAATTTTCTAAAAATTTGCTCGAAAAAATCTCTAAAGGTTTATGTGAAGATCCATCTAAATTGCAACCCGCGCCAGCTTCTATTTGTTTAGATAATTAACATTGAAGGTCGAAAAGTTAGGCCTGAAACCAATTTTTCGCAGCTTTTAAAAATCATATCTTAAAAACGACAAGTTTGCGCTAATGGATCTTCATCCAAACTTTCAAAGACCGTTTGAACAAATTTATAGAAAATTTCGCAAAGTAAAATGACCTCCCTTGTAAGAAAAAGCTTGACGTCTTCTCGAAATTGTAGTCTTGTTCCTTCTAAGAAAGGATTTTTTCCTGCCTTGTTCCAGAAAATGTACTTTGCGCGAACAAATCGTCGAGCCACCTCTTATCTTATCACCTTTTTTTCTGCCTCCAAAAGCTTACTCAACCAAGAAGTAATTACCCGAAACCCGTTGAAACGTCGTGATCCCACCATAAATCTTCTGCCAAAGTGGCTGACTTCTTTTTTTGACCCACACTTTGTGCCACAATTCCTGACGTGTCTGCGTCATTAATTTTTGCAAACGGATGGGCGTGGCCAATCGACGAGACAGCGGAGGGTCGGAGAGAAACGAGAGAAATCATTAAAGGCGCATGCATTCGGACGGCTCAATGGGTTTTTCGTGTGTGGGGGTTAGGCCTCCACGGAAGAAGCTTCTTAGCGACAATTTCCGAGTAGCGAGCATCATATTTGTCGGCGGAGCAGAACAACAACACTCGTTAACGCTCCATAGTGCGGGAAATTAGATCTTTTTGGCCTTTTCCACTCAATTGGTTTGGTTATTTTGCAAAGTTCTCACAGGTTCAGGCGTCGGATTCGTCTTGAGAATGTCAGTTTTGAAGGTCGAAGAGGCTAATTAAGGCTCATTTTCAGCTTATGAATCAGAGGAAGTTATTAGGATCTTCAAACTTTCGTCACGATGTGGAACAGTCTAACTTCACTGCGCTCTCTTTTCTCTTGCAAAGGAGAGTTCAAGAGGGCACAGACAGGTCAGACTGTTTCAAGTCAAAAAAGGTTTTTTTTTTCTTTCTTGATGTTTGAGAATTTTCAGACGGACAGATGAAAAGTGAGCAAATTGTTGAACTTTGCAATATATTTTTCAGGGAAAAAGGCCTCAAATAGACTACTTCTCATAATAATCGAAACTTTTGGAATTTTATTGATCGGGAAAACTTTTCTGAGCTTTGATTACTCAGAAAACGGAAGATGAAAGGTATAATTTTCAAAATTTGCAATTGAGTATCTCCATGAAATCATTGATAGCGGCAGTCGTAAGTCGTTTCATGGTCGGGCACACAGCAAAGGTCACGCGTTGAGTCATTCTCCGTGCGACCAAGATACCTCAAGAATCGATGAAAAAATATTTCTTCAAATAGATGACTTTTTCCAAAGAAAATCCAATTTGGAGTTTTTTCTGTAAATAACTTACAGCTCACTAAAAAAATTACTCGAAAAAGTTTCGGGTTGACTCTGAAACCCGCGAAAAAAAAACTCCGAGCGCCAGCCTCTTGACGGCTTTTTTACCCTTCAAACTACATTATCCTCACTTACACTTCAATGTGCGTCCAATAGATGAATTGAGTAAGAGAGCGTGATTGGGCCGACGAACGAAAGAATTCTTTTTTTTTCTTTCCTTTCCTTTTTTGTGTCCAGCGAGGGACGAATTTCCCCCGAGGAGGGTCGTCGGCATTTTTTTTTTCACGCGGATCCTACTTAAAGGGGAGAGCGAGAGAGACAACTTTGCTTCGAGATTTTTGGCGTCTTAATAAATACCTGATGAGGTATGAGTTATTTTCTGGTTGCACCTGGCTGGTCCAACTTCCCTTTTCCATTTTTTCTTATGAGATTTTGAAGGTTATTAAAAGGTAACTAAAAGCTTCTTGGCTTGATAAAAATCCCGATCGCCTCCCTTTAAAATTGAAACATTTCCCCACTTTGCGTGTCAGTCCGTTTTGCCGATAACGCTATCAATTTGTGTCAGAGAACATTCTTGTTTTGAGTTTTTGTTGCCGTTTTTTTGTTCTCTGATGGTCCGAAATAGTTGAAAAAACTTAAAATACTTCTACTGTTTTTTTGTATTTTTTTGGTATTCTCTAAGAACAGGAACCACTAAAGGGGTCACTAAGCACTTGATCAAAAGATCAATTTTCGGCGGCGCTTCAGATGAGATGGGTTTTTGGAATTGTTTTTTTCTCAAAGGTTAGAGAAAAAAATCTCAAAAAGTTCATTTGAGATTTCTTGAAACTGCCAATTTAGGTGACATTCGGAATTATTATTAAACTTTTTAAAATAGTTTCAATTTTGATATTCAGCTATTTTGAGCTATAAAGTCTCCTAAAACAACTACCGTACTTCTTAGATATAAAAATTTATCCAAACTTCAAAATATGTTCCAAAGACCAACTAGTTCAAAGTTCCAAAAAAGTCATCATTTTTATATTCTTTTCAAAACAGCTCGTTGGTTTTTTACTTTAAAAAAAGTTGAGTACGACTCAAGACTAACTGAGGAACTTGAAACTATGATATTTCATAATCGTTTTTTCACGACATTCCTCTTTAAATTGGTGGTTTCAGACACCCTGAAATGAACTTTTTCAAAGTTTTCTTCAATTTTTGAAACTTTCAATTATCATCTTTTTTGACTAAAAGGATATTTCTTCCTTCAAAAATTTTGTTTTAGGAAGCTGCTTCGAATCTAGCCTACTGTAATCGCAGAATCTTCAGACCCAGTTCTTCAAGTTTAAGTGCCAATAGCAAAAAATGAACCCTCAGAGTGACCTCTTAGACGATAACTTGGACATTTGGCGGTTATCCGGAGACGGCGGCCGTCCATCGGTTGTCTCGTTTTTGTTCGAGGGCGAGAGTGTCGCTTCAGAGAGAGAGGGAGAGAGAGAAGGCGCTCGTTTCTCTGGGAGCCACTCTCTCTCGTCGCCACCACCACCTTTCCATACAAACACCGTTTCCACTCAGGTCGAAGCGTCACCCAGGCCGTCGGTCGCTGCCCTTTTGTATACTGTTTCCATCTTGGCACTGTCAATTGCTCAACGGATTCGGTTCCCAGGTTTCTGATCCCAACTGACCCGGAAAGCTCTTCTTTCCGGTGTTGATCTTCAAAAAACTTCTTGAGACTATTTGATCCCTTCAAACTCTATATAGACCTTGTCTTTTGATCCATGGATCCTATTACCGCACCTCAGAGCTCAAAGATTTGATCTTTCTCACCATTGCAACTTCTGCAAGACTCTAGGTTCTCTAAGTGTACCTTTTTACATTGATCCCAGTCCGGCGCCTTTAAATAACCGGAAATAATTCCTGGAATGTAAGAAAAAGTATATTGCGGTGTTGATACTCCGGATATATATCTCACTCAAAGTTAGAATTCATTCTGAACTTTCGGAAGCTTCCAGTATTTGAACAAAGTCATCTACAACATCTCGCTCAAATTTAGAGTTAATTTTGAACTTTCGGAACCTTCCAGTAGTTGGAAAAAATCAACTAAAAAAAAAGAAATTCGATTCTGAGTCATCCAGTACTTTTTCCTCACATGAAATCTTTGAAACGTTTTTATACGAATTTCAAAAGTTCAGAGTTCTTTGTGTACGTTTTTGCAAGACTTTTCGATTTCACAGTATAATTGAATAAGCCGTGAGAAAAAGCTCAATGTTCTTCCTTTCGTTGTGAAATTTACCATCATTCTTCTTAAAACACGGTTTTGGACCTCCTTCAACTTGTACCTTTTCACCCTTCATCTCTTTTTTATGCTCACTCAGGGAAAGTAGACGTCGTAAATTAAGTTAGTATGTAGTTTGGAAAAGTGAAAAGAACTCGAATTTTGAAGCCATGCTGGTTTTCTATGTTGCAAAACAGCAGATCAAAAATGCTTTATCAGAAAAAAGAGAAGAAGAACTTGTCAGGGAGTGTTGCTTGGTCTCTGATGTATCGTCTATCCGTTCTCTTTTCCTCGCCTCTTTATTCCGGACAACAGACAAAAAGTTCCTGAAAAAAAAACCTCATTTTTTATGACCTTTTCCTCTCAAATTCGCCGCTAATGCCATGGCGTTTTCGGTGGGAGGGCGCTAATCACACGTCTTGCTCCCCTTCACAAACGATAGAGATGAGGAGAGTGCGCGACGATCGAGAGAGTGTCAGATGGAGCACATAAATCAGCTGGAAGCGGAATATTTGAATTGCCGCCCTCTCTCCCGTTCCTTTTCGCATCGTTTGCAGTTTTGTTTTATGGTAATTTGGGTCGTCCCGCTTGTCCTGTTTCAATTGTTCCCATTTTTCTTCGAGAAAAGATGGATGAGAAGCTCAAGTTCAAGCTGTAGTTTACCTTGGGGACGTCTAAATCTCTTGTAATTTCTCGGAAGTTTCTTAGATTTTAAAATCTCATGTCCAGTGGTTTTGCAGAATGAAAAAATCCCGGATAAAAAATAAGATTTTGAATCTATAAATTTGAAACTATCCGTCTGTAACGAAGTCATCTCTAGCTCGTCACCAGGTAAGCGTAGATTACTGTAGGCTCTCTTCCTTTCACACACTATTTCGATCTCTTCATGACGCTGTCCCTTTCTTGAAACTTGCTCTTTTTCTCTACCTCCAATGTTTTTCATAAACTGGAAGTTACTAGAATAAAGATAGAAGTTTTAACTTAGGAATAATTAAAACTTTTTAAGCTCATTAGCTTTGAAACCGGAAAGTTTATCAAGTCAGCTGGAGTTTTGGAAAAAAAAACAGTTGGAGTGGCGAACATCATTCAAGTCAACGCAAAGAACCCTTCAAAAACGCGCGTTCTCTTTCTAAAAAAAAAATTTTTTTTGCGAAATTTACTATCATCTTATTTTTTTCTAAGACTTTTTCATTGAGATAAGTTGCTTTGATAACTTTCAATCAAACTCTCTAAAAAATCAAAATTTAGAATGATCCCTTCTCATTGAAACAACGTTCAAACAATAACTGTTCCCGTCCCTTGTAAACAAAAAAGTTGAAGAATTCGTGATGGTTAGGAATTTCCCAAGAATCAATTGGTTTTGAAACGCGTTTCGAGAGTGTTGATAAGGGTTTCCTGTCGTCCAATCAAAAGTGGCGTCTGGTTGCACCCTACTATCATTCGTCGTTTTTTCTTCGTAATGGACCCTTTGGGAAGTTCCGCAGATGTTTTTGGAAGATCTGGGAGAAGTGCGAAAAGTGTCACCTGCGGAACAGGATTCGCTGATTTCAGGTCAGATTAAGGGTCAAGGTTTGAGAAATTGTGTAAGTTTCAGGAGGAATTTTCATTATAATGTCAGAGAAAAAGCGACAAATTAATAGATCGGCGGTCGTTTGATCTCTCTGTCGCGTCCCGTGTTCCATTTTCGTCTCTCTGTCGTGATTTGTAGGGTTTCAAAAAGGCCTTTATTCTGAAGAAAGTGAAAAAAGTTGCTGAAAATAGTAAAACATATCATTTTGGATATAATTTCAACTTGCGACCAAAGCTATAATCAAAGTTCAACTACTGGCTTCCAATTTTCGAATAGAGTCTGAGATCACCTTTGAACACATACGAGAAAACTTTCAGAGACCACTATAGGGATTTAACGTTTTAGTGGCCACTATAGTAGTGGAATTGGGGACCATTTAAGGGGTTAAAAATTAGTGGCCACTATAGAGGTCTGAGTCGTACTAATTGCAAATTAGCGGCTTCTATAGAGGTGATTTTAGTGGCCACTCTAGTGTCCTCTCCAAGTAGTCCTTTCGGAAACTCTATAGTCGCCCCTAAAAATTTTCCCAGTATCCTAAAAACTTATCGAGTAGCTCAAAAATCAATAATCGATTTTCTCATAAACAATTTCTTCTGTTTGCGTTTTTGATCACGCTAGAGAACAATAAGTTTCTCAACCAAAGATAAAACTTTTCTGAGAAGATTCAAGATTATCTTTGATAAGACTATGGATAAAAGTACGTCAAGAGAATTCTCAATTTGAATTTCGCGGTTTCTTGAAGGACTTGTAAATTCCTTAAGAGTTTTGAAAGTTTTTAGTCAGCCTGACGACATTCTCAACAGAAGACTGATAGGCTTCTCTAACAAACTTTTCATTTTTGAACTTTCGCTCGAGTTTCAGACTACGACGAGCCCAGTTTTGAGTCGAAAAACGCCTAAGGCAACTTGCTCTCGTTCCAATTGGCCATAGACGTTCTCCTCAGCCGAAGCCGGCCCTCCGAGCTAATTAATAAAGCGGTTTGAGATCAAGACAGGTATCGATCGGTTTGAACCGGTTTCCATCTTCCGCTTGCTGCCGTATGGTCCTAGTGTCGTCGTCGCCGTCGTCGTCGTGTCCGCCGCCGTCCCACCAACCACGCCAATTAGCCACGCCCCCATTTGGAAGGAGGAGGAGGTCTCCCACCACGTTCTCGTTCCGCAGACGTGTTGTTGCGATTCTCGCGCCTCGATGATTTCAATTGTTTTTGCCGTTCCCACCCTCTTGTTTATTCTCACTGATGGCTTTATTACACTTGAGCCATGTCGAGTTATCGTCTCACGTCATTCTTCTAGTGATTACTATTGATTAGATAGGAGGACGTTTCGTGCTATGCAACTTCAACTTTGTTTTTCAGACTCCTAAAGAGTTGGAGGACTTGGTTGAAAATTGAAACTCTTTTCTTTACCTGGTCTTTCAAACTTAATCATAACCTTTTTCGCTGATTACAAAGTAGAAGCAACTTCATAAGCTTACCCTTTAACGAAAAAAAAAACTGCCAATTCTCAAGATGGAAAATGGCCAAGAAAATAACTCAAGTTCTAAGAAAGAACCAACAAAAACATCAACTCGAAAAAAGTGCTCAGAACAAGTTCAAAAAAACACTAGGAGCAATCTGAGAAAGTGATTTTCGGCTTTCATTCAGGAGGACGATTCCGAATACACATTTTCGATGATTTAATAAATTCAATTTTCCAGGGAATCAGTTTTTGCACTGACTCTTTTTTTCAACTCCCACAAAGCCGTTTGCACCTTGCGCGCCTCTATTCACGCAGCCGACCAGGGATGTCGTTCCGTTTTTTTCCCAACTTCCCGCTTTCTTTGCGTCTTTCGTTCATTTCAAAACTTTCCTGTGTATAGCGTATCACTTTTTCAATTCCATTTGCCAATGTACATAAACCGAAAACCAAAATCTCGATGAAGGGAAATTAAGGCTTTGAGATAATAAATGAAGAGCTTACTGTAGTAATCTCTGACGTACGCACCATGAGCATTTTGAATTTTTCACATTTTTAAATGACGGACAAAAAGTTTGTTTTTTTCAAAAATTTTTTATAAAATTTAAATTTAAATATTTGTTTTTAACATAACCTCTGCATTTATGTGGTTTCTCTTCGTCTTTTTGCTTTTAAGTTTTGATTTTGGATGCGCAATGGCGTTGAAAGGGCTCCCGCGATTAAATCCTATGTTTCCCTCACTTCTCGGCCTTTTTTTATCGTATTACATTTTTTCCTTATCACATTTTTGCGCGAGACTTTTTTTCCTCATTCTCATTAATCTCTTTTTCTAGTTTGTTTCCCATGAGAGAAATGGATATGAATTTTGGAAAATTTGATAGTTTGGACTAATTTTTTTTTGAAATTTTTTTGTGTTTCCAGTGTTTTAAACGAGGATCAATCCGTTCAAAAAGACTACAAGAATTTCATAAAAAAATTTTCTGTCGCGTCAATTTCACACAAATTGGATGAGTTCTTCACTTTTAATTCGATTTGTCGCCTGTTCTCGCCGCGTTCTTATCTGGATTATATCTTCAATCATAGTCTCTTCAAAAACTCTTAATGCTTTTTGGAGAGGAAAATGGCTCACAAAAGATATTTTTCGGAAGTTTTCAATGTTGAAAAATCAAAGTTCGCCGGTGTTGAAGTAAAAACAAGCCGAAAAAGGACCGCTTTTCAAGACTTTGAATAGAGTTTATGAACAGACTATAGTTCCTTGAGTTCTGCGAATTTTTCCTTTCTTTTTTTTTAACGCCACATGATTTTCCGAAGTTTGATTGTTTGATAAACGCGTAAGTGATTTGTTATTTTTTTTTTTTTTGCAGGGCGAGACACAGCAAAGAGTGAACGCGTTCTTTCGCACTTGTTGGCCCTCGGCTGAGAGAGTGTGTTAGAGAGGGCGAGGACGGCAGAGAGCGATTGGGAGGCGGAGCAGAGAGAAACGAGGCGAAATCGTCGTCGGCGACCAAGTCGGCCTGAACGAACCGAAGGACCGCGGGCTATCCGCCGTTATTATTGCCGCTGACCGCCGACAGGCCGAGAGCATGACCAAGGCTGAAGACGACGAGAGCTCGTGCAGCTCGGCGAGCACCAGCAGCCAGTCGACGGCTCCGGCTGACGCCAACACGGCCGACGTTCTTTTTCCCAACCGTCTCTACGACATCGAGCCTTGCTATTATTCTTGTGGCAAACCGGAACGCGAGTGTCGAGGATTGGTGCGTTTTATTTTTTCTCGTTAGAAGCTTGGTTCAAAAGGTTCAATCCTAAAATCTTCCCTTTCTTAATCTCATAACCTTGTTCTAAAAAGTTGTTTTTTTATATTGAATTTTTTTACCTCTCTCAGTTCGAAAAGTTTTTTTCGGGAATCTCTCTGCTTTCAAAATCTTTAAATTTAGGCCCGTTTTTTTATCTGAAATCGAAAAAAATAATTTTTAAATTCCACTCTACTTTTTATTGGAGTGTTTTAAAAAAATCTTTAGGTTTTTGAATTATGTTTTCCTCTTTGTTATTGATACGCCTTTTCAAGATTTTTTTCAATTTTGACACCTCTGAGGTGTTTTTTTACGAAAAAAATATTTATTGCTCCCTGCAGTCTCCTAACTCTTCTATTTTCCGCTTGCTAAACAATATTTTGTTATTTTTTGATATTCTTGTTGCAAAATCGTTAGAAAGTTATCAAGTTTTAGATTTTTCATTTGTTTCTCACTTTTTTTCTTCTGCATTCCAATTTTTTTTTCTCAAGTTTTTCGGTCTTTTGATTAATCCTAAGCCGAAACGGATGAGATTACCCACGCGATTCTCTCTTTATGAATGTTGTGGCATTCATTGAGTTGGTGGTTTCCATTTCTGGGCTCTTCATAAAAGAGGAATTTTCCAATCAAGCGAGAGTCGCCTCATTTCCCATTGTATTTACTCACCGACAAGAAGAAGAAGAAAAAAAAAACAATACCTAGACTTGACAACTTTTTTCCGTCTTCTTTCCGCTTGCGATCTTTTTTTTTCTCTTGTCTGGTCACCAAACCTTGTATGACCTCTCTGCTCTCTCTTCTCTGGCGTTTGCGCTGCTGGTGATGGCTCTCCTGTGGCGCATTCTTTTGGGTCCAGGGCGACATGTAATCCGAGAGCCGTTGCGTAATGAGCACCGAAGGTCCTTTGGGTTGGTTGGACACCGGGTGCGGACATCTCCTTTTTTTTGCCAAATGAAAGTTCGCCTGCTAAGGTCATCAAGCTGATTCACACATTTGAAGAGTATGAGAAGAGTAGACAGAGAGCCTTTAAAATCCGGAAGAGGAGACTAGTTTTTTGAAGTTTTGAGCTACTTTTTTTAAGTTTGAAAGTACAGTTCCAAAATTTTAACTTTCCACGTCTAGTTTGAGCTTTGGATAAGCTAGAGCTTCAAATCTTACATCATAGCCGTGATAATCTCCATGTTAGTATCCCTTTGAAACGCTTCTTGATATTTTCGAAATTTTTATTTTTAGACGAAACTTTTTTCCCCTGAAGTTTGCATTGGAATTTCTTTTGAATGCCATCGGTTTCTCACATTTCATTCTCTCTCTCCATTTTAGGCTGATCTATCGGAAGTTTCCCCCTTTCACCGCAAAAAAATGAAACAATGATGAATAGCGAAACTTTAATGGCTCAATTATCGCTTGGCCCTTCCCACGAGATTTTTCTCCTCCTTTCTTCGTGGCCAGTTGAAATCGCATACACACCATCGGTCATCCGCGGCAAAAGGCGGATTGTCGTTGGGGTTGAATGGCGAAGGAAGCCTCGCTGTCATATACGATGGTAATAAAATGAGATAGCAGGGCGTTAATTGCTTTCGCCCAATCTTTGTGTCCTTTTCTCCAAATAACTGTATGATTTACTTGTTTTTTTTAGATCAAACTCCATGTAATAATCAAAAAAAAGCAATAGTTTTCAACCAAAAACTTTCTAGTAAAAACTGAAGTTTTAAGAAATTTTTTTTTGACTAATATTTCTCTTTTATATTTTTCAACTTTCGCGGCTTTTTTTCGAAACTGAAACCCCTTTCCAGTTAAACTTGAAAGTTATATAAGGAAATGGATTACTTCAAGAATACTGTACTGCACACACAAGCAGAAATTTTCGTGGCCTAAATAAACACCGACAAAAAGTCCGTTGCGCCAATGCTTGGTTCTTTGAAATCTAAAGTACTGAATGTCATTATTTCTCTTCAAAAAACAAGGAATTTTCTTCTTTTCAGGTTTTTTTCGAAAAAAAAGAAAGAGAAATGACCTTGATGGTTTTCGGACATTGTTACCTACATACTTATTTTTGATTCAATTTTGGTTCTTAACTTTAGACGGCGTCATTCATCGCACCTTATTCAATTGCAGCTGCGAAACGCCTAACACTCGCCTAAGTAGTTGGAGAAGAGAAATAATACGCTAGAAAAGTATTAACGACCAACAAAACATGCCGCCGTCGCCGTTCTTTCGTTCCATTGCCCGCCCATTGGTGCCTTCTTGTTCCGGGGGCACTTTTTTCTTCTTCTCGAGACTTCCTATTTTGGAAAGGTTCGATTTTGAGAGAGAAAGAAGGCTGAATGACTTGACATTCTAGAACCTTTATTTGATCTTTTTTATTAGTTGGAACATAGATCAAAAGTATTATGAGAACATCGGATCTAGAAGACATTAGAGCAGGATAATAGTGTAAACAAATAATTTGTTTTCTAGTCAGTTTTTTTTTTCGACTTTTTTTTGAACCACAAAAGAAAGATCATTTGAGCGGAACTTCCGATTTCCCACTCTTTGATGTAGCGGATAAAGATCCTGAAAGGCGCAACCTGCAAAATTTTGAGAGAAGCGAGAGAACAGGCTTTGAAGCAAATTGAGACATCCAGGATATTCAATTAGTGCACCGGAATAAATTACGTTGTCTAAATTGCAGAAAACTGAAGTTCCGAGAAAAAATACCTCAGTTTTTCTTATTGTGATTTCATCTTCTTTTTCTCGTTTTGAAGAATATTCATAACAATAGTGTAAGTTTAGCCGCACTATTCATTCTGGTTCTCGTGTGGAGAACTGATTTGATAGGGCTCTTAAGACGCTAATTTGTTTTCAACGAGTGGTGTTTATTACACTTTGGGAGAACGGCGTTCAACTTCGCAGTCTCTGTACTCCATAGCTGTCTTTCGGTCGGTCGGAGGTTGTATATATTAGTATGGCGCGTTCGAAAGTGACATTGGTGTCGGGTTACACGCACGCGCTTTGGTTTTGAGTGCGGAAAGGAGGAAAAAAAAAATTGAGGATATTTGGGAACGCTTTGAAGATGAAGAAGAGCAAGGGATCTTGCGAGATGTTTGGCAACTTGAAAAAGAGGGGCAAAAACCTCCTCTTTATGGGATTTTTATTGAGGATTTCTACATTGGTTTCGAAGCGTTCCCCTTATCAGCTTTTATCTCTTAAGCAGCTGTTTTTCCTCTTGGCGCCACTTTTTTTCTGGTGGAAAAAGGGTGTCGGCGACGGGAAACACGCCAAGTCTTGTGACAAATTGGCCTCCCAACATCAAATTCACTTTCCTTGCTTCCCTTCACCCATGCTTAATCATATTTGGGAAGGATTTTGGAGGCGACGAAGCAAGCTTGAAATGGTCGTTGTGTCCAATGATGATTATTTTATGAGATGCAGCAGCAGTTTAATGAACTTGGATCCTCATCATCCGAAGAAAAAAAAACTTTGGGTAATTAAATCTGAGCAGGAAGAGATTGTTTAATCAAGACTATTAAGAACTTCAGAACAGCTAATTTTTTTTTGTAGCCCACTCTAATTTCCCAGTCTTAATGGGAAGCTCTCATGAAGCTTGAAAGCTTTTAGTTCTGAAAACTTTTTAGAGTTTGTTATCTTCGCCGAACAATTTTTCGCAACATTTTGGGAAAAAAGTTATCACATGTTTTTCAAACATCACATGGACCATTCTCTTATCAGTCGCTACTATCAGAAAAAAAGTTGTCCATTTTCGTACGAAAGTTTGACAGTACCACCAATTGTATGACACACATACATGGCGGCAAAAAGCAAAGCGTTTTTTTTTTTTCTCTTTTTTGGAAGTCCAGACGCAATAAGATGAGCGCGGGAAAATAGTGGAACGCGGCGTTTGGAGGGAGGAGGAGCACCTCCTCCCGTCTCTTCAGTGGCAGGAAATGCGGCCAGCCAATAGAGGGTTAAGAACAAAAGCAACGTGAAACCGAACGCGAGGGTCCACCATCCTTCGTTTGGTATAATTTATCTCGAGAGGCCGAGAAGATTGACGAGGGTTACGTCTCCAAGTGTTCCTCACTTCGGAACGGCACCATTTCGATGAAAATAACGAGTTTCTTGTCATACTTTAGAGTACGAGACTACACTTTCTCGGAAATTCATGGCTCTAGAGCCATTCAGCAACGTTTGGAGCATATGAGAATGAACTTTACGTGCATCAGCTGCAGCCAAAAACGCATAGGAATTTTTTGAATATTGAAATTTTTTCAGAAACTTTGAAGTCACTTGCATTAAATTGAGAAAAAAAGGAAAATTGTATAATTAATTAACTTCTTGAAATTCTTCAACTTTCCAACTTCATACGACTTAAAATTGAAAAGAAGTTTCTTTCTGAACTTTCCATTCAAACACTTTTCAAGGTTATCAGGCGTTATGGCTAATCTATGACAGAAATCGCGTGAATCCATCATTTCGCCCCCCTCTCGGCCGCTGCCCTGAATCGACCTTGAAGCCGATTTCTTGCCTTTTTTGTCTCACCTTTGTCTTAATTATCATGGAATTTTGAAGAGCAATCACCGTTCAATCGGCTGTTGTTTTTTTTTCGACGCTCACAAAAAGTGTTATGTGCACATAGAGACACACATATGTGTGTGTGGCTGTGTAAATAGAAGCGACCAGCTCGGCGTGCGGTGAAGGGGTCGGCAATGGGAGAATGAAATCAAGGTGGCTCAGGACTTTTTATTGGGAGGTTCAACCAGTTTAGAATAGGTTGATCCTTTGAAACCTCAGGAAGAAGGGCTGAGAAGACGCTGACCATAATCAAACTTTGTACACCTAAAATTTTAAACTTTCTCTTCCAATCAAGATGGAATCCTGCAGTTTTTAAAATGTTCTGTTCTACTTGAAATGTTTGATTTTCTTTGTACCGCCTATTCCATATCTCTTTTAGTGTTCTTTTGGACTTCTATAAAGTGTATTGATTTTTTTAAAAAAATTTTTTTCTTGAAAAATTAAAACTTGAAATGAATCATAAAAAGAAAAATTTTTCCAAGCTTCCAGGAACATGAAGTATCACCATCAAAAAAATTGAAAAAAATAAACTCTTGGCAAATAAAGGAAAAAAACCAAATTTTTGAGTCAATATAAAGTTTTTTTAATTTTTTTAAAGGACCGAACTTCAGCGTGGTTGAAGAAAAAACAGAACGTTTTCATTTTTTAGTATGAAACTTTGATCCTATTGAACCCAAGCTTCACTTCAAGCTCCCGAAAACGTTTGCAACTTCTCATGATTCAGGTGTACCGGTACCGGTCAGACAGCGAACTGAAAGGGTTTGAGTCGCACGACGGCGTGATTTACCAGCCTGGCGACCACGTCTTCATCGAAGTCTCACCAACTGAACCCTACGTCATCGCCAACATCACCTCCTTCCGATATGTACGCTCCGTTTTTTTTCTTCAATTTTCAAACGTTTCCAAGCTCCTTCATTCCTTAGTCAAAAGGGTATTCTCCGGCTTTCGATGATGTGGCTTAGTGGGAGGGCGGTTGATTGAATTATTCATAACGAGTTGGCGTTTCTCCAAAACGCATGTGAATATGAGACGTTGAATAGAAATAGCTCTAATTTTCACATGAAAAGTCTAAACTTGAGTCTTTGAGAGAAGAAAGAAAAAAAATGGAGAATTCCTGATGGGAATTTCCGATGTCTGGCACTCTCCGTGCTCTCTCGCCACCCGCTGCGTTTTTTTCTCTTCTGTTTTGTTGTGTGCCGCTGCAGAGGGAAAAAAATGGTGGTGGTCGTGGCTCGAATTGCCGTTGATAGATGAAGATGATCTCAGACCGGGATTTGAGAGATTGAGATTATTTGGTTGGGGGACGACGATGACGATTGGATTAGGTCTTCTTCTTCTTCTTCTTCTTAAATGTGAGGAGGAGGAGGCGGCTCTCGGCTTTCAACGCAACTAGCCACCGCTGGGATCGAATTACCGTGTTCGCAGTTCGGCCTCGTGTTTCGTTTTTGGGTTCAAATTTGATTGAGATAACTTTTTTAATTTTTTAATTAGAGAAAAAGAGTTCCTATCAAGAATTCTGAAAATTCTCAAATAACAGGAAGTCATATCAGAGAGATTTTTGGATTTTGGCTTTTTTTTAAGTGTAATGGTTTGGAAAACTATTTTTAGAACATCTGCCTCTAAATTGATACTTTTAACGAGTCTTCTACCTTGACTATCACGAGAAGACTACACTAACTTCCCAAACCAGCTGGCCTGTCTCCACTCTTGGTCTGAACTTTTAACAAGTTCAAAAAGACGAGATTCGTAAACAGCCTGGTCATTTGACTGACATGTTTGATGGATTCGCTGTTTTGGAGTGTGAGCGACAAAAAGAGAATTGAGAATGGGGGAGGCTGGAGGAAGATGACGGTAACAGATGGCCGCTGTGTCGTCCTACTCCTCCCTCCTCCTCCTCCTCGTCGTCGTCGATGTCGGTGATTCGAGGCCGGAGGGGCTGGTCGCCGTGTCGGTATTAAGTGGCCGCTTGTTGTTCTTCTCTCACTGCCTATGTGTTATGTGTTTGCCGCCGGCCGCCGTCATTTTTTGCCAGCGCAACTCGGTGAACTTTTCACCTGTCTGGCCTTTTTTAGCGTCCCTGAGGTGTCGAAGGAACAAGTGGAGTCTTTGACTTGAACTCAAGAAAGAGAAAAAAAGAAGAAAACTGATTCCTTTCGGCTCCGTCATGAAAATTCACGATCAAAGTTCACCCTTAAAAGTCCTTCAAATCTACTTGACAACTAAGTTTTCCATTTGAAGAACCGGTCGGAATTGAAGAAAACACATAGGTTGAAAATAATTCTCAAAACTTCTTTCTCTTGAATCTCTGAAGTAAGCTGGGTTGAAAGTTGGTTTACCATGATCACGGAGAATTTGGTTTTTGGCTCAGGACGATGATGATGATGCGTTATTGCGCCAATCTCTTTGCATTTCGGTGTATTTGCTGTTGTATTTGTGTTGCACTTGGTTTGTGGGTGTGTGAGTGAGTAGTTGCGAGCTCTCAATCGCTCTTCCTTGCTTTCTTTTCTCACCCCGCCTTCTCCTGCTGCTCAGAATTTGTGGTGCTACTCGACGACATCCCTTGGGTAATTGGGGTGCAAAGCGACACAGACAATCGAGTGAGAGAAGAAGAAATAGATTGGAAAAGAAGGAGGTGGAACGCGCATCTCCTTCTTATGGTTATGGACGATTAGTTGCAGCTAATCGCTTTTCGCCGTTTTGGTTCCTGGGTCCTTTGCGAGATACTCAGCGAAAGTTCTGATTTTTCTCAGGTGCAAATCTTTAGAATTTCATTAGAATTGAATTGACTTATGAGAAGGATCTCATCTTTGAAAAAAGTGTTTCAAATTATTTATTTCAACTTTTCTTCTTCGCTTTTAAAAGTCAGATAAGGACAGTTTTCACGGATTCTTTTAGGTGAATCTTGTAGGTTTCCATTCAAATGAGTAGGGAAATGAAGAGTAAAGGAAGTTGCGATTTCTCTCTCACTCTCTCGACATATATTGCCAAACGCGAGTTTCCCACGGCGGAAAGATGAGACGAACGCGTGAAAACTTTCGGGAGCGACCTATTTTGTTCTTTTTTGGCGTCGACGCGCTCCCGCATTTTCCTGCGATAACGATAACGACTGTGGTTTGGTGTACTGCCTGGCCGATAAGCCGAAGCGATAAATTTGTCTTGGCGGCGGCTTGATGAAATATGTGAAAAAAGCATTCAAATGGCTGAAAAAACTTCCCTTTTCGGTGGAATCACAAGGACGTATGGGAATCCAACTAATGTGGTCGTTTTGAATGTCTCAGCGGGGTTTGTTCTCTTGAAGGGAAAGAAGATTTCTGCAGAGTCCAAGGGATGTTACTTATTGTCAAACGGTTGCCTTCGGTTTGGCTCGCCTTTTGATCTGCGCGCCGAGGCTCACCGCTGCTGCGATGACAATGACCCTGTGGCCTCTTGCGCACTGCCATCCATCAAAAAGGGTGCTCGAAAGAACAGGGCGACAACGACCTCCGTTTCTGACCATTAGAATTCTTAATTTCAGCAATTTTTCTTTCCCAATTCTCTTACACTTTCTTGAAGTTTCTATCAAATAGTTCCTTTTGCAACGTTCAAAACCGCCTATACGAAAATACTCTTGGCCAAAAAAAAGGACGCGGGAAAGTGTAAAAGAAAAACGTTATGATTCAGGATTTGTCACACCAAAAGGCATTCATGAGCGTCCTTTTTTGGGAGGCGGCGGTTGCGCGAGGCCGACATTTCACACAGCAGAAAGAGTCTCGGCTTGGTTAGAAAACAAACAAAAAAGAAAACGAAGGTGGTCATTCGTTTCGGTTAAGATGGAACAGTTTCGGACTTCAAAAAAGAAAAAAAAGCTTTTAAAAAGAACGATTTCTTTGGTCTTGTCTAGTGCACTCGACTCACGTCGACATGACGGCTAATCGCCTTAATTACCTCCAATCCTACTGTGACCGCAACCAGCCAACCAACTAATCGTCCAAGAACACTTCTACCCAAAACATCGTGTCATTTTTAATGGTTCTTATCAATCAAATGACTTTTCTCGCTCTCATCTTCCGAACGGCGACGTCTAGCCTCGGGGGATTTCTCTTTCCGGCGACGTTCAAAAAGAGATGGCTGTCGAAAGTTTGAATAATGATGGAGCTCTTTCTTCTTGTTAAAGGGGGATGTTTAGTGTTGGAAGGTTACTTAGTGCCTAGATTAGATTGGCCTCCCTTTTCAACCAGCTGGAACCAGTCTAGGCATCGCCGTCTCTCTTCGCTCTCTCAATCTCTCGAAAAATATGTTGCCGTTTGAAATTTGGCGTCTCGTCGAAAGTATTCAGGGATCGGAGAAGAGACGTTTTTTCAAAATGTTGCCTGGAAAGGAAGGAAATAGATACGACTGCGTTTATGTTCTGAACGTTTTGTTGATAAAAGATCGAAGAACAAAAGGTGATGGGAAAGGAATCAACCAGTTCTTATAGGGATCCTAAGTTTCACCAAGTTCTACCTAACTGAGTCTTAGTCACAAGCTTGACTAGGCGCTGTGTTCTTTTTTTCCGACGCCTGTCCTCGACCCTCTCGTCTCGCTTCCTTCCTTTCACCGCCACGACGCGTGCACCACCCGCAAACTGCTTGGCGGGTGTCTTGGCGTATGAGGATGGCTAAACGATGATGTGCCACTTTTGGAAGAGAGTTGCGACCTCACGCAAGGGACTTTCCCAACTTATTTTGACAATGAAGGAAACAATATGCGAATAATTTCAGTTCTTTTTTTTTAAAAGTAGTTCAGAGGAGAAGAACAAAAAATATGCTTTTTAAACTGGAAAGGAAAATCTCATTTTTATGAGAGAATCTGAAGGGAAACAGACAACAATTTTCTTTTTAAAAATTCATTCCATTTATGAGTTATTTCTGAGAAGTTTTAATCTTTTTTGAGTAGTTTTCTAATTTGTAGCTTCAAAATTTCAATTTCACAAATTGAAACTCAGATCAGCTTTTCATGTTGCTTTGATTCGAGATTTCACGAAGAATTCTGAGTTTCTTGGTGAAAGTGATAGTTTTAAGTTCTTTGAAGTATCTTTTCCCTTTGAACCAATATGGCGTCACATCGGTGATGAGATCACATCGTTTGAACGTTTTATAAGCACGAAGAGAGAGTGTGTGTGTGTGTGGCTATAGATTTTCCAGTTTTTGGCCACTTTTTTTCGCCTTCGCCAGCGGTCGTTCACTCTGATGCCTGTCTGTCGTCGTCGTCGAATCGCCGGCCACGTCGAACTATTACAGGGGCCATCAAGTATCGGCAATATCAATGTTCTTGGCTTTTGACTCGAGAAAACAGATGTTCGTCTCCTCTGGGACTGCTCTACATTTATTACGACAAAAGTCGGGCTGACCAACCTTTGAGGCAAAATTTTTATCGCACCTTCAACTTTCTCTTGGGAAAACAAAAAAGAAAGCGTTTTCTTATCTTACTGTTCGCTATTGCAAACGGTTTGCATTATGATAATGTGTTGATTGACTTGGAGGACGCGTCGTGTCTCGGTCGGCAGCCCCGAAAAGGCAAGGCGGAGGAGCTTTTTTCAAGGGCTACGCGGAGGTTAATCCTATTGAGCATTATGCGCCGATTGGCATTCATGATGGCCCGCCGCGCACTGTCAAATCTGTTGGAGATCACCCCGCCATCGTGGCGTTAATTATTCCTGGAAGACCTCCATAAGAAGATGCTCATAATTAGATAGTTTCCGCGCTTTTTTAGTTTGATTTCCTGCCAATCGCAACTCACGCCGTTTAATCCCGGTAGCCTGAGCCGCTAATACCGCCTCGAGCGGATTAGTTGTTGACTTTTGAGAGAAGACCGTGTGAGGTCATTAAAACCGGCCCGCCGCAGCCATCGCTACCGTCGTCGCCGTCGTCATTAGTTCACTGTTTCCCCTTTACCTGGTGGAAAAATGGACAAAAACGAAAAATGACAAAAAAAAAGTAACGCCGCAGGGCGCGGGAAGAACACGCCGACCGTGTCCTTGAGACGCACCGTACAAGTGGAGCGAAAAACGCCATTGAAAATGAGATTCAGCGCACCTCGGGTCATGTTTGGAAACTTGTACGGTGTCTGAGCCTTGGAAGTAAATCGCTTCCGACATCTTGACTTCTTTCAAAGCCGCTTGAAAGTGGCTTTGATTTTTTGTTCTCCATTAGGGGAACAAGTTTTACTCTGAATCATCTTTTGAAAGATGGTGTGTAAAAAATAGCATTTTCTATCTTTTATCTATGAAGCTTCGTCAAAAACAATGCATTCTGAAAGATCTCAATAAAAAAGTCTTATTTTAAACTGTATAGTAGCGTTTTTTATAAGTTTCCTCTCTTGTTCCATGAGACCAATCGGATTAGTTGAATTTCAACGAGACAAAGTTTGTACTCTGGAGCAGTTTGTCGCAAAAAAAGAGTCAAATGGCGTCACATCAAGGTTTTCGACGGCTGGCTGTTTGGGCAGCTGCCGCCTGGACGAATGATATGTTTGGCGACCCCCGAGAGGCGCGCGGCGCTATAAAAAGGGACAAACGGTGTTTGTCTTTACGTTGTTCTTAACCATGAAGAAAAAACGTGGAAAAGCGTGTGAAAGGACTTCCGATTAGATTTTCCGCGAATATCTTTTGAGTTGGGATAATTGATGACTTGAGGCTTTTTGGAGTTTCTGAACTGAAAACTACACTAGATCAAAGTTGGTCTGCTCTATTTTGCAAGAACTTCGTCTTTTGCAATTTTGAAGTACTAATTAGTCAAGCCAGTAATGTTTCGCTGCTTTTATTCTATGTTAATTACTCTAATTATATGGGATCAGGAAAAGTTCCAGTTTTTTTTTCAGTGGTATCAAAAAGTTGGGAAACTATAATTGGCACTGAAGATGATCAGATAACTCCAACTTTGACAATCTTTGCCGTTCTTTGCCTATTTTGGGCCGACAAGAGTGTGCTTGAAGAGGTCAGCTGTTGTCCTGTCTCCCGCCGGATTAATTACTGCCTCTTTGCCTCCTCTCCTTCCAGTTTTCTCCTAATCCCTGGCGCCGCTTTTCCGACATTTGCATTGGTTTGAGGGGGATGAGTTCAACTGGCAATCCGTGTATCTTCGGCGAAATATACGAGATGAACGATGTGTGCGTCGCCATTTTTTCCTTCAGCCTTTTTCCATTCTCGGCTTTCTCTCTTTCCGGAGGATTTGCCGCCGATAAAGCAATTTTCCTTCGTGTTGCAAAGTAGGAAGGCGTTGGGCTTGTATGATTTCGACGAACAACGTCAGAGGGATTTCTTCATTAGTTTTTTTCTCTTCTGAAGTCGGCTTTGTTTTGATAAGCGTAGTAAGATCGAAGATGTCCGCCTAGACATCTTGGCGGATCCGATTACGGCGATAAAGCCAAGAAGCTCTACTTTTTCCCTTCGGAGGCTATTTTTTCGATTGGCCGTCTGAACTAGAAATAAAGACCTGAATAAAGCGGCAGATGAAGTGAAGGTATTTGTTGCGTACCCATTGCTCGATCTCACCCTCTTGAGTTATTACCGTTCCGCGTTGTGCAAACAATGGGTGCGAAGTGTTTGGTTGGAGAGAAGTCCTGTGGATTCTCTTGGCTACGGAAAACACGCTCGAACTAAGAAAGGCCCACACGAGAACGTCCTTGCATTTTTGAATGGAGGTCTGCCGCCGTTGCCGCCGATGAATTATTCCGCCAATTTGAACCGAAAGCTCCTATTTTGGTGATGGAGATGTCTGTGTGTTTTTTGGGGGGCTCTTGATTTCACAAAAGGTAACTCGATCTGCACACATATAGAAACTGATATTGAACTTAAAAACGGCCGCAAAGCTCAATCTCAATCTCAAAAATCTTACGTTTTCGTTTGTTCATATCAAAACCTTTTTGACGAAAAAAAGCACCTTCAACCAATTTATGGGACCCTTAATGTCAGTTTGGCGAAGTTCGACGGGAGATCTCGTCTTTGAACAGCTGACTTCAATGTTGCGAACCAACCTTGTTTTTTTTCTCTCTCACTCTCTCCTCACACTCACTCCAAACGCCGTCATTCCCACGCCTCTCGCCGGAAATTGGATGCCAGCCGTCAAGCGAGCCGACACACGTTGGCCACTGTTGTTTTTTTTTAACCTGAACATTTGTTCCCTCTGATTGAGTCACTTTGAACGGCGAGGGAGTGTGTGATTAGTTCGTTCCCGATTTATGACTTTGAAGTCGAGGGAAAACAGAGCTTCTCCATTGAATATGTCTAACGATTCCGCTTGAGAACTTTTGAAGTGAGCCTTTTGTGCCGATTGAAAAGAGTTCAGAGCACTTTTCGAACAGCTTCTGCATAAATTAGCCAAGTCCTCTGAGAGAGACTTTTCTAAAGGAGATTCGAATGAGTTGGCGATAATTGGAGACGCGACGGCGGGATGCTGTCCTCGTTTTTGTTGTGTCGTCGCTACTTTTGTCGCTTCTTTTCTGATTTCAACAGTTCTCCAGGCTGTGATTCAAAAAGAAAAGAAAGTGACGCTCTTCAATTAGTCTGACCCGTCTTCTGATAAAGGCGATGGTGTTTTCTGATTATTCCGAAACGAGACATAATGCGTGTTGTCGTTATCAGTTGATGAGAACGATAAGAGGCCGTTTTTATGGCCTGCCTATGAGGGTTTGATGGAAAGAGGCCAAAAGTTTCTGCTCAAAAAATGACTCTTGAACTTTTTGAAACATCAACGAATCTCATAAATTTTCGAGAAGATTAGGCATTCTCTCTTTAAAAAACCCAAGCAAAGATTTTATAACAGGTCATGGCTTAATTTCATTTTTTTTTTCATACATTAACTGACTACTTGACATGATTCTAAGTATTTAGTGAAGTTTTGGAAAAAAAAAAGGAACATTTTTGACCGATGAACGTGCCCATTATTCTTGTTGGAACGTGTCTGTGTAATGGCGGCAAAATGATGTGTATTGTGGTGCGGGGCAGCAGCCAATTCCTCAACGCTCGTTTTTGTTCGCCGAGCAGTTTGTTCAGCTGACGTTTTCCCGCTTCTCTTTCGGGTTTTCTCTTCGTTTTTTTTTCTGCTGTGCTCCCGTCTCAATCTTCTTCCGAGTTCCTTGCCGAGGGGTTTGCAACTTGGCTTCTAATAGAAAACTGTGAGGGATGAGAAAAGAAAAATCAAAACAGCAAAGAAGCAAAATGAAAACAGTCCTGGGAGCTTCGTGGCAAAATTTTTGTTCAGCGGAGTTTAAAGAAGAGAAAAATTCTTATCAAGAAAATGGAAAATTTGATATGAATTTTTCTACAAGATTTTTCAAAGAGCACTGTCATAGCTCAATTTATTTAATTACATATTATTCTGCCGCACTCATCAAGAAGCTTATCGGAACAATCTACTCGAAGAACTCTCAAGTGTTATCGATTCATCTTGATCTGAAGCGATTAGATCGACCAGATGTTTGAGGACCTCGGCTTTTCCGCCGCCGTGTGGCAAAAAAGCTCTATCTCTTTCTCTCCGTTCAAACTCAACACTTTGATAACGACCTGCTCGCCAATGTTTGCTTCGAGTTTTGAGGATATGTTTTCGAAGCTGGCTTATCTGATTGTTCTTGTTTTTTTTTTTCCCCTAGTTTGGACAGGGACTTGAGTAGAGGACACTGCGATACGGAGATTTGCGTCAGCGATAAAGCTATGTTCTTTCAAGGTGGAGATCTCTCAAGTTTCCCAGACTCATTTCGAAAGATGAAGAAATATGACGTTATCAGTGTTTGACACGTTGACAAAAGAATTGTTTGAAGAAGCTTAGAAAGAGTCAATTCACACCAAGTTTGATTAATGCGCGTTTGAACGCTCGCGTGAATGAACTATAAGCCTTTTTAATCCTCTCCGAGATTCAAAAAGAGTATCATCCTAATCCCTAGGCGATTTGATGCATTGTCAACGAAAATAACGCCGATGGAACATTTTGTTTCATCGGAAACCCTTTGGGAAATGCTCGCTTCCTCTTCTCGTCACACTTTATGCTAATCGGATTAGAGGAATTAAAATAGAGGGAAAAAACAACAGCGAGCGAACGCTAATGCTTTTTTTTACGGTTTCTATCTGAATTTTCGAATCGCGCTTAATCTCTCAAGTTGCGGCGGCAACTCTTTGATCTGAACCGACTGACCCATTGAGGTTTTTCTCCTTCTCCTTCAGAAGAGTCGGCGACGATTGACAGGTGGCGCTTTTTCGCTCGCATTTTGCAGGGAGGAGATTTGCGCGTATACACATACACACACACAACACATATATACCTGCGCGCAGATGGTTTAAACAATGGGGATTGCGACGGTTGTTGAGGAGGGAAAGGAGGGGGTCGAGTGGGTTTGGACGGAAGTGCCGTCCTCCCTAATTATGACTTGAAACGGTCGTTTATGGGCTTGGAACCGGGTCGTTGACGATCGGCTTCATCTGCATGGAATGAAGAGAAAAAAAACTATTTATTGCATTTTTGAAGTGGTTCTTCCACATAACGAGAAGTCGTGACCTATTTTTCGGTGTCCGTTATTTTGAAAGTTCTTCTATTTTTCCTGAGCTTACAATGAAAAAAGTTGTTGCTGAATGTTTGGAAGAGCCTAGAAAAATTTGTTTTTGTTCTGAATTGTTTTTCTGACTTTTTTTATAAGGAAGCTCTAACTTCTTATATTTTTTTAAACACTTTAAAATATATTTTGACTTCCCTCAAAAAGTTCAAATTTCAAGTATCAACATTAAAGTACTGCAAAAATCGGCAAAAACATCTTTTTATTTCGAATTAATTAAAAAATTTCTTAGCGTGCGAAGTGAAATGTTTTTCTTCCTAGAAAGAAACCAGTCAGCAGAAGAAGTGAATAAGCTACCTTTTGAATGCTTCACTGAACGCGATGAACTTTTTCAACCCACGCAAATATTACTCCGATGGCATTAAGCTGTATAGCAGAATATTTTGATAAGGTTTTTCTCTGAACGCTTCATTGGAGACGTTAACTTTTATGGAAAAATATTTTGATTAGCTTTTTTTGAGCCTTTCAATGAGCTTTGACATTACTCGGTCGACCTTCCAAGTGTCGGCACTCGACGATTTCTCGCCGATGTAATTGATCGGATCAAATCTGAACCTCGCGGTCGGTGGCGGCTTCAATGAGCTTTCGGCCGGTGGTGCGACAAGGGAGGAAAAGCAAACAGAGTCGGTCTGACGACCCCCAAACAGTATTTGAGATAGTCTGTGTGTTGGCCGACTATTTGTGAGTGAGTGAATGAGTCGAGGTGGTGTTCGGAGGGAGAAAATCAATGACGGCGACGATCGCAATGCGATTATACACTGTTCGATGAGGACCTTCTCCATAATCAAGCCTTTTTTTCTGAGGGGACCGACTTATTCAGAAAAAAAGTTGTAATAATTGGATACATTTTTCTTTTAAGAAAGATATTAAAGATTTATCAGAAAGGAGATGAGCTCAAGTTATCTTTTCTGAAGAGCTTGATCAAAAAGCTTCCAAAGAAAAGAAGCTGAATCGGATTCGTCTCCAAAATGATTTTTAAAAAAAGATGAATTTCCAGATCTTTTGAATTATTTTGAATAAAAGGCGTTCTTGGCTATATTTATGCTTCACGTTTGCCATTTTACAATTGAAGATTAAATTTACTAAAAAAGAATATTATGGAAAAAAGGATTTTTCGATTTTGTCAACTTTTTCACGACTTTACCTTTTTTCCTTCTTGGAGTGTGTAGTTTGAAACAAACATAACCCGTTTTCCTCCCTATTATAAGTAAACTACTTTGAAAAAGATGATTTTCACGACCAACGAGGATTCGCCTCGCGGGCCTCATAAAATGGCCGCGTTGTCGGGGTTCGCGTGGAAAATGTTTCGCGCAAATGGGACGAGGAGAAAAAAAACGACCGCTCTCGGAGTCTTTTTGAAGTGTGTGATTTGAGGCCTTTTCTGTCGTTTTTCATCTGTTTTTGGAACTGAAACGGAAGCAAGGAGGCTTGGAAACGGGAACTTGGAAAAAAAGTATATGAAGATTGCTTTTTCTTTTGCAATAGGAGTTTATTTGAGCTTGAACAAAATCATGAAAGTTCAAAAACTACAAGATTTTTTGAAAATTGTTCAGAGACGGTTAAAACAGCTTCCTGAATAGAGGGGCAGTAACTGAATTCAAAAAGAATCAAATTCAAATTTTTCTTTTTTTCGGAATACAGTGAAATTTTTCTTCAAGGAAAATTTAATCTTCTAGTTTTTTTCAGTTGAGATATTTAGAACTTTTTCAAGGTTTTTGGTACTATTTGAGATTTTTAAAAATTCGAAAAAGTTTTTAGGAGTGAAGCGATTTCTCTTTTAACTCAAATAAACCAAAATTGAACATGATGGGAAAATATTCATTTGAACGGCTTTTTCAGCTTGAAATAAATATTTTATCAGTTTTTTTCAGTCAAAACGAGAGCATGTGGTGATGAAGCTGACTCGATACTTTCGACAAGAAGACATTCCTGACGTTTCGCTGAATCTGATGCAGCAGGAGAGAACTGAGCACATGAAAATCGACACCGATTCATTAACGGTTTGACCTTTTTCATCCGAAAAATGAAAAAAGTCCTTTTCTGAGAGCTTCGAGAGCGATTAAGGAACTTTTGTAAGAACGAATCGAAATTACTCAATTTTAGTTTTCTTCCAGATATATTTCGAGAAAGTTTCAAGACAACATTACTTTCGCCAATTGACCCAAATTCAGTCGAATTTTGATCAATTGATCAATTTTTGGAGATGATTTTTTTTTTCGATTTTTCGATATTTTAGTTTTTGAATTAGGTGGGTAAATCAGCAAAACACTGAAGAAGCTCTAATTTCACACTTTTCCTTCTCTCTCATAGGCCAATTAAGCCATTCAAGGAAAATTCGTGTTGAAGTACGTTAATTTGCTCCGCTCCGTGTTGTTTTCATCTGAAATCTCCTGTTCTATGCTCCATTTCTATGTTCAGCAGTTGAAAAATTGAGAATCTTGAAAATTCTCGAAAATTTTAGCGTTTTTTTTTTCGAACGAAACAGCTGGCTCTTTTTTTTAATAAACTAAATGAGTAGAAAATCAAAAATCGTTTCATTTTGCAGACGAATTTAGATGAAAGATTGTTATATTCTTTTGGTTTGGCTTCAGAGATTAAGCTTTCGATTGGAAAAAAAGCACAAAATAACCATTAGGTTAGGGATTCTGCTATTTTTCAATAACGTTCTTAACATTAACGAAGATCAGATAGAAAAAAAGAAAAAAAAATTTCTCAAATCATTATTCATATCCTCTTTCCTCAAAAAAACTTCTCCAGTTGAGTAAATATTCCCAGAAGTTTCTCAGACCTGAACTCTTGCAGGAATCGCTCTCGCGTGAGCTTTTCAATTCGGAAATCGCGATAAATCACCCAGTCTCCTGTTTGAGGTATACATTTTTCTTGTTTTTTTACGACTTTTCTTTTTTTTCTGGTTGGGAAGCTTCAAGTTGAAAGTTGGAGATGGAAAATTTGAGAAAAAGAAAAAAAGAAATGGCGAATTTTGTATTTATATATTTATCTCTTACTAGAAAGATCTCTCACAATCCCAAAAATCAAAGACTTGTAATTTTATCAGTTTTAGCATTGAAAAAAAAATCCAGAAAGTTTTTTTAATCCTCAATAAAATTTCATAGCTCATCCATTAAAAACATGAAACAATTTTTTGAGCGAATTCCAAAGTTTAAAGGCCTTTTCATGGCTTTTCTTCATCATAAAAAGGGCATGTCAGAAAATCTGCAAAATCTGCAAAAAAGACCCCTCATAGCGTTGTTTTTGGCTAACAATGATTGACAGCAGATTGTATAATGATGAATGACCTCTCCCTCCAAATTTTAGCGGAGTTTTTCAAAACTTCCTTGACTCTAAAGTCTTTTTTTGATTATGCAATTTTCCACTCCTAAGCCGCGAAACCTCCAAGTCGGCGAAAAAAAAGGAAAAGCTTGAGCGACGAGGCGAAAACGAGTTGTTTCCGCAAACGCGACCGGCTATTTTTGGATGAAAAACGTGAAACTTTTACAAAACGGCGGAGAGGCCATTTTAATGGGTTTTTCTGAATTTTATCGGTTTTGTGAGAAAAAAAAAATTTATTAGAAACTTTTAAGGCTAAAAAATCTTTTCAAAAATATTTCAAATTCAACTGGTTTCTATTGAACTCTTCAGAAGATTTGGATGTCTTTTTCATGTGAACTCTAATGAATATTTACATAGCAACTCTTTTCAATAAAATTAGAAGATGCAACCGAAAGCTAAACTAATACTGATTCTCATTAGAAAAAAATTTTCCTGAAAAGTGACTCCTCGAAACTTTTGGATAGTTAGAGCGGCTATTTCCGGCGTGCGACAGGGCGATGTTGCCGCCGAAAGAAGGGCCTTCCTCATGGCCAGATATGGACAAACAAAACAAATGCATATGCCGTGTAAACACACGCCGCGTAATACACGCTCTGCCGCGCAAATCGTCTCCGTTTTCCACGCACTTGATTTGGCCCTTTTTGTTCGCCTTTTCGAGTGGTTTTTGAGTTGAAAAAAAGTCGAACGGTGTCAGATTTTCCAAACTTTTGAGTTTTCTGTAGAGATTTTTGGATTTTTTCAATTTTAAAGTAAGACTTAAGCGTCAAGATTGAACTTATTTTGATGTGAAGAGAGTTATTTTTAAATTAAATCTCATGATTTTAATAAAATTCTCCTTTTTTTTCGTTATCGATGTAGTTATTTTGTATCAGTGCGCATTCTAATTTTTAATTTTTGAGATTTCATTCTATAAAAGTTCAAATTCAAAAAATTTCCTATTAGGATCACTTGGAGATTTTTTAAATACTTTCGGGGGCTTTAACAGTTTTTTCTAGAAAACCTAGCTTTCACTCATAATTCTTTTCCTTCTTTTGCAAAAGCTTATAAATTTTCACTCTCAGTTCGCACTTTTGTTTTTCGTCCCCTTATTAGCCTTTCAAATTACCTTTGTGATTTGTATTTTGACACTGACGGCTTTGTTTTCCTCGGTCGTCCACTTTTTTTTTTGTTCATATTCGAATCCCCAGCTGCCGATTTCGCTTCTTTTTTTTTCGTTGGCGTCCCTCTGGGCGATTATTCTGGCTCGGAAATTGCTCGCGCTTTTCACGTCTTTGTAATCTTTCCCCGTTTTTTTTTTTTGCTTTTTTTCTCCCTCTCTCTCTCACGCAAATCTCTCTTCCGAGGTGAAATGTTGCGGTCTTTTAGGGAATTCAATACTTGTTTTGTTTTCTTTTTCTGAAGTCCTCCCATTCATAAGAAGCTTCAATAGGAACAAAAGAAGTGTGCGTGTTTTGCGTCTTGGAGAAGAGTATGTGATGAATAGAAGAATAGACGCCGACAAAAGAGCAGTCATTTGGAATCGTTTCGGAAGAAATTTTGGAAAAAGAGGATTATAAGATCATTATGACGATTTTTTTTCTATTTATACTCCCAATTAGGTTTTGTAAAGTTTTTTTAAAAGTCACTCAGGAGAAATCAAATGGAAATTTCTTCAAATTCGTTTTTTTTTTGTAGAGAAATATTATAGAATAGTAATATTTTTAACAAAAGAGCAATATAGCTTGTGTAGAATGTAGGTTAAAGGTCTCTGTAATAATTTTTTTTTCACAAGATTGAGGTGAATGAAGTGTAGTCAGAACTTAAAAAAAAATGTAAAAGTCAAATGTCAAAAATCATTTTGCAAACTCTTCCCGTCCCGTCACGCACCCTGAGAGACGTCAAAATTCGAAGAAGATAAAAAAAAAGGAATAGGTCTTTGAAATTGGGGGGAAAAAAAGTCGCGTGAGTGAAAATGTTTGGACGTCGGCCAGAATAGAAAGGAAATAAAGAGGGAAAGAGAGAGAGGGAGGGAGAGAAGATGAGAGAGAAAGTGAGAAGTGTTGTCGAGTGAGACATTGGCAACTAGCCAGACCCGATGAGAATTGCAAGGAAAGAGGGAGGAGGTCGACCCGCCACCGCTCGATGCAGCGGTCGGTCTCGTCTTGCTCATACTCCTACTCCTGCTGCTGCCACCACGGCTTCTTTTTTGTTTGTCTCCTCCTCTTCCTGAATTGTTTCTTGTCTTGTCAAGTTCATAATTCGATTTTTCTTCTTTTAGCGAAGTTTTGACTTTTTTAGATTCATTTTGCTTTTTCTAGTGACTAACATCTAATTTTTTCAAATTTTTTCAAATTTTGAACGAAAAAATGTGACATTTTTACCTCAGGATCAGTGAATTAAGTTCAAGTCCTTGAACTAAGCTCCTATATGACCCTTTTTGAGAGCTTCTTACAAATTCGCTGTTTTTTTTCCAAATTAGGATTGATTTTTTTTTTTTGCGAACTCAGCATTAGCTTGACTTTGAATTGACTTTACATATATATTATATTCAATCTTTGGTACTTTCATCAGTATTTCGTTTGTTTTAATGCTTTTCTGCTCATTTTTTGAGGTTTCATTAGATTGTTTTCATGATTTTTCAGTTGGAAAGTTTGAAGCTCTTTTTTTCTCATTTTTTGTGTTTTTCCATGTTTTGAATAATGTTTCACCTGTAATTAGCCGCCTTATAATATCATTTTTTCATGGTTTCAAAAAAATTTAGTTACAATTTTTTATAATGAACCAAAAGTATTTTTTTCCCTTTTTTTTATTATTAACTCACTTTGAACGAAAATCGGTTTCTCTTTATTTGTTTTTTTCTACGCTCAAAGAGAGAAAGAATCAGAATTTCAAAAAATGTCACTTTTTCCAAACCAGAATCGAAACTTAGCTATTCAAAAAAAAAAAAATGATCCGGACATAATCTTCAGAGTAGAACAACCTGTGAACCTCGAAAAGCCGCTTTTTCCGATTAATCCTTTCAACTTCTCTCTTTCTCTCTCTGCCTCTCTCTGCCTCTCTCTTTCTGCTCATTAAGATATTATCGTTTTGCGTCACGTTTTTTTTTCTTTTTCAAACATCTGTCCACCTTTTTCTTTCCTACATTTTTGAGCGAGTGCTCAATTTTTTCTGGACTTTCAAGAAAAGAAGAAAATTTTTAGAATTACAAATATTCTATTTATCAGACTTGTTTATGAAGCAAAAATCACGCTTTTCCATAGTTTTTTTTTTCATTTCTGTATGAATATTACTCCTTGAAAGCTTGAAATTTCCGGTATTCCATTGAAAATTGGCCACGAGTCGTCTCGGATTTCGTGTGTCGTAGGAGTTGGAGTAGGAAAATAGCCGTTAGAGGGAGATCTCCATTGTTCCTTCCGTGCGGCTTGTTGTTGCAAGTGTAATGGGACACACAAACAGACATACGCCGAAATGCACACTTCTCACAGGTCTCTTTCACAAATTCGCTACTTCTTCTCCTCTCGGAGTCGAATCGAAAAGAGGACGAAAGACGGCAAGCGCATGGAAATAAATCAAATCGCGGCGTGTGTCTGTGTTGCTTTTTCGACCCACCCACAAACTTGAACTTTGTCGGATGGAATTTTGAGAGTCGAAGGCATAAATAGCCGCCATTTTCGAATAATTCAAGACCGGCCTTGTCGATTGAAAAAGTTTGAAAAATGAATGAACGAAGAAATAGCCGCTTAATGTATTTAAAATACGCTCCATGGATAATTTAGACTTTTCTATTTTCCATACGCTTTCTTTTTCAAATTTCTGGAACCGTAATTGAGCCGTAAATGCATTATTTCTCTTTGGCTAATTCAAAAATTACTCTTCAATTCATAAACGGCAATGATAGATCTATAAAAAAGTTCCAAGCGAACAAAAAACTACGAAATGCCCTTGAAGTGTTTTTTTTGGCTACGATTCGGTAAATAAGCCTGTTTTCCTCCTCGCAATGGCTACGTTCACGTGTCCGTCCACTTGAATGGATTTCGAAATACGCCTTTTGGACTCCTTTTTTCTCACTTTTTTTTTTGTTCAAAGGGTTAATTTTCTCGTAAAGAGCGTTAATAATATGCAATTTCCGCTTATTCATGTAATGATCGCTTTCAGCAAAGTATAGGAGAGAAAGATGATCAAAATATCTTTTTGAAGTTTGCAACCAAGTCGCATTCAATCATTGGTAGTTTTCCACGAGTTCTTCTTCTTATCACTCTCTCTCTTTTCTTATCAACACCAAAAAAGCGATCGTTTTTTGATCGTTCATCAAAATATTCCCATGAATGAAAGACTCAAATTTTGAAGAAGAGAAGAATTTGTCACGCAATTTCCTTCGTTTGACAAGAAGCTTCCCGTCCCAAAGAAAAAAAAAGAAGTAATTGAATTTCCCTAAACGAATCCCATTCTTTTTCTCCCTTCCCTTCTCTTTTCCATGTTTTTTTTTTCGTCTTGCTGAAAAAATCACCGTTTTTACTCTTTGCGCTTTATGTTTACAACATAACTGGGAAAGACTCGGATTTCAACCTGATTGTTTATTTCTTGCATTGGATTATGTTACATAAGCTTTTTTTTCTTGCTGAACCTGGAGCTTTTCCAAAAATGTTGTTTTTTGAGCAAATTTGGACTTCCCCATTCATTGAGAGCACTTTAAGAAATATGATGGCTTTTTGGGACAACATAAGTTTTGAAAATTCTGTTTTTCGCGGAAAAATCTCGTTAAAAAGCTCTGCAAAAGATTTTTTTCAGCTTCATTTTTGCACCATTTATGGAGATATAATGAAAGTTTTCACGGTTTTTCGAAATTTTTAATGATTTATAGAGTTGAATTGAAGTATGAACAGTAATTATTTGTTCTATTAGGAAAACTTGAGAGAAAATATATAGGAATTATATAGGTTTTTTCATAAAATATCTAGTCTGAATGCTTCCCAACTTTCAACATTTTTCAAAATCTATTTTCGGATCCTATAGTTGCTTGAAATGAGGTTATTTTTTGCAATTGCAGAGGAAAGTGCTCGATCAATTACGTGAAGGACGTGAAGACGTTGCCGACGATCGGCGACTTCACGCTCGACAACAACAACTTCTTCTGGAGCCTCAACTTCATCCAAGAATCCTCGAGGCTGGCGGCGTTGCAGGGCGAAATCCGCGTCGGCGCCTCTTATCAGGTACACACATTTTATGCATTTTTCTCTTTTTGTCAAGAATTCTGATTTTTTGTTGAACTGTTGTTTGAACTCTTTATTTTGTCGGCAAGTCTTTTGAAGAAAAGTTTGTTTTTTGACCTAGGTCATTCATTGATTTTTGAACATCTTTCAAAATTGCGCCAAAAATTGAGTCTTTTTGTTGAGTTTTCATGTCTTCTTTCTTTAATTTAAAGTAGATCTGTATGTTTTTTCAATTATTTTTCATCGTTTCTCTTTTTCCCACTTTTTTGAACTCATTTTGAAGAAATGTTCGTGGAAGTAGAATTTATACGGAAAATTTTCTTACTAGAACGATTTGCATCTGTTTTTGGAAGATGAGCATTTGTGCGATTTAAAAAAATAGCTTCATCTTTATTTATTCTTGCAATTTTTTTCTCTTAACTTCAATTTTAAAATAGATTTCTCACGAAAAAAACAATTTTTTTATTTAATTCAGAAGAAGAGCCATTCTCAGAGACTAATTAAACTTCAATTAGGTTGTAATTTCCATTTGCGAAACGGAAATTTGTAGATAATTGAACTAATTTTTCAAGATCTTAATGAGAGTATGGGAAAGAACTTAATGAGAGTATCGTTCGATTTTTTTTTTTTTGAACTTATGATATTTTCGCGAAAAAGCTGCTGTAAGGAATATGCAAAGTCGTTTCGATTTTTTTTTAAATTCTACTAAAAGCGACTCATTCTAAATTTTGGAAGTTCTCTGATCTCTCCGCGGGCCAATGGCCTCCCTCGGTGCATAATTGCGCCAACCGCCGGCCGACAGAAAAACCCTTTTGACGATTGGATTAGGTTGGCGAATGTGTGGCGGTGGTGGTGGAGCAGGCAATTTGAAGGCCGCCGAAAGAGAGGGTCAATATTAATCGCTCAACGTAATTATGCAACATTTCGAACAGAAAAAAACAGCGGTTTTCGAGAGTTTCGGTCTTTTTGAACGCGATTTTTGAGGGCGCGGGAAAGTCAAATTTGATATAGAAAAAAAAGAGAATATTCCAATTTTTGCATTTGAATACAATTAGGAAGTGTAATTCTTGAAATAAGCTCTTTTTCAAACGCAATAAAGTTCATATCGCCGAGAAAAAGAGTTTATCTTCCTTATCCCAAATGATCCCCTTGAGAAACGATGAGAACGTTGCTTTTTTCCTTCCGATTGACGGCGTTGTAACATATTTTTTTCTTCTCAAAAGTACCATGTGTTTTTTTTTGGGTTTTTGTCGGTGGCTCTGGGTGGCTCGCCGTCCAATAAATCGTCGACACGACAAGTGCGTTTCGTCGAAAACCTTCAAGATTGATTGGCCTCTTTCTTTTTTTTTTGTTTTGAGAAGAAAACGTTTGAAAAATTTCCGAGTAACGAATCAAACCTAGTAGTGCACGATACTCCAAAAGTGAAGATAATTTTTCGCGTTGCGCAGTTTGAATAGATTTGCAATGCGATAAAGCGAAAGTGAGAAGTTTCGAGACGAATGTGACTATTTTTACTTTGCCGAAAAAAATGACATTTTCTGTCTCTTTGGAATGTTTTGAACCAAGAAGACGCTGTGGAGTTTGTTTGAGCAAGGTCCTAGGGGAAATTCGATCTCTTTTCCTATTTTATTACGCCAAGCCATATGGCGTCTCAGAATTTTGATTTGAGAGTTTAAAAACAGATGAAAAGGCGTTTTCTTCTTCTTTTTATGACACATTCAAAGCTTGCCGACCCCGATTTTGTGGTTGAAGACCAAAAATCAAGTTGATTTTTTGATTGAAGTAGACCAGGAAGCTTATTGATCGCTGATTTTTCCAGGCGAAACTGCCTCCAGAGGCGCGACACACGATCGGCGATGAGCCGGACCGCGACGAGCTCGTCTATCGGCCCGACAACATCGATCCAGAAATCGAAGACACCTACGTTCGATTGGCGCGCACTTTCCGCATCTACACGATGACCGGCGTCCAGATGCTCGACTCGCAGAAGAATGCGCGGGTGAATCGATTTTCTATGGTCCCTTTTGTTTGGCTTTCCGACCGAATCGTTTGAAAATTGTACGCTCCATTGGCAAATTTTGGAGTAAAAAGGTTTTGAATGCGAAAAATGACAAAGACGGCGTTCAAATGATCACGCAATAAAACGAAATGGATTCAAGTGGCCACTAGAGAGTACTCAAAAAAGTTTGAAACTGTTCTTGATTTTACACGCATGATTTGATAACGGCAAAAAGTCATCAATTGTGTAAAATCGAAAATAAAGTACAGTGGAGCGTACATTTCAAAACAGGCTATTCTGTATCCTCTAACATGGAATAGATAATTTTTTTATACTTATCTTCCAAAAATGGATATTTTTTGATCTATTCCATGTGTGTATGTACTTGTCTGTCTGTCTCTGTCGTAGAATAGATATAGTTCATTCACAATCGTTTATTGGGCTCTTCAAAGGAACTTGAGTGGATCGTCGCAAAAATCAAGCTTTTATTAAATATTTCATAAAAAAAACTGACGGCTCCCCCGAGCTCCTTTAAACGCCCTGGTAAATTTTTGTGATTGAACTAAAATTTCTGTACGAAGCTGATTGCCGTTCAGTCTGATGTCAAATTTAGAAGCGTTTGCAGGTGAGCGATCTGCTGCTCGACGAGGCGATCGCCCAGCTCCACCGCAGCGGCTACAAAATGGACGCGGCTCTCGTCGACATGGCCGCCAACGACCTTCTCCTGGCCGCCGACGTCGACTACATGACCGTCGACGACGCCAAGGTTCCTTTTTTGGAACTTGAACGTGTTTGGAGGGCAAGAGAATATTCTCTAGTGAAAACTAAGAAAAAAAACGACCAGAGATTCTTCCTTTTAGTTTACAAAGACCAAGCTTCATCGTGACATTTTCCAGAAGTTCGCCAAGGGCATCAAGACGTTCGGAAAAAACTTCACGCGGATACAACGCGAACTGCTTCCCCACCACAGCCGGGTTCGTTTCCCCTTTCCTTCCTGATTTGTTGCGATTCCCTTTCGGAGAACATTATTCACCAGCCGCCACTGAACATTGTTCCAATTACTCGATTGGATTAGTGGATTACCGTCTTGCCCAGTTAATTGTTCTAATTGCGCGGCGGCGTTGATTTGATTAGTTGCAAATCTGTTTAGCCTTACTCGCCCTTTTGACAATTTTAATTCATTTTTTTTTTGACTAAAGCTACAAGTAAAAAGCGAAAATCCCAAGAGAAAAAAATACGTTTATGATTCATCGTTTCCTGTCATTCTTTATCCCGTAGCGATTGTTCAAAACGCAGAAAAAATTTAGAAAAATTCGATAATTTTTCAAACTAGACTGTTGAAATCAGAAAACTGAGCTTTGACTCTGAGCTGAAGCGACTTTCTGGATTTTATGAGAAAACTTGAAAAAAATATTTTTTCCGAAAATTTGATGCGTTTTACCGTGAATCTTTTCCATGTTCTTTATGTTTCTAATCAAAAAACACGGCTTACGAGGATCGGAAATTCACCCCCCTGAAAATCAAATATTTGTCTTTGGCTCAATCCATTCTAACACGTCTCTCGTGTTCTCGATTCGTTTTTTTCCCCCCCCTTTATTTCTCATTTTTCCCCCCGTCTTCAGCCCACCTAGAATCAAACACGCCAAAAGAGCCAATGTTGACTCAAGTCGAGCCAAACGCAAATAGTAGCTTTTGATTGAGGGAAAAAAGACGTGTATGCGAAAAAGTGTTCAGTCTTTTTGGCAACGACACCAAGGGATGAATAAACAAACGTTTACTAATTCAGTTTTTTTTGCTAGTAATGAAATTCGATTTGAGGGAGGATTGGCCCAGATTTTAAAAGTTTTGTAGATCAAGCTTTAGTACAGAGAAATTTGAGAGTCATGGGAATAATTGCAAAAGGCGTCTTTTTAAGAATGAATTTTAAAAAAATGATTGATAAATATTCTTAAGTAATCACTTTCCAGGAACAACTGGTCGCGTACTATTACCTGTGGAAAAAGACGCCCGAGGCTACCAAACCCAAGGCAATGTCGCGCCAACGAAATCAAGCCGCCTCCATCAAGCGAGCCAACAAAAACGATAAAACCAAGGTTTTTTTTGCGACGATTTCGTTCGAAAGTTTCAAGTCGGGGGTTTTTCAAGGTTTCGCGGCCTGCTTCAACCGAATATCTCGATTTCGAATCGGCCAGCGAAAGTGACGTGGAGAACAATGGCCCCTCTGGTCGCGCATGCCATCATTGCTTCGGAACCAGTGAGTTTTTCGGGGAGATCTGTAAAGTGCGAACGCTTTGGCCTGATGGTAATACTACTTTTTTGTTAAGTTAGCCGTTTTGTGGGTTTCAAACTGAATTTCAACATAATTTTTTCCTGTTTTTTCAATTTTATAGCACATAGAAGTAATCATAGAAGATGCTCTTTGATTTTCTCAAATTTTTCATTTCCAAAAAACGAGCTGAATTCTGCAAATCATCGCGCTTCGATGCTTCTTGTTTTCCTAGGAATTTCGATGACTAAGTAATTTCATAATCTTTTTTTCTGTAATTAATTTACTAATAAGATGCAAAAAAAAAATAATCAGCAACGAAGCGGGAAGAGTTAGTCATGAAATTTGCACACAACAAAGTTAGAAAAGACCGAAAATCGACTTTTTTTTGACTTTAACTTCTGACGAATGGCACCCTCTTCACGTGTCTGACACATAATATTAGGAAACAAGTGCCCAAAATGAGGATTTTTGTGCAAACACGGCTCGCAAACAGAAGGCTAGAAAAAAAACGGAAGAGGGGAGAAAATCGCGTCGCCAAACCACTTCTCGAGCCACGCGACCCCTCGAACAATTGTGTGTGTAGTTGAAGACGTTTTCATGTGTTGCAGAGAGCAAAGACTGGCACCACGCCAACGGGATGCTGCTCTGCACCAACTGCCGGCTCCACTACAAGAAGTACGGTCAGCTGCGGCCTGTACCCGACCGGCCGACTACCGTGCCCCCGTGTCTCTTCAAAAGAAGTCCTTCTGGCGAGGACGACGACCATGGCGTCCGCACGCGTGCTGGCAAGAAGGAGCAGCGTCGCAGGTATCCTTTTTTCCCTTCTATCATGGTCGCATTTGAAATGGTTTAACGAGTTATATTTTTCTTTTTTTCTCTGCTGGATTCATTTTAGTAGGAAGTTTGGTATTTTCAGAAGTTCTGACGTTTCTTCAAAAGTTCACATTTCAAAAAAAAAAATAGAAGATCTAGCAATTATAAGAAAGCCTAATCTTGGCCTTTTCTTTGAGCAAGTTTTCAGAAAATTCCAAACTTCACACCATTTCCTTGTCGTTTAACTGACAGAATTCACTTTGAGCTCTTTTTTTATCTAAATCATCTTCTTGCTGCCACCGTATTCTAATCTCTTTTTTCCTGTTTGAAACGTTTAAGTTGATTGATAAGGTTTATATCAATTGGGTTGGTCCTTTAATAGGCTCTTCGAGGAAGTAATCTCCTAAACGATAGATAGAGACAGAGACAAAGGCGGCGTTGCCACGGCTAATCGCTTAATAGACCGTGGCAATGTACGGAGGCGCGCAATCTGCTGACGAGAGGGGTGTCATCGCCGTGGAGCAACAATTAATGGCTGTCTCTGTGACTGGCGTTTGACTGATGGCCGGACATTGCACTCGATCCTGGCTCCGCGTTCTTCTTCTTCGTCTCATTCTCCTCATTTTCCATCCTCCGAGGTGTTCGCTCTCGGCTTTACACACAGCGATTTGTTGCAAAGTTTAGAAATAGAGGGATATTTTTAATATTTCAAAACCTTCTTCTCAGACATAAAAAGATACAAAAAAACGAATTTCAGTATTTTCTGAAATCTTTTGATACGCTACAAAAAGCCTGAAAAAAATGTTTTTTTCCAGAATTCACTTTTTTTCTTGACCTTTTTTTCTATTGGCTGAGACTTTTTAGACGTTTTTTTGTTAGAAAATCAAAAGTTTTTTTTTCTCTCAGGATCTTGACAACATCATTAAAAAAGTGTTTTCGAAAACTTTTTCAAAAAAATTTGGAATGACCTCATCGTTAGGAAAGTATTTTTTTAGGGTCTTTAAATTTTTTTCATACTTAAAATTTTTCAATTTGACATTTTATGAACTAACTTCTTCAATGAAAACGGTCGCGAAACGTAATCTTCAAAAAAACTCACCCTATACCAGTGTTGCACGAAAGATACACACAAATAGGATAATTATCTCTCTGTCGAGCTTTTGACATATTTTATGACTCAATTATTCAATTTCGATGGGGTCACTCCGATTAATAAAGGCATAATGAGAAGAATAAGCGGCGAATTTTTCTATGCCGAGAAACCAAAAAACAGAAGAGTTTGAACTTAAAAAAAAATTTGTACTGCTTGAACATGCCTCTGAAACTTTGGTGCACGTCAGCTTTACACAAAAAAGCAGGCAAGAAGGAGACGCGCGACCTTTGGGTGCAGTAGTGGCGCCCCTGCTGAGAGCCGAGCATTCGTTCCTTCCGTCTCCTCCTCCTTGATCTCATCTCTCAGCGCAGACACACACACACACACAAGCCGTCTTTTCGCGGTTTTTTTCGCCGTGTCCAACCGGCCGACCATTTCTCTTCGGAACGTCTTTTTCGGGTGCATGTGACTCGTTGGACCTCTTTTTTTCCCTCTTTACCTCATGAAACCTTGTCGACAGTTCTTTCGTCCTTCACCATTCTTCTCTTCCTCCTCCTTTTTTTTCGTCGTTTCATCTTCTTCTATAGCTCGATCGATAGTGCGCCGGCATGACCTCTTCTCTCCGCCCAACGCTGGTTGAAGAACAAAAAAAAAAGAAAACAGGAAAGGCCGTTTGGTCTGTGTTGGTACGATTCTCTCTGAACACTCTTTTTTTCCATGTTCTACAAAGCTAGACAAATATTTGTAGCTTCTTGATCTTGTCGATTGTATCTTTGGACAAAGTTTTTTTTTTCGGAATGCAAAGTCTTCTCGCTCTCGCAATGTCGACGATGTTTGCCGGTGTCCCCGTCTTTTGACTGATTGCCTTTGATAAAAACGTTTTGATAACGTGTGTCATGTGACCGACACACGGCAAAACTGACCTAACAGCCACGCAATCCACATTTTTTTGTTGTATTCCTCGGGTTGGCCGTTTTGCTTTGCTCAACGGCTTAGACGTTGGATTTGCGACGATAAGCCTGTAAGCGTATAATTCCGGCTAAGCACATCTTTAAGTCTTTTAGATGGGCTGCTATTAGCCAAAGAGGAAAAAAAGACGCGGAGGAGCTTGTCAGCGATACTACCCCACACAAATGAGGGCTTTGCTCAAGTGTTTCACAGAATCCCTTCTCAAATCCCAATTTCTGAACTTTTTTTGTCGTATTAGAAATCCTTTTTCAGCTGTCCATAATCTAAGGATTTTAGTTCAGCTGGCTGTGAAAAAGGAAGTGAGCGATGAAGAGCCTCAATTTTATACACCCCACACGTTTTCGCGTTTATTGTGGCTTTTGTGGCCTCATAACCATAAATACGCGCAATTTCGGCCAGTAAAAAGAAAAAAGGTGTCGTTCCGATTCGTCATGTGTCCCCGTCACAGCTGGCCGTGTGTTCACAATGTTTTTCCTCTCCGTTTCATCGATTAAAATTGACTTTGAGGCCTCGAAAGAACGAACAGTGTGCACTTTCGCCTCTTTCCGATAAATAACCGTGTAAATTCTCTTTTTTCGATGATGACTTTATTCCCCAGGAACGCCTATGATGCGAGTAGGGCTTAGTCAAATTTATTCCATCCTTCTCTCCGTATTTGAAGTCCAGAAATCATTTTTTGGCCTTTTTTGTGCAAACAGTCTACATTTCTTATCAATGGACGCGTTTTTCTAGAAACGCCTATAAAGACGTAACGAAATACCCTCCAGAAGTGCTGCGTTTGCCTCCTTTTTGGCGTTTTTATCTTATCAGTTAAGAACGCGCTTATATTGGCTTATCGTCTTAGCAGAGTTGCTCGTTCGCTCTTAATGCCCCGTCATTCAGCCAAAAAAAGTGGGAGAAAGTATAGGAAAATGTTGCGTTTTTAGTTCTTCTCCTCCTCTTTCATTTTTACGATCCAAGCGGAAAAATGATAGGCGATGGTCGTAAAGTCGGCCTGATGATAATGGGGACTCGCCGCCGACTCTCGCAATTAATTACCTGACAGCCTCTTGGTTTTTTTTCCTCCTTCTCTATTTCATTGTAATGGAAGCTGTTCGCTCGGCGGATTTTGTAGGTCTTCTCCAGTGATCCTCGGCTTCGGTCGGTTGTTTGTTGAGAAATGAATGTTGCAGCGAGAATTGGGACAGTCCAACGGGGGTTCGTTCGACCGTGAAAATGTTGATTTGGATGATAGCGTTTGGTTGAAGCATCAATCTCATCTTCTCTCTTTTCTTATCATCCTATCAGATTTGACATATATATTTTGGCAGTGTCGGCGATGAGAACAAGAAGAATAATCTCTCGTCAGAAATTTCATCTCATCTCTTTTTCCTTCCTTTTTTTTTGAAACTTTTGATGGATCGTTGGCGGCCCATCTCCTTCCATTTTTTTTTGACGTTGGTGGGCGCGATTCATCATTGTGGAAAATTGTCTCTTCTTTATATTTTTGTCTGATGTTACAACGGAATCGGTGGCTACACTTCCTCTCGACGTCGTTTCTTTGATTCGCTGATATTTTCTCCGCGTTAGGTTGAATTTCTCATATATAAAGTGGCTTGAAGAGGCGGTCTTAGTTGTTCTAACTCGAACAGTAGCAACTATTTTAGTTCTTTCTCAGTTTCAGTCACGTTTCCTGAATAGTTTTCCGCCTATCATTCAAAGCGGCCTCCTAAACCGTAGAGCTCAGCTCGTTCCATGGTCGGGGTCTTCTCTGTGTGAATCTGGTGCCGAAAACATGAAAGGAATATCTTTTTGTTTGCTACTGTATAACGCGGTTTGCACAGAGTGTCCGTTTTTGGAGTTGATATTTAGAGTACGCACAGAAGCCTTCTGGTGTTGGGTCAATATTGTCTTTCGACTCGACTGTCGCCCCCTCTCAACCTCACTCCAAACGAACTTTGTGTCTCGTCCTCTTTTTTTTCCTTCTCCCCTTCAACCGATGTATTATTGACGATGCCTGGCCGACTTTTTCTCATGAATTTCCCATGATTTTGCGGCTCTCTTTTTCTCACTCTTATTCAGTGTTGGTTCTCAGTATTGTCCAATTTCAAAAAAAAAAAGGGACTTTCACAGAAAAAAAACTCTGAACTTATGGCTTTTGAGTATTTCCTCATTTTCCTCAAACACTCATTGCGAAAACTGTTATTTGGGTTCCAAACCATGTGATTCTGTCTGCGTCGCCTTTCGTATATGCCTATTTGAACCAAATGGACGATGTGGGTGTGAATGAAAATTGGCAGTGTGGAAAACGAAATGCATAGGCCCATGGTATAATTTCCACCTTTTTCGCGCCTAAAAGCCTGTGATTTGCCGTCTTCTCAAGCATTTTTCAGAACTCGTTTACTCGTCTATTCATTTTCCCTTATTTTGGTGTCCCATTGAGGAACGATTATCGTTATGGGGTGAGAAAATGAAGACGGCTTCCCAAAGACTTCAATTTATCCTTTTTAGTCAATAGCCTTTTTTAGCTCCTTTCTATATTAGTGATTTTGGCCTTCGAAGGTTTTCTTCTAAACTGATGAGGCTTCATTATTGCTTTATAACTGCATCATTACAGTCTTTAAATATTGGAGATTAAAGACAAGGTTTGCTAAACTTTTATTACTCGTTTTTTCGAACACTTCTTGGATTTTTTTTTCTATTGAATTCCATCAAATAATTTCGAGAAAAGTTGAAGTTGAATTCCAACAATTTAGATTAGAATCGAGAAATAGAAGGAAACGATTCCCTAGAGACAGCAGACAAGCAACCAATTTCTCATCACCCTCCAAACCTCAATCTCGAGCTCCCAAAAGAGGCTTCTCCCGTAGGTCACACTCATACATACATGTACAGCCTGTTGAAAGAATGTTTATGGGGCAGAAAAAAAAAGCGGCGTCTTCCTTCACCACCAACTTGATGAATTATTCACACAAAGCGTTGCTCTTCGCTGCGGCTTCTGATGCTCCTCTCGCCTCTCGCCTCTTCCCTTCCTATTCTCCCTCTGGAGTTCCTAGACTTTTTCCCTTTTATTTATTTCTTGACGTTGTGTGTTCCTTTTTCTATTATTTTCAGTATCAACTTTTTTTTTTGACATCTCGGCTTCTCCAAATGCGAACTTAGAAATTTTTCAATTTATCATTTTCTCTGGCTTTTGGAGAAACCAATTCAAACAGTTTTCGATCTCTTTTACATTATGTTGAAACTAATGTTCATATTTTCCAGTTGCCGAACCCCGTCTTCGATGAGCGAAACGGACGGCTCGTCACGACGTTCACCGGCTGGCAGCATTCACAACGGCGGCGGACTCGACGACGAAAAACTCATCACTCCCAGCAAACGCAACCACAACAGCAAACGCAACGGGAAACGTCCGCTGACGGCTCAGTCGCAGCCGACCTCCGCACCGACGACGCCCAACGGAGCCATGCTCAACGGACACGCCGCCACGACGCCCTCAACCCCCCTCTCCTCGCTTCCCAAGCGATCCAGGAAAGACGACGATGATGACGACGAGCCGAGAATGTACATTGACGAATCGGAGCCTGCCACGACGGCTGTCTCGCCAAATCCTTCATTGAATGGCTTGAAGCAAGAGAACAACATCAAGATGGAGAAGGTCGAAGAGGAGCCGTTTAGCAATGTCAATGGCTACCATAAACATCCAAACGGCTTTATCAAGAAAGAGGAGGTTGGTTTTGAAATGGCTCCATTCCAATGATTTATACTTATTTTGCAGGACTTGGAAGATGTGAAGCCTTCTACAAGCGCTGCTTCTTCGTTGTCCAATACAGACACGACGACTTCGCCGAACGTGACGATGACGACGACTTCCTTCAACAGCTCCCCCACAACATCAAATCCGGCTACTTCTGTCGCTCCTGAAACTCCGATCGGCATCGCCAAGAATGTTGGCTCAGCGCCGTCGACTTCTGCAAGTCCGAAGAACAACGTCATCAATTTGGAAGATGATGAGGACGTTGAACCGGACTCACCTAATGACACTTGGGTTCCTGGAACAGAGGTAATTTTGGAAATGATCTCTTACTGTTAACTACTCGCTTTTCTTCTCAGGTTGAATTCCAAACGCTCAACGCGAAGTTCGTCAGGTCTATCGTGAGATCCTGCGGCCACCGATGCTCCAGAACTGACCTCTCGTTCGCATTCAAGGTAATTTGAAAGGACCAGAAAAACCTGGGCAGGACCCGTATGAAAACTTGTTTCCATCAAGAGTTGAACAGATTCATTTCTTCTCTCAATCTTACAAGTTTGCTGAAAAAGAAACAAATGATGAAGAATAAAATCAAGTTCAAAGTTGATTTTCAGGAGGGAAGTGATTGGGACAACAGGCTCAAGGAAAAGAAGGCGAAGGAAAAGATAAACGAGAAGCCGATGGCGGTCGGCATCGGACCTCTTCCGGCTGGCGCTCTCATGGGTCCCCCAGTGCAGATGCCGCATGCCCAGATGCCGAACGGTGTCGTCACGCCAATGGCCATGCCCCATGCTGTCACTCCCAACGCGGCGGCTGCTTTCAAGAAGGAGCAGCATCAGCATCAACTCCAGCAGCAACAACACCACGCCGCCATGATGAACGCCGTCGCCGGCATGCCACCGAGCTCCATCGCCGAGTTCATCCAGCGAAACATGATGGTCGGACATCCGGGTCAGATGGTCGCGTCTCCGGCCGGCGCTGCTAATGGCGCTCCGCCTCAGATGGGTCCAGGCCCTCACATGGCCCTCAATATGGCTGGACTCGATCCAATGATGATCATGGCTCTGCAACAGCAACAACATCAACAACAGGTAACAACAAGTTCCTTTTTTGTTTGTTTCTTTTTCATGTCACGTGATGGCTCAAGCTAAAGGTGCATCAAAACTAACTCTGAAATATAAATTGAAGTTAATAATTTCAATTTCAGACGCAAATAATGCATCAGCACGCCGCGGTTCAAGCCATGATCGAACATCAAAACGTGAGTTGACTCAATTCTCAACAGTTTTCATTTCTTTCGTTTTCAGATGGTCAAGCAAATGGAGATCCAGCGGATGTTACAGCAACAGCAGCAGCAGCAAATTCAACGCGAACGAGAACAGCGTGAACGTGAACAACGGGAACGTGAACGAGAACGTGAACGTGAACAGCGTGAACGGGAGCAGCGCGAAAGGGAGCAGCGTGAAAGAGAGCAGCGTGAACGGGAGCAGCAGGCTCAGCAGCAAGCTCAACAGCAGGCCCAACAACAGGCTCAACAGCAGCAGCAGCAGCAACAACAACGATTCCTGGCTCAAGCTGGCGTCAACCTCCCGCCGGCTGCTCTCCAACAGCTTCTCAGCGCTGGAGGCTTCAACCCCGCCGAAATGCAACGCTTTCAAATGGAGTTTGTCCAGCAGCAACAGCAGCAAGCCGCGGCTGCTGCCGCCGCCGCCGCCGCTGCAGCTGCTGTCCAACAACAGGCTCAAGCTCAACAGCAGCCGATCACGCCGGAGATGCAGCAGCACATGATCTTCCAGCATATGATGATGATGAATCCGATGGCGATGGGCGGCTTGCCACCCAACATGAATCCGATGATGGCGGCGGCGATGGGCATGGCGCCTCCTCCAGCTCAGACTCCTTCTGCAGCCCAACTCGCCTCGCAGGCCACGTCCCAGGCCTTCAACGGCATCCTCTCTGGCGACATGATGCGCCGACTTCAGGCCGAGGCCAGCATGCGACACAACCAGTGATCCCTAACCTCCTCATCGTTTTTTCCTTGTTCTTGGAATGCGTTCAGAGTGTTTCGAAATGTTATTAAAGTTTATGAGCAAAAATTGAATTTTTTTTTTATAATAGTGCTTCCGAACGCATTTTAATTGCAATCTGATACCTCTGTCGGGTGCATCCAGTCCTCCACATAGTTACCGCCTCTCCGTTCTCTTCTACCGGTCGATTATCCAGCCCAATTTGCTATTGCGGGTTCTAAACCGTCTTTTTTTCATTAGTCTTTACTCGGTGATCCCGAAAAACCATCTGTTTTATTTTTTTCCTCTTTTCTGCAAATTTTTATACTTTTGAAGAATGTATTTTTGTTCAGGAATGTTTTCATTTTGATCTGCCAATCAATTGTGATCTGCATGGTGTACTTGTTTTTTTGTTCTTTTTACTCTGCAAACTCTCAAAAAAAAAGGGTCTTTCACTGTTTTTTTTTGTAATTGTTTCTGATTTCTTCACTCAAGTTTTCTGGTTACTAAGTTTTTTTCTCTTCCTCCTCAACTAAAAGGCGGGATTCCTTTTTCACTGTTTCATAACATCACCAAAACTCGATTTGCCTCAGGTCCGCATTCTCGCCCACTTGTTCGATAATTATTTTTAAGCTATATAACTATATGTAATATAAATACCAGGTGTACAGAAATTTCGAGAAAAACTGCCGTGATTTTGTTTTGAAGAAAAAAAGAACATTTTTTGGCTTCCTTAGATTTTCGAATGATATTTCAAGTGCCTTGGCGAGTATTGTAATATTCTGCATTTTTTCTCTTTTTAATAAACTTTTTGCGGCAATAATAAGATCCATTTCGTTTTTTGTTCCCCTTCCAATCTCGCCGGTATATTTCTTTCCAAAACTTCTTCATTTTGCAGTTTTTCTCACTCTTTTGCGTGATTTCTCTTGTTTGGCGTTTTCTTTCTGTTTTCTTTTTTCTCGCAAGCTCACCCGTACAAAATAAAGCTTGAAATAAACACCGTGTTGCGTTTCTCAGTGGAAATTTATCTGGAAAAAAGAACAAAGGACAGTTAAGAAGCGGACTAAATGTCTACCAAGAGCAGTTTGTTCATCGGCAATAGAAATTTGATTTGAATAAATGTTTCACAACCGGGAATCAGTTCAAAAAAATTTGAAAATCACACAAAGTATAAATCGAGGAATGTGAAGATCTAGTGAGAAAGAAGAAAAACAAATAAATAAATAATTTGGGAGAAGAAGAGCACGTTGGCACTGAATTCGAGACAGTTCGGATTTGATCCGAACCGCACTTTTATGCTTCGAAATTAATACTACCGTTTCAAATGACCTTCAATATAATGCATTTCTGTGGCTATGTACATAAATGACTGTTGAGAGAAATTTTCAAGGGTCCAGTCTAGTACAGGAATCTCTAATAAGTCGCGTTCAAAACGAATTAACGAAAAAAAAAACTTCTCTAATTTTTTTTTTTAAAACTGTTTTGAACGCTGTAAAAAGGAGCCGCTCTTTACAGGGTAAAAAATCCCGATGAAGAGCTAGAAAAGTGATTTGGTTCAAGAGGGTGAGACGTCGAGATCTACCTTTTTTTCTGTAAAACAAAATAAAACTCTGTGTATTGTCTGTTCAGATTTTGAATGCCGAATCGTCGCTCAAGCTCCGCCCCTGTTGGTGCGATAAACCAATCAGGAAATGAGCCGTCCACAGAGCGTCAAGAACTGAACAGGCAATAGTGTCGAATAAGAAAAAAAAAATGAATAGTTCATTCACCGCTGGCTTGAGAAAATACTTGTATGAAAAAGTGTGTGAAGTGACATTTCTGCAATATTCTCAAGCTTGCGTTGATTGATTTATAGTGGGTTCACAACTTGCTTTTCAAAAGTTCAAAAGCAGTTTCAGCTCTAGCTGTTGTGATCAAACTGCAAACACTTCAAAGGGAAAAGGTACAAAAAAGGAAATAAGCGAAACGGAGGGATGAGATCGGAGTGGGAATGGGAAGACTTTCGGAAGAATCACTTCTTCTCGTCCTTCTTGTCGTTCTCCTCCTCGACGGGACCGAGCGTGTGCCACTGGGCGATGGGTCGTCGCGGCGAGGCCAACATGTCCATCCAATGCCTTCAAATTCATCTCGATTCAGGTCTCGCCACGAATCCACAGACCTCAGTTCGGCGCCGGTCGCGTTGCAGCCCAGCAAGCATCGGCCGATCGCGTCGTTCGATCCGAGCTTATCGTAGTCCATTACCGTAATCATCAGGGATACTTTCTAAAAGTTTCTATTTGAAATCGAACTGATAGAAGTCCCTTCACCGAGGAGTTAATATGAAAAAACAGCTCTTTGACTTTCGACTCCTTTTTTGAGACATTCGCAAAATGATAAATTGCCAAACTAATGGTTCAATTTTCGGTCACCGATGGCGTTTCAACGACATTATCAGATAAAAAAAATTGACGTCAGGTACAAAGTAAACGCGCAAAAGTGGAGAACCGTCTTCTTCGGAGATAAAAAAAAATGATGGATGATGCAAGTGAACGTTGACGAGAAACGACTAGAGTTCATTATCGGAAATTTCTGAGAATTTCAAAGTTAGTGGTTTCTTATATACTATATATAGTTTTTTTCTCGTTTTAAAACTTTTTTTCTTTTATGAATTTTTTTACAAATAAAGAAAAAAAGTGCTTCCTTCATTTTGAACTGTTTTGAAAAAAATATGATTTCCTGCAGCTGTAGTTTCCATATAAACCTCGGTGAATGGACAAAAATTTATAATGGGTTCATTTTTTTTCTTGTCCTTCTTTCATAATTCCCTCCGGCATTCAGTAAATTTACCACGAATAAAGAAGCGATATTGGTAGATTAGCAAGGATGACGCGTTGCGTACGCGACGCGGCTTTACGGCGGGTCGTCGAACGCAACCATAGAAAAATATAGAGGAATTTTTTTTATCATTTTTATACTTCTGTTTGTTCACCTGATTCTTTTCCAACTCATGAAAATTGAAACTTGTTGGAAAATTGTCGAAAAAAGAGAAAAAACGTTGCTCGTTTTTGACCTCAAGTTCCCCACCAAAAAGCCGCGTCGCGTACGCAACGCTTCACCATTGCCAACCCACATATCTCGCCTTTCAAGTCAGGAAGGTTTGACTATATTCTCTTGGCCGTAACGAAAAAGAAACCGTGTCCAGCTATTACGCCAGAGTGGACTTTGAAAAAAATGACGGGCAAAAAGTGAACCTCACTATTTCGGTATGGTCAGTTAGCTCATATAATGTGTGAGAAAGAGAGAAAGAAAGCAAGAAAAAGCGATTTTGTTAGAAGCGACCTGGATCTGCTCGAAGGGCACTTCGAAGCTGAACGACTCGTTGTAGTAGGGGTTGAGGGTGCACTTCTTGATCGACGTCTTCTTTTTCTTCAGTCGCTTCCCGCCTTGCATCAGCACCAACTTCACGTACGGGTCTGAAAGGCGCGAAACGTGCAGGTTAATTGAATTTTTTCAGAGATTAGGTGATTTTAGTTGTGTTTATAGGGTATATGATAGAATAGAAAAAGCAAAATTTCAAGTAAAAGCTATGAAAATTCTTATTTTTGAATCGAAAGTTTTTTTTTTCACAGATCAAGGGAAAAAAAATCCTCAATCTTTAGGCATTGTAAAGAACGCCAACAAATCACTTGAAAAACCCGCTCTTTCGAAAAATTCCCAACTTTTTTTGTTCTTCACTTAAATTTCAATATAAAAAAGATGAAACGCAAAAAATTCGCCTCACATTTCTTTTTTAAAGTCTCGTTTTATAACTAAGTACAGAAATAATGAAAAATTCATCCCTGTCCTCCTTCTAATTTAGCCAAGGTTCGAGCTACCTAACTTATTCGTTGAACTGCTCGTTTAGTCGTTCAATTTATTAAAAGAAAGAAAAAGGGACTTTGAAGCGAACCAGACACTATGAAGCAGTAATTATGCGCGTGTTAGTATTTCTTTTTTTTTTTTTCAAACTCTGACGTTCGTGCCCAAAGATCGCTGTAACGGATGGGCACGTTCAAAGTGATCCTCTTAATTGATACGTTCAAGGTTCCTCTTTGGGCTTGATAACAGAAAAATCAGACTTTTCGGCGACCATAGTTTCGAAAATTTGGGGAAAGTGCTCATTATTCGGTTATTATTTTATGGATTTCCAGTCAAAAAACTTCAGTATTTTTTGAGAGGAAACTAAAAGCCGTATAGAGATTGTGCTCCCAAAAATTCAGCTTAAAATTGCGAATAAAAATTTTTTTAGTAAATAGGCTATTCTAGTGAATTCTTGAAGCTTTTTATCAATAAAAATAATCTTGAGGGCCTCGAAAAACATGGAGAAAAAACTCAATCTCTAATGTATACTGAAATGGCTGAAATTTAGCGGCCACTTTAGAAATCTACCACTAAACTATTATAGTGGCCACTGAGACTTTTATTAAGGTTGTTTCAGTGGTCCCTTCAGTTTCCTTCCCAAGTGGTCCTTGAGGAAACTCTTAAGTGGTTCCCAGAGTAAAAAATAATTTTGAACGCGCCATAATCAAATGTTATAGCGATCCCCATAGGCTCGATTGTCAGAGAATGGACCTCGATTCTCAAAAAGGGCAGGTTGTCAAAGTAGAACGCCTCATTGTAGTAGGGGTCGAGAGTGCGGCGTTTGATCTTCGTCTTTCGCTTTTTCAGCCGTTTCCCATTCTCAAGGATTTCCACCTTCACGTATGGATCTACGAAGATGCTATTTCCATATTTGACAACGTCTTTTTCTTGCTTGGACGAAAAGTATACCTGAAAGTCCACCGACGTCCATTTTCTTCAAGTTTTTCGCCTCGAGAACCACTACAGTTAGTTTTCCGGCGGTAGGGACGTATCGGAGGGAGAAGCAAATGTCTCCGAGCGATTTATCCTGAAGAATTTCTCCTTTTAAAAATAACAAGATCAATTTCGAGCTGTTCCTCTTCATTAATATCTTAAGAAAAATCATACTCCTTTTTGCAATGTAATCGTTAGAAAAAAAAATTCGTCGGGAATGAACTGAAATTTCCAAAAATGGCGCCAGCTGATAAATAACCCGAAACAGATTGAAAATCGTACTTTTAGTGAGAAAAAAATATTTGTCTGTTTAGGAATCGAATTTCAAGTACAATGACGTCATTCGAAAACGCTCTTTAAATTAATCGCTCTCTGATTGGTTTATCGGACCATTAGGGGCGGAGCTTGAGCAAATGACTTGACATTCAAAATCTGAACAGACGTTCATCTAGCTGTTTTTAAAAAAATACAACATTTTGGGAAAATTTTTAGTGGCCTCTATAGGGTTTTGACGTTTTAGTGGCCACTATAGTAGTCAAATTAGTGACCAATTGAGAGGTTAAAAATTAGTTGCCACTATAAAGGTCTAAGTACTACTACTAGACCACAAAAAATTTTAGTGGCCGCTTCAGGGGTCGATGGATTAACATAACTGGTCTAATCTGTTTGTTTTAAAATTATCAGAATTACTGGAAGCAATACTAGATGAAAAAAACCATTTTAATTGAGAATCTTTATAGTGGCCACTATAGAGGTGGGTTCAGTGGCCACTTTAGTGTTCTCTCCAAGTTGTCCTTGGCGAGCCTCTATAGTGGCCACTAAAAATTTCCCTAGTTGCTGAAAGAATTTCAAATAATGAAACCTAGATCAGTTCAACTCAACGAAAATTCCGTTTCGAGAAAATTAAAAACCCACAATTTTATGAGAAAAAACTGAAGACTATTGTAAAACGGCATACAGTTTCAAAAATCAATAGTTTGTTATTCCCGAGCTTTATTGATCGAAACATTAATGTCCTGTATTTCTGAAAACCCACCGCTTCTTTGTCATCCGGCGGCGGCGCGATATCTTTCCATTCTTCGATAACTTGTCCCAAATCGATCTTACCCAGCGGGATCAGTACCTAGGCAACATTTAGTTAGAGTATTTTCCTCTTTCAAAAGTACCTGTCCAATCTGGTCATGTTTACTGAAACGATCAAAGTCGTATATGGCGAAGACAAGGGTTTTCGAGGTGATTTCGTTGAAAGCGACCTAAAGCCGTTATTTTGAGGACTCGAAATGAGAAAAATAATATACCTTGAAGATGAAAGTTTCGTTGAAGACAGGGTTGAGGGTTTTCCGGTGGACCTTGGTCTCGACCTTCTTCTTCTTCTCGGGCAGCAGGTAGAGCTTGACGTAGGGATCTGAGGTCCCGCTCATGTCCATTCCTGGCAGATCTTCTGCTTGGATCACCGTCACGGATAACTGAACAAATAGTTGATAACTTCGAAGAAAACTTGAAAGTTTGAAAGCTAAGTTGCGTTATGAAAACGAAAAAAACGCAAGCAATCGAATAAAAAGAAATTTTTTTACTCATATTTACAAAAAGACCTTTACTACTTCAATTTCAACTTCTACTTCAACTTCAATTTACTTCAAAAAAACTTCAAGTTTTTCTTTCTGTATAAATTTCAAAAATGAGACCAAAAAAAGTTGAAAAAAATACGATTTAAAAAGGGATAATTTTTCAAAATCACTGAAATTTTTTTATCCGAAACTTTTTCCTGTAAAATAAATTTTTTCTAAGCCTGAGAAGCGAGATGATTTATTCAACGCGAATGCCTTCAATCAAAAAGCCTAAATAATAAAAAAATTCCAAATAAGTTATGACTGTAGAAAATGCTGTATAGTATGATTATCATGATAGAAGAGAATAAAGTGAAAAAATTATTTTTATTCCTTCTAAAAAAGAAACTCACAACGCCTTCGTACAAGTTCTTCGAATAGTTTTCGCTTCACTTTTTTTCTCGATTTAAATTCTCCGTTTTTCAAAGAATTTTGGACTGTTCAGTAAATGTTATCGATACAATAAGAATGAGCTTCAAATCAAAAAAAAAAATCTGTTTTTCAAATTGCAATTGCATAAAGTTCTATTATACACTTTTTCTACCAAATTGCTCGCTTTTTGGAAAAGTTTTTCTCCACAATTTGACCGAAATTTCTCAAAGACTATCGTAGCCGACCAAAAAACGGTTTTCGCACCTGTCCTTGCTGGAAGTCGTAGTCGAGTTTGTACTGTATCCGGCCGAGCTTGACCTCCTCCTTCTCCTCGGCCTGCGCCTTTTCGTTCTGTTCCATCGCGTCTCCGAGCTCTTCTAGGTCCTGGGCCATCTGAAAAACAAGTTCGGTAGGGAAAAAAAAAATAAAAAAATGACTCACGCCGCCAATATTCTTTCCGTCGATGACTTCTTGTCCTTTGCCGAAAAGACCTTTGAAACCACCCTGAAATCAATCTGTTTTCATTTATTACTGCAAAAATGGATCAGATAATTACGATCTTTTTTTCAAATTCGGCAGAGCAAAACTTTTTTTCACTTTTCATCTCGCTCTAGTTTTTCGAATAAACCACCACAGAACTTTCTCGGACTTGTCGGGGCCTAGTCACCACTTTAGTAGCGTCAGAACTCTTAAGTGGTCCCTCAAAGAAGTCCAGAGCAAGTCTGGTTTTCGTTAACGAGGTCCGAGCTATTTCCTGATCTAACCGATAGAAATCAGCTTTTTCCCCGAAAATAAAAATTTATGACTATTGGAAAAAGTTTTTCTTGCCCAGTCTTAAAAAAATAATTTTTACAGATCTTTTGTTTAACTAAATCAAAGAAAAACGTGGTTTCCACCCCAAAACGCACCTTTTTGTTCTTCTCCCCATGCCTCTTTTTGCCGAACAACTTTCGCACGAGCATGAAGCCGCATCCGAGAACAATTAGCATGAAGATGATGCCCAAGAAAACGAACGCCCATTCCGGCACTGGAAAAATTTATCGCAAATTACCCTAGTCTAATTTGTAGTGCAAATATAGTAATTCGTGAGGCGCGGAATGGAACAACACGCCTTTTTTTTCCCATTCGCTTGATTGTTTTTTTGAGATTCCACGGAAAAATTCTGTTTTTAGTCTTCTCGAAAATGAAACAGAATAATTTTCGTGTGAAGAGCATCAGAAGCCGAAAATATACAACTGGAAATGTAAGCTGATTCGGAAAATTTTGTAAAGTCATGAGGCAAATAGGAATTTTTTAAAGCTCTCTTGAATTTATTTTTCAGTAAATTTGATTTTTTCATAGTAAAATATGAGGAAAGTCGTAAAATAAAAAAAGCTCAGGAGGGCAAAAAAAGTAAACCACAATATTCAAAAAAAGCCAAATTTTTTTCGAAACCGATTATATTGCTTTTATATTAGCATATGAAACACTCAAAATTTATTCTAAAAATTAAGATAACACGGCATTCCTAAAGAGGTGAGGGAGGGTGAACGAGGCGTCAAAGTTTCTGAATTTACAAAAAAAAAAGTAAGTGCGCGCTCCGGATAAAATGACGTCATAATTACACTGAGTATTCAACGTTAATAACTTGTTTGTTCGATCACCTTTGGCTGCGTACTTGAGATTTCGAATTTCGCGCCAAAGTTTTTGTTGACGTCTTCCCACCCCGTTCGGGAACGCCGTGATAAGAATTTTGAAGTTGAATAATTAAAAAATGTATACTTGAGTAGCTGTGCTCCATGGAAAAACTTCACTCGTGATTTTGAAATCTCGGACATTGGTAACGCGAAACGGACGTACTCCGGACGTTTCTGGGCGATTCTAGGGATCACTTAAAAGTGCTGAGGCTACTAAAGTGGTCACTAGAAATGCCAACGTCTGGAGCATGTCCGTTTCACGTTACCAACCACGATAAAAAAACTTTGCATATAAAATTATTAATTAATTCTCAATGTGTTCTTGGAACGTCAAAAAATTGCCTTATGAATCCCATCGCTTGTTTTTTTAGAGATATTATTTCAAAAAAGGCCTTTGTCCCAGGAGAAAATTTTGAACGAGTCTATTTGAAGGAAGTACTTGCAAAATGAACTAACTTCCAGTTTCCTTCATGACTTTGGCCTTGACGACGTCCTTCACGTCGATCACCTTGCTCACGACCACATCTTTTATCGATTCGCCGGTCGTCGTCGCTCTGCAAAAAATGAAGAAAACGTTCAGAAAAGAGCCGAAAAATGAGCTGCATCCATGTCGGAAATGTTTGCGCTCAAATGCCAATTGGGCTCAATTTGCATTTCTCGGCATCTCTCGACCGCCAAACTCAATTAGCTATTTGACCTTATGAACGCCAACAGTTTTTTTTTTCTTTCTTTTTTTTGAATAAAAAAAAGGTCGTCTATAAAACAGTGGGCCCCACAAAATTCAAAGAATGAAACTTTGTGAGCACTACTCAGCTTCCCCTCACATCATTGTGGGAAAAGTGCGAAGAGTGCCGATTTTTTAATTAGATTTTGCCGTTCCTCGCCAGTCTCACATGTTTTTTTAATCTGTAGAAAACGTCATCGCTACTGAAAATTTGCTAATTTGAAGTTGTGGGCTAGTCTGAAAAACTCGACTCTTTCCCAGGAAAATCTTTCCTTTATGAGAATTTTGAAAAGTGAGATACAATTTGAAGGCAAACTACTGGTATAAAGACTTTTCGTAAAAGGTTTGGAGATCATATTTTTCTTTCACATGAAAAAAATAAAATTTTCAAAAAAATTGTTTGTTTCCTGGGTTCTTCTCCGCTTTCCAACGACAGCACTTAAATATAAAAAAGCTTTGAGTTCACAATTTTGAAAAATTGATCGTTTTAAAAAGCCATTTTCCGGAGAAAAAATCTTTCTCGCTGAAAATCCTCGTAAAATCGTCCGGAATTTGTGATAGAACCCAGCGAATCGCTCCTAATTGAGTTATGCGCCGTCCGGCGATCGCCATTAATTCGATTTTTCTACTATTCTCAGAAGCGTAAATAGAAAGCGGTTCAAACATTGAAAGTGTACGGATTTTCCATTTTGGTAATAGTTTCCCGAAAACGAAACCAAATATGGTTAAAAACAAGGTTGTTTACGAAAATCTTTTGACAATAGGAAAATTATGAAAATATTTGTGGGAAAAGCCATTGTTAAAAGTTTCCACGCAGTTTTACGTCACGATATCTGATGTGAAAAAAAAAAGTCCGAATGAATAGTTCAGCTGTCCAAATATCGAGGAGGCGTTCATGATTAAATAAAAAATGTTGGAAGTGGATACTATGTTTGAAGTTTTAAAAACGGCATGATGAATCGAATTGTTTCATAATTTAAAAGTCGGAGGTCCTTCTATTTTTTTAGAAAATGGAGAAAAAAATCATTTTTCCCTCTCCGTTGTTTTTTTACAATGTAAATGTACCTTCAATTAGAATTTATACACGATATTGATAATGTAATAGCAAGAAATGAGAGAAGATTTCTGTTTTGTACATAAAAATCGTGCAAAAATTGGAGCTTTTAACTTGAATCTTACAAAACTTTAGAAAAATCCGTTTCAAATAAAAATCTTGGATAAAAGATAAATCTTTATTCCGAAGAACCAACTCAGTGATGGCCGCCTTGGTCGAGGTTTCCATTGGCGCGTCATTGGGAACGAATTCTTTGGTGAGTTCCTCCTCGGCGCCGGCGTCGTCATCCTCCGAGAAGTCGTGGATCTTTACCATCACCCCTCTGGAAGTCAGAAATTGCAAGAAGTTCCAACAAAATAAAAAGGAACCGATTCGTAGCTTTAAGGATGGAAAGAGCAAAGAAAATCGAAAAAGCAAAGAAAAAAATCCAATGTTTATAGGCGCGACCGACTTGAAACGACTTACGAGCGTTGGCACTAAAAAATCGTTAAAGCACCTATACTTGAAAGCTTTGCGCCTTCCCATTTTCCAGGACGTTTAAATACGAGATGAATGATTTATAAATCGCCAGGCACTTTTGGAAAATGGTTGGAACTTTGAGTTGTTGATGTTTGCAAGTCCAAAAAATAAAAAAATTGGAAAAAAAAAGCATAAATCGATAAACAAGAACATGGCAAATGGAAAAGTGGCACGAGAAGCCAAGCGTGGGAAGAACGAACGAAAAATGCGACAAACAACTGACTTATGGATATTTTCCATGTAAAGAGAGAAAAAAAAATGAGCTTTTCATAAGAGTCAAAAACCGATTATTGAGGTGATTTACATCATATCTTCTTCACTTAGTTGCACGATTATTCAAATCTATCATAAATTCCCAATTATTCTCTCAATTAAAATACAGAACGTAATAATATTGCTGTTTATAGACGCTTTCGGTGAGCTATTTACATGCAAATGCCAATTTTTTTTTTCTGGATAACAAAAAAACCATTCATTTTTATTCCAATGGCATGAAACGAGAAAAAGGACATTTTTGGCGGATTTACGGCTTCACGAATGGCGTCAGGAAGAACCACAGGGTCGAATTTCAGAGGGACTCTTCTCAAATGGAGAAAAAATTCCGTGTTTTCTCGGGGGAGGATCTGACGGATTGGAATGGAATAAAATGAAGACGAAAAGAGAGAAATTTTCGAAATTTGATGGATTTCGAACAAAGCGTGGTTGATTAGTTTTCACAATGCAATTTATTCGTGGTTTAGATTCAGAAGATTTTTTTTTTTGCAGAAGACTTCAAAATTATTCATGACACAAAGTCTTTCAACCATCTCTACTTTACTCTTGGGTCCGGAAAAAGGAGATATTTTCAAAAGGACAGCCTCCTCTTTCTAGTTAGCTCAAGGACGGAAGAAAAAATTTAATTTCGAAGCCCATCTAAGACGGACGTCACTACTGACCCCTCCTCCCTTTTTCATTTATTTGTTTTTTCGAGGTGAAGCCCACTAATCCGTGAATTGGCGAGGATTAAGGTGAATCTCGAAATCGTCATAAAATGACAAAAAGAGACAAAGAGCAACGAAGGGAAAAAACTACGAATAAAGGAGATAAAAGGGAGTTGGCGGCAGAGTTGTCTGCGCAAGGAAAACGTGAAAAACGAAGAAATAGCGGAAATCAATTCTTTCTTCCGCGCCTCTGAGGCTTTTGGTTCGTTCGCCTTTTTTGGCTCGTTGTCCGTCCAGAGAATGGAAATGTAGATCAAAGAAGACATTCTAAGAGAGAAAAAAGGGTCTTTGGACAGGATGAAGAATGAAAACGATTTTCTCACGTTTATAGGAATCGGAGGGTTGTGATTTCGTAAGAAATTGAAAAAAAAAATCCGTTTTTATAAGCAAGAAGAAACATTTTTCATATTCCTCTAGTTCATAGTTATTTATGCAGGTTTTGGTTATTCTGAAAATCAGAGAGCAACTTTGGCTAGAAAAAAAAAAAGAAAAGCTCTGTGAGCTAAAATGTCTTATGAAGATTACGAAAAACATTTTTTTGTTTAAACACATTTTTCAAAATTATCTATTGGCCTTTCAGATCTGTCACCTATTCTCAATTCACCACTAGTTTCTCTCAAAAAAGCGTAGGTTACCGTAACTCCTTTTTTGCTCATTCAATGGCTCAGAACCTCAAAAATTCACTGAAAATGCATTCCATGCCGACAGATGAGTATTCTTCGGATCAGACTAGAAATAAAAGAACGAAGAAGACGTTCAGATGTTTCATCAAGTGGAAAAATTCCTGAGCAAATTACCAATTCTTTGAAATTTCATCTGTCTCGGGGCAAAAAAGGAAGTCGTTGGAAACTTCCTTCCGTCTGCTCGGCCGCTTCTCATTATTAACATGTCCTTCAGAGCCACATCAGCCACCGGAAAAGACGAAAAAAGGGAAGAAGTCGTTTTTTGATCTCTAATATTAATCTTTCCATTTTTAATTTCTGTCTTTTCATACTGCTCCCTAATGCATTGGGAATTAATTAGACTCGTGCTGATTAATGTTCGAACGCCGATTCGACCAATTTTCCAGTTGCTTGTTTGTTCAGCAGGGAAAAAACTTGAAGAATAATTGAGTCGTTTTTTGGTTTGGAACAAATGTCAAAACAAATTTTTCCCATGCAGATTAGGGCAGTCCAGTTTTCATTTCTCGAAAAAAAGGGTAAAAAAGAAAAAAGAATCTTTTCGAAAAAAAAACTGAGACTTTCCCATATGCTGAGCAATAATTCTCAGGACTCTTACTTTATAACTTTTCAATCAAACTAAGGCCTCTTAAATATAAAAAATAAGCTGGACCTTTTGGAAAGCTCATAAAGCTTGTTAAGAGAATTGAATAGAGATTTGAGCCGACAAAAACTAAAAAAAAGATCTTTTTAATGAATTGAGAATCAATAATAACCGGAAAAAACCTCAGAGTTCAATCCCAGAAAGCTTTTAAAGAGAAACAGGTGAGTTGGTCAAATGTTTTCCGAGCGCTTGAAACTTTAAGCTGGAAAAAAGAGCGTGGAAAAGAAAAATTAAAAATTCGTGGGGCCAACTCACATGGTCCCAGGGGAACCGAAAAAGATGGGATAAAAAAGTATGGAAAAGCGGAGAGACGAAAAAGGAAAGAAATCGATTGGCTCGGCGGCGGCAGCTCCTCCGCCCACCCTTGCCGTGCCGACGGAGATGGCCTTAAGACCTGGAACTAGCCGAGTAGAAGTCTTCAAGTGGCTGCTATAGTGATCTATCCATTTCTCAATGAATGCATCGACAGTATAGCCTAAGTCGTGCGTCTAACTTAATCTTTACATTATTGAAGGCTCAAATGTGACTTTCGTCAACATAGAAGTCTGAAAACTTTGGAGACATGCCTTCAAGAACTTCAACAAGCTTCTAACTCCACGCAAAAGTCGCAAAAATGAGATGTATAGCAGCAAAAGACTGTTGAAAGCCCGGAGTGGGAATAGAAGGTGAACCAGCCCGCCCCTTTTTCAGAACTGTTTACGGAAGATCAAAATTCCTAACCTAATAAACTTATACTTTTGTTTAACAATAAAGCTTTATTTTCGCGGCTTTTTTTTAAGCTTCTTACCAGGGTCAGAGACCTGTAAGACAACTTTCTACGTTATGGCTCAAAATCACATTCTTTATCTTAAGAATCTACGTAGAAACTTGAAGATCTATGCTTAGAGTGATTATTATTAATATTAGACAGATATTATCTTTTATTTCTTAAAAAAATTTATCTGAAATTGCATCACCTTCAAATTATCACTGGGGACGCTGTTCTTGAGTTCTTTACAGCTATTATTTTTGAGAAAGTCTGACAAATATGATAAAAAAAATCAAAAACTTTATCAAATCACAAACTAATTTAACAAGGATGAAAAGGTATCTTTTGAACTAACCAATTGTCGACGAAGTTCAAGGTACTTCCAACTGATAACATGATTTCTCTTCAAGAAATAGATTGGACCGTGATTTGATTGCTCGTGTTCTTTTCCAGCTTCATTGAGAGAACTTGTTTGATAACTTTGATCGCGTCACTGTTCAATCGGAGGAAAATTATTCCATTGGAAATTCCTGAAATGTGGTCAAAATAAGAGGTCTAAAAGGCATGCTGGAAAGTCGGTCGGTACTTTTTTGTTATGGCATTTTTTCTAAATTTTTAAAGTCTTTACGACGATTCCGGGAAGATAAAGGTTTGAAAGTACATTTTTTTCTTCATAATGTATACAGTTTCGAAGCTTGACTCTCACAGATCTGTTCATGGAATGTTCTCAAATTCCCTTTTTCTGAATATTTCTATTTTCGCTATTCCTAAAATCTTATCAAAAACCATTTGCACATAAAAAAATTTACTTTCAAGTCGATTAAAAAAGGCCGACCTGAGTTTCAATCTAAAAAAAAATTCTCTCTGACCGCCATTTTGACATTTTCAGACTATCAACACTAATAGTTATAAGAATTGTGTAGAATTAAACAATTTCGAGCTGTAGAAAAATCGGAAAGTTCAAAAATGACGAAGTTGAAAAACCGACCGACTTTTCTAACATTAGAAAGGTCTCCTCACCTGTCAAGACCAAGCCAGTGATGTAAAATGGGCCAATAGTTGCAAAAACAAGGTTGAGCCACGTGAAAACTTCAACTGCGCCGATGAAAAGGCTGGGAATTGTGCAAAAGCTCAGAGATGTCAGCAGAATGGCGCAAGCGACACGGTTCGCCTTGTAAATATAAAGTTATCAACCAAGAGAAAAGGCTCAAATTTGAACCTGAGCAAAACGTCGTTGGTTTTGATCGTTTAACTTTGCTGTTGATTTCGATTGCTTCAACTGGCTTGTTTTTTTGAATGTCTTTAGTTTGATCATGATCGTCAACGTGAGAACTGCCACTGTCAGGCCGAGAAACTAAACAAATCACTATTTAAATGAAATGGACACAGTGGAAATCACCGCATTAGTGTATCCGAGACACTTTCGAGACAGAGAAGAAACGAAACAACCTGCGGCAGTACAACCGGGGACGTCATGGACGTCGCCAAGAACACACAGTAACAGAAAGTCCAGAAAACCGAACAGTACTCCGATCACGGCAACGGTCCTCGAAAAATGGCTATTTTTCCGTTGATGATACCAGATTGGTAGGAAAATCGCCTGTAATCATAGGAAGTTTAAGACCTTCAATGAGAGAAACTCTAAAAATTTGATGTTTTGTGAATATTTCTATTATTCTTTAAGGTTTTCTCAAACGATCTTTCCTGAGAACCATCGAGTAAAGTTTCACTTTCACTTTTTCTCACTCGAAAATCGTCTAGGTTTAGGCTTTTTTTATTGGTTCTGAAAAATTTCATCCAAACATCATTTATTTCCACAATTAAAATTTATACAGCTAGAAAGTTTTTTTACAAAATGATCAATATATTGAACAAAAAAAGTGGACCTACCAAGCAACGATCCACAGCTACGGCAATAGTAATAGTCAGATTGATTTTATATTCAATTATCAGAGGTGAATTCGAATAAACAGTTATGAAAGGATCGTAATGAATATTAGTTGGGCGCCAGTTGATAATTAAATACAGCATTCCAGGAACAGCTGGGAATCATGTTTTAGGTTATTTTTGAAATTAAAAAAAATTATTCTAGTTTTTAACTACTTGCTGCGAAAGTTGATCTTTCTCCGCAAACTTTGAACGCTAAACCTTGAAGAAGGATTTCAAGTTGATTTTTATTATTCGATAGAACTGAACTCACAGCAGAAGGCGTACAGCCAGTCAGCAATTGATAAAAGAAGTATAAGTTGGTGATTTGTGCTCGAAAGAATTGATGGCTTCCTTCAAAATAAATTTTCAAAGGTCTTTCTAAATAACTCACCGGTAAAAGACGAAAAGAACTAAACTGTTAATAGTAAAACTAAATACTTGAAGAACCGCATTAAGTACTAACATTATGAAATGTTGGAATCCCATTTTGAACTTCTTTTGCTGAAAATCAGAAGAATGATAAAAATGATTCTAGGAAAGGAATAGTGTTTATAGAGATAGAAAATTTCCCTTTATGGAAACTTATCGACTCGAATTTCAACTTTTTTGCGGATAGACATGTTTATATTTTCAGTAATTTGAATGAGCACAAAAAACAGAAAAACTTCTCGGATCAGTACCATTTCCAAGTTCTCGTGCCCTAGTGAACCGGACAGAAAGTCTTTAAAAAATCCTTTAATGAAATAGGCACCAAAAGCACTCAGAAAAGATACTTAGAAAAGAGTTTATTTTGTTTCAACCTCGCTAAAAAAAACATTTAACCGCAACAGAGTCGAAATTTAAAGCGACAACCTCCCATACGGTAACCTCCGATCACCAAATGAAGAACCTGGCAGAAGAAAATTAGGTTCTCACGAAGAATTGTCATCGGACAAGACATATAATATAGGCGGTAAATTATATGGGAGTAGGAACCACACATTTGGCGCTAAATATTTGGTTTGCAAAAATTAAAATGTTTCTTTTGAAACCTCAGAGACCCTCAATTTTTGGTCCTAGAACTATATTTAGAACCGTAAATTATAAAAGATATGGCTTTTTGTTTGGATAAGTTTTCCGTAATTAATTCGTTTCGTGACATATGGCTGTTTTAAAAACTGAAAGAGTGTGTTCTTGGTTTGCAAAATAAATGACATGAAGAAGAATTTAAAATAAGTTTCGATATCTTCAGATCATGGACTTTAGATTTTAGGTAGCGTAAACTTTCGAGAGACGGGAGTTCGAGTAGTTTCAAGGCACATATTTGATTAAATAGCTGGTTTGAAAAATAGTACTATCCAAACCTCTGCTTAGACGACAAGATATATTCATGAGACCACATGCAACTCGTTTTGAGGTCGGAACAACTAACCGCTTCGCAGTTGCTGCGCGTTGATCCATTTCCAGTGCGACCGTTTTGCGTTAATTCCAAGCAAACCTAGTATAAATATGTAGTGTTTTTTGCACTGCGAGGGTTCACTTTTATGCTTTTTTTTTTGAAGAACATGAATTTTTAATAGCATAGGAACTCTTCTCATTGCTAACCGTTCTGAACAAAGTTCGAAAATTTTAAAAATTCACTGTTTGTATTTATTTTTCCCCTTTTTCGGAAATATCAACGAACTCAGCGTTTTTTCTCTCCTTTGGTGTTGAATAAAGCAAAAAAAATACCGCGAAAGCGCGAGAGTTGGGGATTATAACCGCGCGACCACACGCCTCATTCTCAGACCCGCCATTGTGAAACCACGGCCGCTGCGTCTCTGACGTCACTCTGGTGCGTCTCGCCGAATTTGGCCCTGTGCCAAAATCGCGACAGCCTGCTTTACAATCTGCCCGGAATGGTTAAGTATACCCGATTTTTGCGATTTTTTTCTCTTAAACGTTTTTTAGAAGCAAAGCTCTAATTTCATCCCTACTATCAATGTATTTATTCGGTTGAACAACATATTTCCATTCAATTTCAAAAACTTTTTTTGCGCCTTATTTTTTTCATCTTTTTTTGGGTTTTGAAGTGTGTTTCGAAATGCTTGCTGTTTTTGAACTTATTTACCATCTCGAACAGTTTTTTTCAGTGTGCTATCAAAACACATATTTCTAAATAAATCGAAATGTGTTTATTTTTAAAAAAACAGAAAAGTCCTATCCCATTTCGACTCGAACATCTTTGGTCTGAATTTTTCTTCCACTTCATTGTCGTAAAGTCTTTCACTACAATAAGAAAACTGAAAACTAGATTTTTTCGTTCGAGCATTTTAAATAATGATACATGACGCAAGCTTATTTTCAGTGGTAATATATTAAGGCAAAAAGGAAAACGTACATCTTTATCCTCTCGGCATTTTTTGCTGAACTGTTCGAGCGTTTCTCTCTTTCTTCTAACCTGAATTATTAACATGGATTTAACTCCGCATTTTGGATGTATAAAAGAAAAAAATTGTAAAAAAATTCTTAAAATTTATAAACAATTTTAATTTAGCAGAAACTGAAAAAAACTCCAAAACCAGTGAAACTCAACAAATTTTTAAACTAATTCCGTGTTCAAAATGATTCCGCGAAAAATAGCCGTCAGAGATTTAAAAAAAAGATAACTAAACAAAAGGGGGGTCAGAGACCATTTTGCATACCGCGGAAATTACTTTGCGCAAATTTGAACACGGTATAAAGAATCAGATAAATTAACATTGAAACGTTAAACGTTTTTTTGAGTGAAAAAAAAAAAAAATGCAGAATATATCATGACAGTAATCGAAGTCTTGAATTTTTTTCTTTCGTTGCGATACGACGCGTTCAAAAGTAATCTTGTTGGGAATAAATATTTCCAGAAGTTTGATAAATTTTTCTTTTTTTTCTGTTTTTCTATTTTTTTTTAATGAAAGACATTGTAACTTACATGAATTTGCTCATTTTCGATTTTCGCCGAGCGTTCATTTTCTACTGTCTCATAAAAAAAAACTTTAGCCATCGAGGGTTTTTTAAATTTTTTACGGCCAGTGATCGTAATCTAGATTCAGTAAACAAAAAGGGTGGAGTGTTTGTCTTATGACGGTTTCTGGCCCTCCGTATTCTGGACATGTTTTTGACGTATCCGCGCTCGCTTTTTTTTGATTCAGTTTCATTTTTTTTTGATTTTCGAACCATGAAGCGGCTACTTCGCCAATCGAATCTGGTTCTCAAATAGCTTTAATACTAATCACTTTATACAAATGGCATAATTGTCACTTGAGCTGCTGGATTTGATAACAAAGCTCTGCACTTATTGAGAAATGCCAATTTTTTTCGATTTCATTTGATGATTATATAATTATGTATATTCTGTGAATCGATAATTAATTTTATGTTCATAATTTTTTTCATTCTGTTTATTTATTCAGTTCTGCCACGCGCTCCGTCAGAAATCCGAAACGTTTTTTTTTTCGCCGCCAGCAGTCCAGTTTCTCTTCTAATTCGTGTTTTTGCTCGATAACGATTTTAATTATTTTATTCTTGATTTTCGTTTTTGAACCTATGTCAAATTAGACTGCTTTCGTCCCGGAAAAAGCTGGATATCTTTTTCGCATTGTAAAAGTCAGCAGCGCGAGATTGCCGTCAAACTTCTTGAAGGCCCGTCGGCGACAGGTTTCTCCGGTCGTTTCTCGATCTTTTGCATAATATCCCCATTTCCTTTTGAATATCGGCCTCAGACCAAAAGTTTCAAGCTTTCACTGTATATTTGAGTAGCTTTTCAGTTTTTTTTTTTCGTTATTCGTTTAGAAACTTTTTTCCACAAGACACTTGAACAAATTTAATTAAAATATCTCGGTGAAGAAAACTTCGGTTTTTTTAGCTTTCATGTTTTAAACTTTCTCAACTTAAAGTTTTTTTATAGTCAAATCATTTTATTTCGCTTTATATTGTTTTTGAAAAGGAACACTTATTGAATACGCAAAGATCATATTAGAATTATGGCTGTGGAATGCACATACCAAGAAGGGAAATGGTCGTTCCCGTCTCTTATCCTTATCTCCGCCGGTTTTCTGGAACCCATTTTGATCGGCTAACGTTGCGTATCTTTAAGCCTGGTTCCTGAAGCGTAGACACCTAAAAGTGAAAAGCGCAAAAGTCTTAGAAAGTAAACTTTAAAAAATCTTCATTTTTGAGCCTTTATTTCTGAGTTAGCGTTGTAAAAAGTTTCAGCCATTTTCTCTAAGAACAGTTTATTGCTAGTACGATGCGCTGAACGAAATCTTTTCCAGCGCTGTGACTATGGAAATCAAGCTTGAAGTCTTCAACTTTTAAGATAGAATGAGATCCAACGTATCGCGCCTGAAAAAGAGGCGAAAGCTTCACGGCTAAAACTTTCTCGGAAAGACTCGCTTTTTCACGCGTTTCTCTTTGATTCGACCACCTGTCAGCGTCGGAATTTGCATATTTTCTCCCACGGGACGAGGTTCTCGCCGCGGTTTGTCACCCGCCCTTGGAACTGGCGGCAGCCTCAAATGTTCAGTAGTTTTGAGTACCTTTGTCACGTATTTTTGTACCGTGGTTGACCAGTTCAACACCTTCAAGTGTTTTTTCATTCACATTAAGAGAAAAAATAACTTCAAACCTATTCAAAATGGTGTTGTTTTGGTCAAACAATTTTCTTATGAACTTTTTTTCAGTTCGCAATTTTTATTGTCAACTTCAATTGTGAAAGGTAACGAGAAAAGTAACTTTGGAAGGTTGAAGGTTTCAAAAAGGTGTTTAGTTTTGATCCCGAGACTTCTGTGGATCTCCAAACGTTTTCCTTTTTTTCTTTTGAACCGAAAATCTCCTCACTCAACCATTCTAGTACCCCAGGCACTTTTCACGAGCGTAGGAAAAAGTGCGGCCCACTTGAGCCGCGCCCTAAATCTTCTTTTGAGGTGCTGGTAACGTCGCCAAGGATTGTTTTGGCCTTCACTCGTGCCGTGTTTACGAGTGACCACTCGCTGTATGCCTGTCTTTTGTGCCTTTCAGCCAAGGATTCTTTGACCCCGCGGCTGCTGCTGTTGCCACTTCATATCCTGTTTTTGCAACTCTGTTGCAAGGCATCTTCAAAAATCCCCAGAAAGCTTTAGTCCATTCACTGGTGTAATGCGCCAAAGATTATTTTCTTATAGAAAACAAAAAAACGCTCCGGTCGGAAGCTTTTGTAATGTTCACCATGGCTTACGAAGAAGTTGTACCAATAGAGCAGACAATGAAAATGAACATTTTTCTCGAGACTATCCAAGAACGCTTGGAAGCTTTACATTGGCGCCGGACGCCGTTTATTTGTCGTCAGGAATCTTTTTCGCAAACGAGACATTCCACATTGTTTTTCGAGTCGCTGGAAACAATGAGCCGCGAAAAACTAGAGCTAGAGAATATTACCTTTCATTCAAGATACTAGGTGTAAGGTAAATAAGTTAGAAATTTTTAAAATTGTTACGAAAAAAAAGAAAGCTTCAAAGGCTAAATTTTTTTCTAAGCGCAAACTAACTTTTTTTCAGATAATATCGTTAGAGCTGTTCAATGAAAACTGAATCTATTTTTTTCTTTATTTATTTAGATTAAAACTTGCTTTTTATTCTTGACCTCGATTGGAACTCTCAAAATAATCTTTTAAATATTTTTGGAGTCGCTTCACGTCCCCTTTCTTTTTTCCTGCTCGTAAATACTACCTTTGTCGCGGCCTAACTATTTTCAATCCAATTACTTTGTCCTTGTTCCTGTTCTCAGCAACTTTTCTCGCAAAACTGGTCACTCGAAAAGCCAGAAAGCGCCACTGGATCTATCTTGTTTTACTTTCTCTCTTTATCTTCCATCCGCAACAGCTGCAAGTTTTTTTTTTCTTGTTGCCATTCCAGGTGCTTGGCATTTGCCTGAAAAAGGCCAATCACCTGCTGGACAGCTGTTTGTCATGTCTATATTTAGGTCTGAATTTCTTTCCATTCAAATAAGATGAAAGTTTTTTTCATGTGGTTACAGACCAAAAAAATGATTTCGTTATATGTTTTTTCTATATACATCCACAGAATTTCCTAGAGTATTGAGCAAAGCAAACAGTTTAGTATTGTTTAGTAAAGAAATGGATATATAGAAATTATTTTTTTCAAACTGAATAATGAGTTCTAAAAAAATATTAATATTGAAGAAGTGTCGATTTTTTAAGCGTTTTAACCCAATCGGAACATTTTTTTATAGAACTCTTCATTCAATTCTTCCATTTCAAAAACTTTATTTTCTCTTCAGCTATTTTTCTCACTTCTAAATCCATCTAGCGGCTGTTGTTTTGAGTGAATTCACTTATTTTTGTTTATTTCCGAAATAACGAAAATAACGAAAGCTTCGTCTACCGCGATTCGAGTGCCTACAGTGGATTTATTTTTGTCTGGAACCGAGCTTTTACCACTGAAATGTAATTTCTTTTTTCAGTAGCGTGGAAACAAGAAATGGACAACATTTGTGCACGCCTAATTTGTTCCTTTGAACAGCTTTTTCTCAAAGAAAAGTATACATTTTTGGTTTCCTTTTTCCTGGTTCCAGAGAATTCGGGCATAAAACTCAGCAGCTGCTTTTCTTGATAAGCATTTTCCGAAAAGAGTCGTTATCGACGTCAAGCGACGGCTGCCTGTCGAAAATATTTGTGCCGCACCCGATTTTCATCTTACAAGCACAATTTTTCTTCTCTTTTTGCTTTTAAAAAAAGTAGATAAGCTTAGGTTCAAGTTTTTATTCATAGTGGTAGAATTTTTAAGGCTTTTTCGAATGATGAATTATTAACGTCTTTCGTGACTCCGATTCGACGTTTTCTTCCCAATGAGATTCCTCAGCATTCCTGGCGTTCGGCCAGTGATGACGTCGTATTCCGTACACAAACAGTCACTGGATAGTTTGTGTTGGTGTCGGTGAAAGATGGGAAGAAGCTGAAGACGCAGACGACGAGACGCTTGCTTCTTCAAGTCCCTAGACGCTTTTCCTCGCCATGCTTGCCTTTTACCTGTTTTGTACTCAGTTGTTGATTGATTTTTTTTTTCTCCCTTGCTAGGCCACAGTTCCATGGTGAAAAAAGTTAGGGTTTTCAAAGAGTGATAGAAAAAAATGAAAGTGTCTACGAGGAGCTTTTTTTATTTTGAAAAAAATTATTATTAATTCTATAAAATCAGCTTTCGGTCGTTTGAAAGATTTTTTTTTTCAATTTCCATAAGCGAATTTGGAAAAAGCTCCATAGAAAATCTCACCATTTCATCGGCTTTTATACACCATTTTTGCTACCTTTCTCTTCTCCAACCGTTTCTTGAGCCTTTAAAATATTAGAAAAGATGGTAGATTTGAAAAAGGGACTCTTTTTGCTGCCTTTCTGCTGCCTTTTTTGAGCCTCTTTCTTTAAGCGGTCATAATTAACCATTCCTACTTTGCCCGAGTCATCTTTTCCATGTCTTCTAAAGCTTCTACTGTATAAAAAAAAGCTTTATTTTTGCTAATAGTAATTCTACGCTTTGACTACCATTTTTAGTCTACACGAAGCACGAAGCCCTAAGGCGTCAAAATCGGCGCGATCCAAATGCAAGGCAAACCACTAGAAGAATTGCGTCACAGCGTTTTGCGACGCAATTTTCGCGCCCACCTCAATGGTACGGTTCACACTTATAGAAGATCTTTTTTTTTTCTCTTCGTCGCGGCTTCTTCCTACTTCTTCTGAATCTTTTTTTGCGTCTAACGATGGTAATTGAATCGTAAAAAAAAAGTTGACATGGCTTTTAGATGCGTGATACTAATTGGGATATTCCATTTCTAATTGCTAGCTTCTGTTGTTGAAGCGCTTCTAATAGACCTTATCTTATATTTCCATTGAAATTTAAAATAATTTATCGAAAGCTCAGAAAAAAAGCTCTACGTCGAGCTCAAAATCTTAATAAGACATGAAAGAGAAGAATAATTTTGGTGTGAACGTCAAAATTTTTCGAGAAGAATATCTTTAATCAAAATTTTCTGAATAACTAACTTGCTAGGAGATCTAGTCCCATAAAAACTCAAACCCTTCCTATTTTCCAATCTCTACAACAGACTCCGAACTTTCAAAAGCCCTTGGTCCTGCTCTTTCCGAACCCATTCAGTTGTAGTTTAACTGTTTACCCACGCTTTTGCCCATATTTGACCGCGGGGCGCGACTCGACAAGTGTTAAAACGCCTTCTCACGGCGACAAGCACTTTCACGCCGTCTCGATGTGCATTTTTCACAATTTTTAGCTTTTGAAATACCGTAAAAATCAATGAAAAAGGTTGGTTTAGTCATACCGAAAAGGCAGTCACAACGCGGACAGTGCTCTTTCTCACAAAGGAAACCTCAGTTCCGACCTCTGTATACATTTAGTCAGTTCTTTTCAACGTTTGGTGAACCAATAACAAAAAAAAACCAACGCTAAGGTATTGTGAATGATCAAGATAAGAGTAGAGGAGCGAGGCAATCGAATTCCAGCGATTCCTTGCATTTTCTAGGTCACTCATAATGATGTCTTCTTGATTTCACCATAGTTTTTCATGGTTTTACGTAATATAGCTTAGTCAAAAATCTTTTGGGCTTTTTCTAAGGTTCTATCAGAGCTGTAGTTGAAGTTCAACATTACAAAGTTATTTTTCGCACAAAACTTGAGGTTTTCTTAAAAATTTCAAGAGCTTTCATTTTTTCTCGAGTTTGAATAAACTCACAAGAGAAGTATTTTTTTACTTGGAACATCAATTTTTTTCATGGAAAAAAATAAATTAATCCATTAAATTTCAACAGTTCAAAGAAGCGCTACCTAAACATCTCTGGAAATTTTTGATAAAGGACCCCTCGGAGTTTTTTTATTCCCGAATTTTAACTATCATTTGTCACTTTTCATTTGTACTAAAATTAAGAATTTCTTGCAAAATTTTTCAGAAACTTCTAAAGTTTTTGATCAAGTTTAGCTCATTGAAGAGCAGCCCTCGAACCAAAAAAAGTTCAAAGAAAACTCTTCCGCCCAGTATTTTCAAATTCTCCGCAATATTCACTTTCCCACTCTGCAATTTAGTTGTCTGTTCTCGTCAGCTTCACCTATCTTTTTGTTGTTTAGTTTGTTGTTTTTTCTTGCCAACTTTCCGGTTTCGTTCGCCTTGGGTATTTACCGGGCCGCTTAGCGTCAATTATTCCGCCGGTTGTTAGACGCGGTTTAACCGACGTCCTTCTCGTGTCATTCGCGACCTTTTGCAATTCGAAAAATAACTTTTAAAAGTTTTTTTTTCTGCATGGGAAATCGGTTTTTGAACGTTTTCCTCTTGGGAATCAAGGCAGCTTCTCCGCTCTTGTTAGAATCGTTATACTTGATGCAGCCTCTTCACTGTTTTTTTGTTTCCCGTCTCGCATCCAGGTCCAGGGCACCCGACAGTTGGCGTGATTTGTGGAAGAAGGAAAAACCGCACGCCTTGCCATAATACGCTTGCCCTTGCCTTGTTTTTCCGCCTCTTCTTCGTGTAAATTGCAGCCAATTCCTCTCCAATCATTTGTTTTATTTCTTCCTTTTCCGGTTATCTTTCTAGAAAACCATTGGAAAACCACAACCATTTTTCAAATATGCTTTATTTTTGGCCATTTTTTCTTCTTCCTTCCATATTTTTTGAGCTTCTTCGCCGATTTATTATACGCCTTTTTTTGTTTTTTTCGAATGCGTCGCTTTTTAATAATTTTCATTTCATTCATCTAATTTTTTACAGAACGAATAAACTACGAAACGGCATCCGGACGAATCAAACGCTTTTCCGCCGACGGCTTAACGCCAAAAGGTTCTTTATTTTTTTAAATTGAATTATAAATTCTTGTTTTCAGCGAATTTCTCGCCCAAAAATGATGGAAACAGTTACGAACGTCCTAGTCCACGGCGACTATTGCAATCCGCCAAGAAGAAACGAAGGCGCCAGGTGATTTTTTTTGAGATATTAACATGGATTATTTAAAAATTTAACGAAAAAAATATTCATCAAAATTCAAAATAATAATTTTTTTCTGTATCTTTTTCTTTTAATTTGATCATGCGGGTGATATTCTGAAAAAAACGAAATAGCTAAATTTATTGTTTTATTCAATCTTTTTTTCGGCAAAAAGCCTTATCCAAAAAAATTAATCCGAATTGAAAATTTATTCGAAAATTGTAGAAACTTGAATTGCTTTCTATTGGAGAACTCATAATTGAAATAGACTTTTTTTCTGAAAACTGCAATTTCATTAATTTTTTTCAACTTTTTGAGTGCTAATTTCACCCGTTCAAAAAAATCTCTGCTTTTTTTAAAGGCGGCGGATTTCAGCGTTAGTTCTAGGAAATAAAAAAAAAAACATATATAAGTTGAAGGTCAAAATTTGGTAGATCTTAAAGTTATGATTAAAATTACAAACGTATTGCGTATTCAGGGACACTTTACTCACCAAAAAAATTAATTTTATTTCGAAAAACGAAACTTGAAGATGCTCAAAACGGGTTCTGGACGGGATGTGCACGAAAATGGCGACAACGTCGTCGAACATGGCCGTCGCCCCTTCGACGTCTTCTTCGTTCAGCGACGGAAGCGACGTCGACGAGAACGACCACGTCCTCAGACGATATTTCGCCGCTTCCTGTGATAAAGTTTGCTTTTCCATCGATAATCTTTGAATCTTTGCTTGTTCCTTTTCAAAAAGTCTTTTTTTTTCTTTTTTTTAAAAGAAGAAAAAAAAACGTTTCTCGCACTTGTGCAAATATGGGCCGCTTTCCGAAGCGACTTTTTTTTTTATTGTTGTTGACGTTCCTATCTTTCCTGCATAATTCTCTTCTCGTTTTTGATAAGTCCTAAAGTGATAATTTAATTTATTGTGTTACTAGATTGGATTGAAAAATCTCGCGCTGCCTTCTTACCTTGAAAAAAACTCGGTAGCATTTTGAAAGAAAAATTGGCTTTTTTCCTGGCTAAAAAATAAGTATTTTTTTATCTTTTTGTCGCGTAGAGCAAAGTAGAGCAGTAACAGGGTTGGTCAATTCAAAATCCAGAACTTCTATTTTTTTTTTTAGTTGTCCAGAAAAAAAAGACATCAAAGCTTGGAAAATGACATTCGTGATCGTAAAAACTCTGGAATCAAAACATCTTTCGTATTGTTCCGTAAGCTGCTCGAACTTTATTTATTCGAAAAATTGAATAATATTAGCGAAAAAGTCTTCTTTATCATGTTTTTTTCCTTTAATTGTATATAGAAGTGAACTAGGTGGGGCTCCACTGATCTTCAATGTCAAATATAAATTTTTCCTAAAAGTCCTTTTTCCAGGAGGAAGTGCTACCGAAAGGCTTGGAGACGACGCATCCGCTGACGCCGTCGTCCTCGCCGAACGCGACGACGACATCGGCCGCCGGCGATTTCGACGATTCGGCGCTGAACATGTCGACGTGCTCGTCGTCATGTTCCACCAAATCGCATCAATCTTCTTCGGCGTCCCCCTCGTCGTCGACGTCTTCTTTGTCGCAGCAACTTCATCCGGCCGTGGCGATCCTAGGACCCTTGTATGCGTCCGACGACTTCGACGTCTTGGAACCCCTTGGCGAAGGATTCTTCAACAAAGTCTTCAAGGTACATATTTTTCCATTTTAATCACCACCGTGGCATTTTTTTTTGCTTTGGTAAAGAAAAAAAGTCGCTGTTTTCGCACCGAGCTATTTTATTGCCCATTTCATGCAAAGTTTGCGAGAAAACGATGACTAAGATGGGATTAGAAAGTCGACCTTGCGTGGGTTTTTCCATGCGCATGACCTCTTGAGTTAAAACCAACAACTTCTCGATGCTTTTTTTGGGGTTTCTGAACCACTATTTTAAATTTCCGAAAAAAAAATATTCAGAGAAAACTTTTTTCAAAAATATTTTGTCAGAAACTTTTTGATTAGATCTGAAGCTTTTGGAAAAGGTTTTTGTTGAAAAAATCAGAAATGAAAAGGACGAAATTTATCTTAAACGTCAGTTAAGCTGTACGAGTTTTGAAAATTAAAAAAAGATGACAATAGTTTTTTTACTTCGCTTAAGCTATTGAAAGTGGATATTCTTGAAGGATATGCTTGTAGGATAGTCGAATTTGTCTTTTTTTAAAACTTCAATATCTACGGATGAGAATGGTTTATATGAAAAACCACTGAACAACTGCAAAATAAAATTCCCATTAATTTTTTTTCCAAAAATTGCGCACAAAAATAACCCCCTACGGTTAATTTTTGGAAGGAATACTCTTCGAAGTATCATTTTGAAGGTCCGACACAAGACGACGGGCGAAGTTCTCGTCCTGAAAGAGAGCAAATCGGCCGCCGTCGGAGGCTGTAGACGGGCGGCTCATGCGGACGCCGCCAGAGAAGCCGCCATCATGCGACGTCTCCGAAACGACAACGTCATCTCCCTCCGCGGCATCTGCATATCGATCGATGAGCTCGGTGAGAAATCGAATTGATTATAACGAGGAAAAATGGTGTTCCAGGTCAATGGGATGCCAATTTGCTCGTTTCTTATTGCGATGGAGGAAGTTTGAGCCGGCTGATTCTTGACCATTCCAGGACTTTCTCGTGGCGTCAGAGGTTGGAAATTACTGTTCATAAGAGTGAAATTCATTCAGTTCTTTTTCTGCACAAAAATTGATTTTCTCCAATTCCTAGAAGAAGCGTGATATTTCAAAAATCATGGTTCAAATTAAAGTGGACTTTCAAAGTCAAAAAAGTTGTTTTGGTAATTTATAAAACTTAAAGAAAGCTTGAGGACCTTCTCATAGCACTTTAAAAAAATCAGAACCAACTTCTGAATTTTATTGATCGATTCAGGATACGATATGCCCATGATATCGCTAGCGCAATGGCCTACACTCACCAGCAAAAAATTATCCATCGGGATTTGACGTCAATGGTTCGTTTTTAGTTTTTTATAAGAAAAAAATTGCGAAATTATTGTTTACCCAAAACTAATTAACTAATGAGCTCTAGAAGTGCTCTGAGCTTGTTGCAGTCGTTTTTGGAACTATAATTTTCAAAATTTTCCTTAAATGTTCGCTTTGATTTGATTGGTTTGTAACATAATCATTTTTTAATGACATCACAACTGATCTCAACTTCTTGAAATAGTTTCAACTCTTTGAATTTCAGAATGTTCTGATCGAACACTCGAAAGACGGTCTCGACGGCCAATGGGGCCGTGCCATTGTCGCGGACTTTGGCCTTTCCTGCCCCTTTCCGAAACGCGGAGAGAAGCTGGCTCAAGTCGGTACAACCTACTTCATGAGTCCCGAATGCCTCAAAGAGGAGTTCTATGATGAGAAGGTGCTATAAAAATATTTCTTGCCAAAGAAGCTCTCCATTTCAGTCGGACGTTTTCTCGTTTGGAATCATTTTGTGCCAAATGATCGCCCGAATCGACGCGGATCCAGATGGCGGATTGCAGAGGACCAGTAATTTTGGTACGTTTTTTTAAGAAATCATTAAATCGACCAGCAGCTTTCAGGAACGGTTTTAAAAAAAAAATGATTTCGAGAGTCTTAACCTTCACCACTGTATAGCTTTACGTAAAAGTTCGAATTCTTCGCTGATAATGCCAAAATATTTTTTTGAATTTATATGTTTTTTTAGTTAGTGGCCCTTATAGGGATGAGTCGATCACTTTCAATAAATCTAAGCGAATAAAAAAACTAAAAAATTACCCTTTTTGAAATAAAATTGAACGACCTCTACATGGAACACTTTAAGCTTTAGGAGCCAGACCATAAACTTCTATAGGGATCACCTTGTTTTTACCCCTAACCCCTATAGGGACCACTCTGAAATTCCTAAGAAAAGTCGCCGTAAACAGTCAGAAATTGCGAAATATCGTTGTAGGACCCATTTTTAACGGCTCTTGGAGTCGTAAAATGCGTGTTTCGCGAGATCATTTCAAACGAAAAACACGTCAGTTTCAAAATTGCTGAAATCATTTTGAACACGGCATCAGAAAGCTAGACTTTAAGAATATCTTGAAAAAATCTCATGTATTGATGAGTTTTTCATCATTTTCAAACATAAATGGAAAAAAAAGACTTTTCTTGCAAGGGATTTTTGAAAACCAATTTCAGGCCTTGACTACATGCTCTTCACGCCGATGTGTCCCGTCGACACGCCCATCGAACTTCTGAAGCTGGCCTTCCGTTCGTGTGTGATGGACCCCGCTGCTCGGCTCTCCTTCACCGAAATCCAGGCTTATCTCTCCAAGATTCTCGCCTCCCTGCCTCCCACTGTTAGCTCTCCGGATCTTCAAGGTTCATTCTTTTATTTTCAAAAAAAAAACCCAGGTTAAATTTTCCAGGGAAAGAATCTCGACTTGGAAGATCAAGGTCCGACGCTGCCTTGAAAAGGCCCAAGGGCATGACGCGGAAATTGTCCTCCAACCCTTTCGTGGTCCCTCCATCCGTTAGGACCGTCATTGAAGGTTCGCCAACGAAAACTTCAAGATTTAGCTCGTTTTTCAGGAGAAGAAGACGATAAATCGTCCGTGATGCTGATGGAGGAGTTGGCAAGGGATGCGGCGCGGGACGATCCAAAATTCGTTCACACGAATCCGTTTCAAGTTCACGAACGATATCGGTATGTTTTTGGAAGGAATAGGCAGGAAAACTTTCGCACTGTTTCAACCAAAAAAGATATACAACTTAGAAGTCCAGAGTGGTCCCTATAGGGGCAACCTTGGGAACTCTTACCAACCTTGGTTAGATGGCACCACTTTACCAACCCCTATAGGGGCCACTTAAGCCTTTGGGACACGCTTTTATGACCTCTAAGCGAAGAAGTATTTCTATGGGAAAAACTGAATGAATGAGCGTTTTTTTTGAATAAAATTGAAGGAACCCTAAAGGGTCCACTTAAGCTTTAAGGGCTAAAGGGTCAGATTCTAAAAACCTATAGAGACGACCTTGATTTAACCCCTATAGAGCTTTTTTCCCCCCTTAACCCCTATAGGGACCAATATGCAGTAGTTTTGATTGCATTACCGTCATTTTGAGCCTCAACTCTTTTTTTCCAGAAAGGAGCGAAAAATTTTCCCACGAAAGAACTCTCACTCGTCGCGTCGTCGCAGTGAAACCAAGCCAGAGTCGTCGGTGACGCGAGTTCTGACGCCAAGGAAACAACGGCGCCGCTGCATGTCCCTGCCGCTTCTGGCGGAAAGCCCTTCGACGGCTCTGTCCAGCCTCGGTCCTCGTTGTTTCGACTCTTTGGACGGTCGTCGGAGGCTCTCGCGACGTGACACGGTCATCATCGTCGATCCCCAAGAAGATGACGAGGACGAGGAGGACGAAGAGTTGGCCGCGAACGGCTCCCCCGCTGGCGGCATTCCGATGGCTTTTCGAGACTTTGATCGCGTGCGTTTCTCAGCTGGGATGTTATTATTATGAAGTCTAACCCAAAATCAATAAATAGACTATAATCTCGTTTTTTTTTTTTCAAACTGTGCGTCTTTCAAAGCATTTTTTCAAGTTTTTCAAAGACGCAAAGATTTTTTTGAGCGTGAAAAAAACTGCTTATGATAGTCGGCTTTTAAAAAAACTCAGAAATTTCATTATTTGTTTGTCCTGAAACTGTTTATAGAACTCTAAAGAAGCTGATTTAAGCAATCCTATTGATTAGAAGACGTATTTGATCTAGTGAGGACTTGAAAAAAGAGATTTTATTGTGATTATACTTCGTTTAGACATCGAGAGGATAATATAAAAAATTTCAGTTTGATAAGAATTTTCCTAATTGTTACAAAAAAAAATTCTCTTGAGTTCATTTAACGAATTGAAAAATTCAAAAGCAAAATGTTTTTTCAATGAAAGAAAGCTCAATTCCAGAAGTTCCTGAAGCAAATGAAGCGTTTCCCGTCGCGCCGTCACACTTTGATCCCCGAATGCGCCAACAACAACAGTATCCACAGCAACAAGAACAGCAGCACGACTCCGCTGAGCCGTCGTCACAAGAGCGACGACGCGACTTACAATCTGACGCCGTACGAGCGAAAACAGTCGCCGTCGTCGCAGTCTCGCGCTTCTTTGGCGACTCTGACGCCAGCCATTCTCGCCACACCACCATCTGCAAAGGAGAATCTCTTCACAGCCGCTGATATTAGAAATAATGGTGAGGAGGGCAAGAAAAACTCGAAAACACTGTTTTAAAGTGGGTAGAAGGGATCTCAAAAAGTTCTGAAGCTTGAGAAAGGGAAAAATGTTTTGTTGTTAAAACGTATTTCAATAAAACCATTTTTTGGTGATTCCTGTTTCTTTTGATAGCACTCCGAAAACTTTATTGGGCATTTGAACGGAATTTACAAAATGAAAACGTTTTTGCTGTAGCCAACTTGAAAGACCGAGATTCAAGCTTATCAGAAAACGAATAGAATGAAATTCAAATTTCAAAACGCATCCAATCTACTCCCGTATTGTAGCCTTTTTTGAAAAATTATCAAAAAAATTCACGAAACTTTCTTTCAAGACTTGCAAAATAAAGACTGCCAAAGGGTTGAAGTAGGAAAAATAGAACTTTGTCCAAAACTCATATTTTTCGAGTCACTTCGAAAAGAACTCTTTCCAGAAGTGAGAACCAGCGCGAAAAGAGATCTTTCGAGCGAGGGCTACACCACGGCGCCTGAAGCCGTCCTTGAGAAGAACTACAGCTGCGAAGAACGAGCCGTCGACACGGTCGTCAGCCAGACGCCTACTTCTTCCACGCGACGTCGTCTGACAAGGGTCTGCTCGGCAACTCATCGAAATTCGTCTGATTGCTGCATTCTCTAGTCTTTTCCTCGTCTTTTTTTGAGTACTTGCTCAACTCTTCTCCCCAATGTACAATGTAAAAATTCATCTTTTCTTTCCAAACCTTTCCTTCATATCATCTTCAATTTTCCCTACTGACCTTAATCTTATGGTGCATCCATTTCTCTACTCTACTCTGGTATTTTTTCCCTTCCTTCAACTTTCTCATGAGTTCATTACTGGTTTTAGCCCATATTTATTCCAAATTCAATTCCTCGGAAGCTCAAATTCATTCGCTCTGGTAGCTTTAAAAAAACTCAATGAAAGAAAAACTTGATTGTGGTTTTTTATCATCTCTGTTCATAATCGAATGAATCCTTATTACGGTATGCGTGTTTTCTTTTTCTGATCTTTTGGAGATGCTTAAATGATGTGTCATTTGACTTACTCAAACCTTTTCCCAACTTACTAGGTTTCATTTCACGAAAAAGCTCGAGAAAACTTCTGTTATCATTTTATATAATGAACATTTTTGTTGACTACAAGCCCGAAAGCTTTAAAATCTCAAAATATCTTGGCTACTAAATTATGTCAAATAGTTTTGAAATTATTTATGTTCTTTTTTTGTTTGTGATTTTTGAGTAAACTTTTTTCCAGATTTTTATTTGCGTTTTAGGGGAAAAAAGAAGATCGTGCTTTCCACTTATTTGGATGTGTTTTTTAACCTATTCTCATTAGGGAATGGTCTTTATTCGCAGTGGGACTTCTGTGTGAGACTAGGTCCACTAGATGTAATTTTTCGCGCTGATTCCAAATCCGGTCTCAAAAACTGTCCTCGTCAATGAAGAAAAAACTAGGGGGTTTCAAAAGTCGAAAAAAATTTTTATATATGCGCTCGAAGAATTTCAATGATAAAAACTGAATAAATGAGCGTTTTTTTTAACGAAGTTTATAGACCCCTGTAGGGTCCACTTGAGCTTCGGGGGCTAAGGGGTCAGCTCCAAAAACCCTATAAGGACCACATTAAGTTTATCCCTATAGGGTCCACTTTTGCGGCCCCATAGGAGTTGTTTTCCCTCCGACCCCTGTAGGGACCACTCTGGATTCCTAAGATAGTCCTTTTTCTCGTGAATATGAAAAACCACTTAATTTTTTCGAAAACTTGATAAGAGACACTAAAATTTTGACATTTGAAAGCCCCTAACTTTTCTTCGAGGGCAGTTTCTGAGACCAGATTAGGAATCAGCGTCAAAAAAATACAGAAGACATAGTCACATTCAGAAGTCCAACTACAAATTGAGACCATTCTCTAGTCAGTTTTGTGGTTCGTGCACATTGTTGAGTTCAAATAGTCTTGCAAAACGTCAAGATTAGGCCATACATCACGAACAAACAACGCCAAACTACAAGTCTCTCTCCTTCGCACAGTCTCTGTCTTTTTTGACCACATTTTTTGTAGTTGGGACGATTTTCTGCGTATATATATCCCCTACCAGGAGAAGATTCTCAACTGAGAAGTTTTTCTTTGTTCAATTAGCTTTTCTGACATCTTAACAAGGTTCAACTGACTTTTGAAAAAAGTTTAGACTTCCCTATTTTATATACTGAAAAAAAAATTAGGAGTAAGGGTTTTTTTTTCATTTTTGTTCCAAATATTTTGAAGAAATATCTCGATTTTACAAAATATTCTTGTTTAGCCGTGATCAGTAAACTTTTAATAGATAAAAAGCAAATACTCAAGAATAGATTTGTAGTCCCTCTTTTTTTTTCTTCGACTCATACTACCATTTACAACCCGATTTTTTTCAGAAAAAAAGATGTTTTTTTATACTCGCATTTTTTTCACTTTGGTCGCCGGTGTTCTAACGTAAGTTTTTTCAAAACTTGGAATGTCAGGTAAAAGCATATTTGAATGTGAAAAATTCTCATCCTTTTTATTATATAACCCAAAGCGAAAACAAGTTCCATCTTTGGAAAATAATTTGTTCAAAGAGGATCAAATGCACGTGCACTTTAAAGCAGGCTTGTGCGAGGGCCGGCCCGTCACCCTCCCGGCCCGGCCCGGCCACAGCGGGGCCTCAAGAAAAAATGACCCGCCCGGCCCAAAACGCGCAATTTTTTCTAGTCGGATATCAAGTTTATTTCCGACAAAAATTACGTTTTTGCTCAATTTTTCATTTGAAGTTTAACAAAAACTTGGTTTTCAAAAGTAAAAGTAACATTTGGGTGAAAATTTTTTTAATGAAGTTTTAATTTTTTTTTTTTTTCGAAGCGGTGCCCGGGCCGCCCGGCCTGACGCATAAGCCTGCTTTAAAGTCACCCAATTTTGTGGACTATATCGCAGCGAGAGTAACGCTATACCGCGTGGGAGCCGCGAGCAATATCGCTCGCTTCTCGCTGCGACCTCGCAAACGTCTTGCGCTATATCGCTCTCTGAAAAATTTTTCTTCAAAAATGTTTTTTTCTTGAATTTTATTGATTTCATCATAAAAGTCAAAAATAAAGCAAAAAAAAATTTTTTCAAATTTCAAATTTTTGAGAGGGAGCGATATGGCAGCGAGACTTTGACGAGGTCGCAGCGACATGTTGACGAGATCGCAGCGAGAAGCCTTGGCTATATCGCGTGCGGCCCGCTGCGATATCGGCAATTATGTTGGGTGGTGGAAGCCGAAAAATTTGAACTCCCGCGCAAAAAAGTTTTTTTTTATGAAGCAAACTTGCTCTATGGACAATCTTTCGATTTTGGTTTCATCGAAATTTTTGAAAAATTTTTTAACTTCAAAGACTTCTGTTGCTCCCATGTTTCTTAATGTCATAATGGTTGTCAAGAAAAAAAATTCATTTTTCTTCTCTGCAATCGATCACGAGCTTTTTGAACAAAAAAAGAACTTCAGATTCTACTTATGGCAGTGGACTTACTGGTGGCGTCGAGGGGTTACCGGACCATGGTCATATCCGGTGATTGGGAATAGTTGGACCTTATTGGACCTCGAAAATCCGACACCTCTGCAACTCCGTGAGTGGTCCAAGGTTGGAAAGCTTTTCTTTTGACTGAAAGCCTTTGTTTCATTTTAAGAAGTATGGAAAAGTTTACGGGATTCAAGAAGGAGTCAGAAACGTCCTCGTCCTCAGTGACCCTGCCATGGTCCAAGAGGTGTTCGTCAAACAATTCGACAATTTTCACGGTCGAAAGGTTAGAATTTTCAATCACTTTATTTTTGTAACGTTTTTTCGTTTCTCTTCTATGAAATATTTCCCATAGTTGCGAATATGCCATTTTTTAGCCAAATGGATGTTTTTGAATGGTATAAATAGTATCAAATTTCCAGACCAACCCCCTCCTTTTCAATTCTCAAAACGCTCCACGCATTCACGTCTTCAACGCGGAAGGAAATCGTTGGAAGCGCCTTCGTACCATTTCCAGTCCGACTTTTACGAATAACAATTTGAAAAAGGTACATTTTTCAAGAAATACTTTTTCTCATCGATTATAATTTCTAGATCCGCCAAACGGTCGAAGATTCGGCTCTGGAGCTTCTCCAACACATTGAGAAGCACTCCAATGAGCCAATCAACTTCCTGTCGTGAGTTTCGACCGTATTTTAAATGTTTTTTAAAATTCTTTTTAAGATACTTCCAAGAGTTCACGATGGACGTGATCGGACGAATTGCGATGGGCCAAACGGAGACAAAAATGTTCCACAACCCATTGTTGGAGCCACTAAAAAAGGTTTTCATGCTAAAAAATATAGTCCTACTCGAAATACTGGGGTCGCATCAAGAATAAGACAGAGCGTCGCGTTGTGGCCTCAATATGTTGCTTTAGTAACTCTGGTCGGTTTGCTAGAGCGTGGTCTTTTTTGAAGTTTGTGGATTAAAAGCCATTCCAAGTGCGACCATGGCGCCTGAGCTCATTACGAATTACTTTACACTTCATCAAAAAAAAACCCCTATTTGAATATTTAGCAAGCTAGAAAGGAATGAATCCAAGAAGCTCATGCCGTGTTCAAAGTAATTTCCGCGAAATGCAAAATACCCGTTAGAGAAAGGAAAAGATCACTGAATTTTGGAGAGTCAGAGATCATTTTGCATTTCGCGGAAATTACTTTGAACACGGCATCAATCAATTTTTGTAAAGAAAAACTGACTTGAAAAGCTTTAGGAAATGCGCCCCATAGCTAATCTTATCTATTTTTTTATTGCGCGTCGGTTGTAATGTGTGCCTTGCAGTTTGATGATAAGTGTGCACACGCAAAACACCAGACCTCACGCGCTTATCAATACTTTTTGATGCGCGTCGGTTATAATGTGTACCGTGCAGTTCAATGAAAGTGTGCACACCAAAACAACGAACCTCACGCACTTATCTTTAAAAAAGATATTTGTTTTGAAGTTTCTCGCAAATTTTCAAGTTTGAAGTACTCCGTTTTCTATAATTTTTCTCCACTTTTCCAGTTTTTCACGGGAAATGAGCGCTGGAAAATGGTTCTGTTGGCGTCGGCGGTGCCATCGGCTGCGAAGTACATCCGATCAGCGCTTCTCGCTTTTCCGGCCATCGCCGGCAACAATTTCGCCAGTCTGATGAAAGCCTGCGAGACTGCCGTTTTTGATCGCATCAAACTAAGAGTAAAAAGCATCGGAAGGGATTCGAAAAGAAGTAAGAAGTTCAGGAGAAAGACGCCGAGAAGGGAATCGAGCCTGGAGAGCCGACCGACTTCATCGACTTGTTCCTCGACGCCAGAGCCGATGTCCACTTTGAGGACAACGCTGATTTTGAGAAGCAGAGTTTAAAGGTACAGTTAGATATAATAATAGTCAAGAAAAAGTTTGGTCACATTTTTTTCCTTTGTCGATTAGGTTTATCATGACTCACATTCATATCAACTCATTTTTTCTGACCTGTCTGCGCTCTTTTTTCTCTTAGCAGTGAGAAAAGATGAAACTAGCACTCAAATGTATATAACAAGCAGAACCGTTTCAGAAGAATGAATTTATTCCCAAAAAATGACTGGTATTTTTGAAAATGATACCTTGCAAATATCTGAAGCACAAAAAAAGTTTGGATACATATTCAAAAAAAGGTCGTTTTCTGATTATAGACCTTATTCACACTGATTTCAAAATTTTAAATTGTCTGAGCCCTCTTTTTAACTTGGTGATAGAAAAAAGCAAAAAGAGCTTGAATATGCGATTTATGGAAGAATGGTTAAACAAACCAAAAGCTGCAATTCCAGGTTTTGCGACAACTGACAACGGACGAGATCATCGCCCAGTGCTTTGTTTTCCTGGTCGCCGGCTTCGATACGACGGCTCTTTCGCTTTCCTACGCCGCTTATCTTCTGGCGACGCATCCAGAAGCTCAGAAGAAGCTCCAGAAGGAGATTGACGACGTGCTGACAACCCCGGTATCTTTCGAAGTGCTCGAGGCATATTCATCTTCAATTTTCAGTCGATTTCCTTCGAAGAACTCGGCAACTTGAAGTACATGGACGCGGTCATCAAGGAAACACTTCGGCTGTACCCTCTCGCCGCGCTGTTAGTACTCTTCCAGCGATTCTTCCATTATGACTTCTAGGGCCAACTCGAGAAGATGCATGAACCCGACGATCCTTGGCGGCATCCCAATAGAGAAGGACACGTTCATCTGGCTGGACACTTGGAGCATCCACCGGGACACCAGCGTCTGGGGCGAGAACGCTAAAGATTTCGTGCCGGAACGGTGAGGCAGGAAGGTCTTTTCGAGAATATTGAAATCAGTTCAGATGGCTCGACGCCGAGGTGAAGAACAACGCATGGATCCCCTTCGGCCACGGCCCGCGACAGTGCATCGGAATGCGGTTGGCTCTGATGGAGGAGAAGCTCTTGCTCTCCCACATCCTTCGTCGATATGATCTCTGCGTCGGAGCCAAAACTGAGGTGAGATGCTCTCGAAGCCTCAGAAAGTCTTTAAAGGACTTATTTTGGGATTTCATCAGAGAGAACAGAAATATATAGCATAACTCACGCAAAATAACTAGGAGAACAGTTCGAGCCTCCTCTTTGGCAGCACTTTAGAAAAAAAAGCTCGGAAATACTTGAAAAAAACGGAATTTATCTTTTTTTTCTGTAATTCACTTATTACACCTCGTTTCGTCTTTTTTTTTAAAACTTAAAAGTTTATCAGTGAGAAAAAAAATTTAACTAGATGTCATAAAAAGCTGGAAGAATTCTCCATAATTGAGAATGTCGGCTCAAAATTGTTTTTATAGTAAGTCCAAATTATTTTATGAAATTGAGATGAGTCAAAAAATTTCATTCTGAAATTAGTTATAGCTGTTTTGAGGGAAATATAGAAAAGCAGGACCTAATATTTGACTCGAAAGGGAGGTCGTATCAGTATGAAATGATTTTTCAAAGTTGAGAAATAATATTATCAAGCTTAATTTTGTGTTGAACGTAAAACTTTGAAAACCATTTTTTTATATCGAAAAAAATTTAATTATGCCCAGATTGCAACGGTTTAATTTACATGTGTAATGATTAAAATAATCTCTTATTTCACTATATTTTTTTCTGGATGAGCTAAAAAAACTTCCCAAACGGAAAGAATACGTAGGATTTGACGGTTTTTAACTGTATCAACTTTTTCTCAAAAGTTTTTTTCTTTATCAAATACGCTATTTTCACTCAACATTTTTTTCAGATCCCATTGGAACTCTACGGCACTGCAACTATACAGCCACGCTCCGTTCACCTATACGTAAAATCGAGATAACTGTGGTTACTGTAGCAATATTTGAACTGTTCTGACGGGAATGCTTTCATGTGAGCTTTATATGCAATATTCATTATACAATACAATTAATTAATTATGTGTGAGAAATGATTTGTTTTTACATAAAAAAAGAGCGAACCGGTAAAATAATGGTCAAAACCAAAAATCGAAGAGGAAAATTTCAATCACTGGTATTTCTAAAGAACTTTCTTCTGATGAAATTCTCATATTACTCGTCACTCTCATCCTCGATGACGTCATTTTGGTCCTTCCTCACCACTTTTTTGTGCTTCATTCGTCGGTTTTGAAACCATGTTTTGACCTGGAAGGTTCATATCAGTCATTACTTCTGAGGTTAGGAAAAAACCTGGGTTTCACTGAGATTCAGGGCGTTGGCTAGTTCAATTCTCTCAGGTGTGCTGAGGTACCTGAAAAAGTTTTTACCTTATTAATAGAACTTGGTATTCGCGCTCCAATAATCAACATTGACATTGTAGGGTGGTTCATTAACCTTGAGTTTCATGTGAAAACCAGAAAGCGCAGACAGGCTAGAGTGTTTCAAGCCGCTGAGAAGGAAGAGTACGGTTGCAGTTCAGTCAAAAATTTTATCTAAGGAAACGGTTTACAAAAACTAAATTGATATGGCAACTATATAAATCATATCTGGAGGTCTTCAACATTAATTCTAAGTTTTTCTGAAGATATTTTGAGCTCTAACCTTTGAGATTCGAAGCGCCGCTCGAGCCCCTGAAGCTGTTGATCACTGAAAACGGTCCTCGCTTTTCTTCTCGACCTAGAAAACCTATTTTTTTCCTTTATGTCTTCATATCTCTATATTTTTCAATATTTAATGGTGCGAAAACGTAAATTGAATGACTGAAAAGTGACTCACGTTCTGAAGTTCTTGCCGCCGTGAACAAGTCGCATCTGATCGGAAGTTGCGGCCCACAAGTGTGGGAATACTGTAAGAAAAGTTCCAGAGACTGTGAGAATTAGATCTACCATTTCGCTGAGCCATGAGCAGACTTTGCTCTAGCGGAAAGGCGGCGGCAGCTAGCCAAAAAGGAATTTGTTGCTCGGCGGCGGTCACACTGGCCGCCAGATCTGCTGGCATCGTCACTTGGACTAGTTGAGGTTTCTGGTCGCAGCTCTAAAATAAGCTTTGATTCCTTTGAAAAGCTTCAGAGTGATATCAGACTTCGGTAACCGAAAACGCTCAGGCCATTTCTGAGCATTTCTAGTGGTCGCTTTAGCGGCGTGAGCACTTAAGGCATTGCTAGAAATACTGAAAAATTTTTTAGTAGCCACTGTAAAGGCTTGCCAAGGACTACTTGAAAAGGACACTGAAGTGGCCACTAAACCCACCTCTATAGCGGCCACTATTTTCCGTTTTAGTAGCCAGTAGTTTTTCATCCAGTATTCCTTCCAGTAACTCTGATAACTTTCAAAAAAACAGATTGGTCCAGTTATGTTGATCCACTGACCCCTAAAGTGGCCAATCAAATTTTTAAATGTATAGTAGTAACACTTAGACCTCTACAGTGGCCACTAATTGGGCTACTATAGTGGTCACTAAAACGTCAAAACCCTATAGTGGCCACTAAAAATGTTCCCAGTACTCATAATAGCGCAGTTTGCCATGATGAAGCCTAAGACATTTGGATTGATATTTGACGAAAGAGCCGAGTTGAACCAAAACAATTGAACTCAAGCGAATCTTTCAATAAATCAAAAAAAACTCACATCATCGTGCGGAGATCCGCCGGGTGACGTCGCGGCGGCAACTCGGAGCAGCTTGTTCTGCTCGCGGAGCAACTCCTCGATCGAGAACCGCTGGCTCGGCAACTCGTTACTTCCCATCGGCATGATCGGAGGAGAGGCGGAATGAGCTGAGGGCTCCGGTAACCTGGATTATCCAAAACAGAAGGCGGAGCCCTGTTTAGTAGAGTGTGGCTGAAGAATCGGATTATCTCTGAGCGACACGCGTTTGCGCGATGCTCCAATTGGAAGAGGGCGTGGCCAGCCAATCGCCGCGGCTTACCTTGGATTAAGCTCCGATATTCATCAAGTTTGAAGGTTTTGTTGGGAAAAAGCGGAACTTAAGGTCGACTTCTTTTGAAAAAAAAAAATTGGAATTTACTGTAGAAATTTTTGGATTTATTTTTTACAGAATCGAATTTTTTTTCAAGTTTCTCTTTTAATTAAAATCGGCTCTATAGTCTGTTCAGATTTTGAATGTCAAGTGCAATGACGTCATTCAAAAACACTCTGTGGATGGCTCGCTTTCTGATTGGTTTATCGCACCATTAGGGGCGGAGCTTGAGCGACGGCTTGACATTCGAAATCTGAACAGACTATATAGTCGGCTCCAGCTATCCGAAGAAAAATTTTTACATATTTTGCTGAACTAGAAGGAGTTGAAGAGCTAGAAATTCTCATCTTTTTGAAAACTGCCTGGATTTGTTTTTTAATGACAGAAGTCTGAAAGAATTTTTTGTAAAGCTTTTTTTAAAGTTCAAAGAAGTCCTGGATAGATAGACAGTGATAAAAAGCCAAATTTTAGGATTTTGAAGTATTTTTTTTAGTTCCTAGCGTTGTCATATGCTCCTGATAACTTTTCAAGCTTCATCTTCTCTTCCTTTCGACCTCTTCTTCTTCCGACTCCTAACTCTAACAGAGATGAAAGAAATGTCGCCGCAAAACTTGGAACAACCACCCACTGACTCTGGAGAACAAGAGAAAAGACGGACTTATCGCCTCGCCCTTAGAACTCGACACCCTTCCATTGTACCCACCAACTTGGCACCTGCCCTAGCAATTATTCCGAAACAAAAAAAAGCGATGACGACGTTACTTCTGCTCAGAAGTTCTGGGGGAAGCCTCGAGTGGAAAATGAATGAGCCAAATAGGCGCGGACACTTATTGCATTATTCGCGACTGACTTTTCTTCGCTTGCCAAAAGTGTTTGAAAGCTTCTCGTCAACCAAATTATTATGGCCAGCCTCGTCTTTGACATCTTCTCCTCTGTAACTTCCACATAATGTGCGGCCCAACACTAATCAACAATCTTACGGTGGCTTTTTTGAAATTGTGCGAAAAAAAATTTGACAAAACCCTATGAATCATAGGCTATGATTTGTTTTGAACGTGTTTTTGGGTCGGAGAAGCTTTTACGCCAATCTTGTCGTCTTTGAAAAATTATTCAGAGTACTGTATATTCTGTGTGCCACGACTTGAAATTTCACCGAACGACATTCCGCTGTTCCGCTTCGTGCGTTCGCGAAGCGTTTTTCGAATCTAGGTTAAATTGATTGTTATTGCTGTGGGGTCGCATGAAAGTAGAGTACCTCAATAAAAGAAAAAAATTGTAAGCACGACTAAGGTTCGCGAACACACACAGCGTAACAGCGGAATGTCGTTCGGTAAAATTCCAAGTCGTGGTACACAGGCTTTACTTTAAAAGCAATTATTTCGGAGATTTTAAAGGAGCATAGACAGAAATTGGCAAAAAAACATCGACGCGAAGAGTTTCGTATTTATTTGAAGTTAGGCTCAAAATTTATTATGCTCTCATGATTTCCGAGAGCTGGAAGAAGTCAAACACATTAATTATATTGTACTGTTCGTAGTAAAAGCTGGCTTGGATCATCAAAAAAAGGTCCTACCACGATTTCTAAAAAAAAGACAGTGCCTGGTCGGTGGAGAGCGCAGACAGGTCACGATTTTTTGCGTCCCCAAATTATCAAAAAATTTTTGAATGGTTTTTTTTCTATAAAACCTTCACTTTGAAAATTGTAGCCACGTCAGCTGTCTAGAAGATCTACGAAACTTCGTAATTCTAAAAAAATGAGACCGGAACCCAGGCAATTATCTGGAATGACCGTTTTTCCAGCCTGCGACACGCGGATCGAAACAATGGCTTGAGCAGAAAAGCGAGAAATGTGTGAACATGTTGGCCGCCCCTCTAATAGCCATTGTGCAATACGGTAAATTGTTGCCAAAATATTGGCACTTCTTGGGAGCAATTGGTCCGTCGTCCGTCCGGTCGTCCACATCGACACCGCTTCCAGATGTCCTTCGTTCAATTACGGCGATGACCAGTAGAACTTTCACGAGATCCGGTTTCCACACCCGGCTACTTAGGAATCCCAGAGAGGTCCCTATAGGGGTTAGAATGAAAAAACAGCCCCTATAGGGGCCGAAAAAGTGGTCACTATAGGGGTTTAGGGTCTGACCCCATAGCTCCTAAAGCTCAAGTGGTCCCTATAGGGTCTTTCACTTCATTCAAAAAACGCTTATTTATTTAGTTTTTCGCATGGAAAGGCTTCTTCTCGTAGAGATCGACCAGCATGTCCCTATAGGGTCCACTAATTAAAACCCCTATAGGGACCATTTTTGCAAGCTTTAGTGGCCCCTATATGGGTTGGCGAAGGGATCCCCAAGGGCTTCTCAGCTTGCCCCTATAGGGACCACTCTGGAGCTCCTAAGAAAGCATAGTGTATTTTATCATCTTCTTAGGAGCGTCAGAGTGGTACCTATAGGGGTTAGGAGATAAAAGGCCCCTATAGCCTATATATAGGCTATAGGGGCCTTTTTCCTATATATAGGCTATAGGGTACGAAAAAAAAATCCCTATAGGGGTAACATTTAGGGGGCTCCTATAGGGGTTTAGGGTTTGACCCTTCAGCCTCTAAAGCTTAATTGGTCCCTATAGGGGATCAGGGTCTGATCCCTTAGCCCCTAAAGCTCAAGTGGACCCTATAGTGGACTTTCAATTTCATTCAAATAACGTCAAATTATTGAGTTTTTCGCATGAAAATGGTTCTTCTAGTATAGTTCATAACAAAAAACAACTAGCATGTCCTCTATACGGGTCACTTTTGCAAGCTTTAGCGGCCCCTTAAGGGGAGGGTCCCTAAGGTTTCCTCTAAAAGGAGCACTTTGACATTCTTGAAGTTTGAATAAAACTCACAAAACTCGTCGCAATACGTTTCAACGCCAAGATTTTAAATTTTCTTCTGTTGAGAATGATGCTTCCGACTTTGTGGAAGATTGTTGTAGACGACTCTAAAATCAAACCTCATTTCGAAGCCTCGTCAAGAACTTTGGCCATTTAACTTCAACAATATTTGCTCCATGGGCCTCGCAATTAGGTGTGAAATCGGTGAAAGGAATAGCCGAGAATCGAACCAAATTAATGAGTCCGGAAACGACAGTAACCTCCTCATGTTAGGGCAGCTTTTCGCGTCGCTCTTGCCAATTATTTTAAATTTGGCCTCGATGTATCGTTAAAGTGGCTGAAAAGTATGTCTAGTAGGAAAATCTAATTGGGTTGTCAGGAGTGGAATCAAAATATTTGTCGAGTTGAAGTCTTTGGGCGCTATGTGGAGAAGTTTTCCATCAGAATGAAAAAAGTCAAACTTGACAAAAAGACGCTTCAAGCTAATGGTTCAAAAATCGCTGCAGTTTAAATTAGAAGTTCAAAGATCCACAATAAAATTGAGCAGAGCATCTAATTTTCCTGACTAGGGAGGTCATTTCACTTAGCGGTTATGATTTTCTTAAAAATTGACCAGAACACTTCTTGATGTACCAGAAGACGATTCTGAACCTCTCAACCTGCACAATTTCCTTGGTTTTCGCCTCAAAATCCATGAAAATAGGCTATTTCGAGGCATCAAGTCCTTATTTCTCGAAAAATAGGAAGTTGTGCAGGTTGAGACTTATAAGATCTTTTTCTGGTACATCAAGGAGTTTTCTGGCCAATTTTCAGAAAGTTCCCAACCGCAAGGTGAAATTACCCTCCCTGTGAGCCCATGAAGAATATAATCCTGGAATTCCAATAGAACCTAAAGAACTGTTAAACCTTGTTAACTTTTTCGATTCCAGCGCATTTTAGCATCAACTCTCGAGAAGAAGAGGCAATTTGCATGGGCCTCTGGCTGGGGTCAGCCACCGGCGGCACACACCTTGGAAGGGATAATCGCGGCCGTGGCACTTGAACTCGGCCGGCTCATTTTGGCTCACACACTTGTCATCAGGTGCACGAAATGAATGGTGACGCCATCCGACGATAAAATACTTTGTTTTGTGTCCAGTGAGGTGAGTTTCCCAGTTACGCAAGCCACGAAGCTTAATTGGGGCTTGATTAGGCAGGATTTTAAAAGGTTCTGAAAGTGGGAACTTGAGTGATTTGGTTGCTCGCATCCTTGTAGGTTGTGATAGGTTCGAGAAGGCAAGCTGAAGCATAAGCGCCGTCAAAAAAAGCCATGATTCTTGTTTAATTTGTTTTGATATTTTAAGTCTTGAAGCGTTGATCTACTGAACACTTCCCTCTCGCCTCCAAAAAAACTACTTTATTTCACAAAAAAACTAATTTATTGGCAAAAAAATAGTTTAACAAAGTCCTCAAAGTTTTTAAAACGTTTCAGAAGGATACCTTGGGATATCAGATATAAAACTTGATTTTAAAATGGACCTTTTCTCTTATGCGCTTTCTTCCATCCACTAACTTCTCTATTTTTGTTCTTTTCATTTTTGAATAACTATCAAAAATGAATTCAAACGCTAAAAAACTTTCTGGATCTCGCAGAAGACGTCTGGCGACACCAGACACACCGACGTAACTCTGTCCCGTTCCATCACAACCGTAATAAGTTGGGCAAACAAAACGGCTAATTAATTGCGACAATAAGCGCGCAGAGACACGGCTTTTCGCGGCTCTTTTTTGTCGCTAATAGGATTTTATTTACACACAATTGTACGATCAGTGTAGGTCAGACACGTGGCAAACTTTTGGGACTTGAATCGTTGAAAAATTCTTTTGAAATAGGAACCTATTCGAAACCTTTGAATCTCAGAGCCAAAAGCTGTTTTGAAGATTTTTTCCAATTTTTTCTTGAATTTGCATTAAAAAGCAACAAATTGTTTATTCATCTTGGTAGAATGAACCTCGGAGGGCAAGGACAATACGTCGAGTCGATTCCAAGGCTTCCCGGAGGCCCGACAAATCCTGGAGAGCCTGAAACAAAGTATTCATTCAGCTACTTTCTTCAAATCGAACCTCTTTCGCCTCGAAGTCCTGTCGGCCCGACCGGCCCTCGCAGTCCGATCGGTCCTTCTGGTCCAGGGAGGCCTTTTTCTCCAGGTAGTCCTCGATTTCCGGGCGGTCCTTCACTACCTCGTTCTCCGTTCTCTCCGATGATTCCCTTGATGTAAATGGTGCCGTCGGAACCATTTTTACCAGGAAACCCTGTAAAAAGGAAACTGTAAAGACGAGAACCTGAGATTGAAAAACTGACCAACAAGTCCATTTGCGCCAGGGAATCCAGGCTCTCCAGGCTCACCGATGGCGCCTCGTTCTCCTGGCCTTCCTGGAACGCCATTCCGGCCTGTTAAGCCAGGTTGACCCTAAAGTTTTGCTCCTTGGGTAAGAAAAGGTCTTTCTATCGAACCGGTGGTCCTTCTTCACCTTCCTCGCCTGTTTTACCCTTCGGACCGTATGGACAAACTCGGCAACCTTCGATAATGCGAGACATGGCCAGAGGAACTTCTCCTGAACAGCCAGGGTGCCCTCGTTCTCCCGGGAGTCCGTTGTAGCCAGGCTGTCCTGGAGGTCCTGGAACGGACTTTTGCGGAGCGTCCAGTGAAGCTTATTTTCAAAAATTGTTCAAAGAAGTTAGTTCAGCTACAGCTTGTCCGAAAATCTTTATTTTATTTATTAGCAACTTCATAAACGTTTCGAGGTTCATTGAACACCCTGCCAAACGTTTCACCAAAGACTATAACTCCTAAAAAAATATTATAGAAAATTCCTTCTACATGTGAATGAACTATCCGCGAGACGTTGAGCAATTCCACATCCAAAAAGATCCACTTTGTAGCGAATAAGGTAAACCTCGATTCCCCTTTCGGCCAGGTGGACAATCATTGATGTACTCGCACTCGCAGTAGCTGTAGCGGTTCTGATAAGCTCTCTTCATTCGTTGACTTCCCCCGACGTCGCGAAGCATCTCCCAAGCGGCTGTTTCAATCTGCTCGAACTCAGACAACTGCGACTTGAGCGTTTCTTGAATCGTGGCCACTTGTTGGAAGAAAGATGGAAGATAACTGAAAATTTCACAAATCCATCTGATTCCCTTGTTGAATACCTGAACAGTGTAAATATGGAGAAAAAGGAGAAGCAGGTGGAGAGGACGAGGGTCCGCATGACGACTGACCGTCATCACGTCGTCTCACGGATTAGAGGCCGCCGATTCGACCGGTTCCAACTTCTTAATCTTCGAAATCTTGAGAGTTTCCACCTTAAAATGTTTGTTCTTGTGTCGATCATTTGAAGAAAAAATTTCCGATACGTTGGCAAAGTTTGAGATTTTGAACTCTCAAACGCGGACATGAGTTTCCAAAAAAGATTACGAGATTTTTGAGACAATGGAGCTTATCGGCGTTTCTGTGCGTACTCTGCTCACTTGGATGATAATTCTTGCATCACGTTGTTTAGTAGAAGAGCCATATATACTCCCTTTATTGATAAATCAGGACTTCTCACACCGACCATGCTGAAGGCGTCACTTGTTCTCGCTGCGATATGCCTTTCGACTTCGGCGTTGCCGACGTCTTCTGATACCAGATCTCAGTTGGTCGGAGGAAGTGAATTCCAAGAGTTCATTTTTGAGTTTTCAGGATACTTACGGCCGCGCAGTTGATTTCTCCTCGCAAGTCCCAGTTTCCCAACTGCAATGCCTGAAGCAGAATGGATACAGCGTTGTATTCCTTCGGTTTTTTTTTCAATTTCATTTTTTTTTGTTTTGAACATTCACTGTCAGTATTTCTAAACTTCATGAGGATTACTTTTTTAGAATTGAAAAAGCGGTTTTTTTCTGGATTTTACATAACCTTTCTTGTACCAGTTACCCTTACTTAAATACCTGGGTCATTCTACTTTTTTGAAAGCTTCAAACTTCGAAATAAGGTTCAGTATTCAAAATTTTATGAAAAGGCATAAGCAATACTCAAATAGAATACGGAACTTGAGCTCACTATGATTTTTCAACTTCGAACTTATTCCAGAGGTTTCGCGGCGGACGGCGATGGTCACTACGACATCAACGTCATTGGAACTGCCCATAACGCTGTCAGAAGTCAGCGCAAAACTTTCTTTCACAGATCCTGCCTATTTTAGTTCCTCTCGGTGTGGAATTCTACATGGAGCCTCAGCCATCCTCGCTAACCAAGAACGCAACTCAGCAGTTCAACGAAATGATTGAAGCCCTCTTCCACTATGGAATCCACTTCCGAAGCTTCTGGCTCCAGGCTTGTTAGCTCCGATTTCGCCAGTTGATGTTATTTAGGTCTCGACAAAAACACAGTCTACTTGGAATGCCAGTCCTCAGTACAACATCAACTTCATCGATGCTATCTTATCCATTGCTCAGGTGAGTTGAAACCAGACGGATACCTGTGAATTGGAGCTTCAGCGAGACGGTTTCACCGTCGGAATCTACACAAACCAGGACGAGTGGAAGCAGATCACTAACAACTGGATTCCAAACTACCCCAACCTTCCTTTGTGGTACTCGAGCGTGAAGGGCAACGGCGCTCAAGGAGAGACGTCGCCGGATTACAACGATTTCGTGCCTTTCGGACCTTTCACAGCTCCCACCGCCAAGCAGTTTGGTGTGGGCGAATCCGACTGCCAGATCGCCAACAACAGGTGAAATGTTTGAAATTCGATTCCTTCAAAAACAAATTCCAGAGATATCTACACTAACAATGCCGCTACGCCTCTGGGCCTCGTTCAAATTGGAGAGTCGAAAAATGGAGTTTTCCAAGGAAACTGAATCTTTCTTATTGAAATAAAGTCTTTCGGAGTAAGATTGGACGAAACTGATGCAATACTTAATAATCTGCAGTTGAGAACCAGAAAAGCTCTTCCTATGCTCCTTCTCATGTCTTTTTTGAGATATTTTAAACGGCTGTGTGGAAAAGTTTCATCGTCAGACCTGGGTAACGAAAACCCGTTACTGAGCCTCTCTAGGGATCACTTAGGAGTGCTGACGTCACTAAAGTGGTCACTAGAAACGCCCCAACATGTCCGATTCGCCTCCGTTTCGCGTTATAGTCTATAGATTTTGAATGTATGTCAAGTCGTCCCTCAGGCTCCGCCCCTAATGGCGCAATAAACCAATCAGAGAGCGAGCCATCCACATAGTGTTTTTGAATGACGTCATTTCACTTGACATTAAAAGTCTGAACAGACTATACCAATTTCCGAGTCTAAAATTAGAAACTTTACACAATTGTTGATTTTTTTTTTCGTCTTAAAGACCAAAAACTACAGTAATAAATAGCTTATCGGCTTGGAAACGCTGGAGGCTTCAAGACAGGGTGTTCTTTGCTTCCTATCCTCCGATAATGATTTCAGTGATTAGGAAAAAACCTATATATATAGTGGTGGATAGTGAGCGATAATCACTATTCACTGGCTAGGAATGTTGAAACTCGGCCTTTTTTTCGCTTCTCTTTGTTTCGTCCTTTTTGCGATGCCTCTGGACACCGAAATGGACATTTCCAAGCTGGTAGGAAGCCTAAGAATTTTTTAATCAAAATTTAGATCTCCTTCACTCCGGCTGTGGACTTCTCGGTTCAAGTGCCAGTCAATCAACTGCAATGTTTGAGGCAGAACGGATACAACCTGCTCCTACTCAGGTTGACTTTCTATTATTCAATTAAGGGAGTGGGATTTCGTTTTTAGCTTGTGAATTTTCCTCGGTCTTTACCAATGTGCTGAAAGACTTCGAAACGATTTTTCGGACGAAAATTTAAAAACTGGACGAAATGAAACAGTAAAAGTCTTTACTAGTGCATAGCCATCATCGCATAGACTTATCTCAAAGTCCGTTTTTCGCGACTTGAAAGGACGGGACTTCTCTGCGCCCTCCTCATCTCTCGCCCTGTCTCTCATTTTTACGTGCTATTTCCATGTTTCTCTGACCTCGCCGGTGAGGGAACAGAGAGACGCAGACTGTCAAGTCGCGGCGGACGAACTATAACTTGAACTAGGAAAACCTTCAATCAGCCATTTATAGAGGATTTTCCGCTGAAGGAGACGGCGAATTTGATCCGAATGCCATCATCAATGGCCACAACGCCATGAGATGTCAGTTTTGAGATTGCTACTTAAATAAACTTCCAATTTTAGATTCATTCGGACTTCAAATTTACATGGAACCTCAGCCCGCATCCAAAACCAAGAACGCCACCCAACAGTTGGATGAAATGATTGGAGCGCTTTATCACTACGGCCTCCACTTCAGAAACTTCTGGCTCCAAGTTTCTCGACTTTTCTTTTCTTCGTCATCGGAAGATTCAGGTCTCTTCCAAGTCTCTGTCGACGTGGAACAGCGACGCCGCTTCCAACATCGCCTTCCTCGACGCAATCATCTCCCAGGCTCATGTATACCTAGCAAATAGGCATTTTGTTATTTCAAAGCTTCAGCACGGAGGAATCGGTGTCGGAGTTTTCACCAGTCAAGATGACTGGAAGACGATCACGAACAACTGGATTCCCAACTACCCCAGCCTTCCTTTGTGGTACTCCAACGTCAAAGGCAACGGTGTCCAAGGAGAGACTCCTCAAGACTTCAATGACTTCGTGCCATTCGGACCTTTCACAACTCCCACCGCCAAGCAGTACGGCATCGGCGAGTCCGACTGTCAGGTTGCTAACAACAGGTGAGAGAAAAACACCTGTTACTTTATTTCAAACCATGATTCTCCAGAGACATCTACGTCAACAGTCAAGCTGCGCCTCAGAGTCTTTTCCAAGCCGGAGCGCCGAAAACCCTTGAAGAAGCTTATCGAAACGTCTAACATCTTTTATTTTGAATAAAATCCTTCGAAGTTTAGTTAACTCGATTTTTCACAGAAACTTTATAAAAGAAAGTTTTTGTGCTTCAGAAATTCGGGTGCAAACTGCTTATCGCCTTGTGTGTACTCTGGCTCCTTCGATTATGAATTTTATGATTACAAAACAAAAATTGATCACTACGACAAGCAATAATCACTATTCAATCGGTAAAATGCGGATACTATGTGTTGCTCTGACTGTCTTCTGTATAATTTCGGCGAAGCCTCTGGAAACTGAATCTCACGTTTTTCCTTTGGTATGAAGTTCGATCTTCCAAAAGCAGAAGAACTTCAGAACTTCTACACTCCCGCTGTTGATTTTTCCGCCCATGTGCCGGTCAACCAGCTCAGCTGTCTGAAACTCAGCGGCTATTTCATCCTCTTCCTCAGGTTTTTTTTTCTCAAATTCTCAAATCAGAGTTAGAAATTTAACGCGAAAATGTAGCTCAATGAAGATTTGTTAAACATTGATTTTAGGGGATTTTCCGCTGAGAACGACGGCGAATTCGATCCGAATGCTATCATCAACTTCCATAACGCATTGAAATGTCGGTTGGAAAAATTTTGATTTCTTCAAGCTTAGTTTGAGATTCATTCGGACTTCAAATTTACATGGAGCCTCAGCCAGCCTCCAAAACCAAGAACGCCACCCAACAGTTTGGATGAAATGATGGGGTCTCTCACTCATTATGGGCTCTACTTCCGATTCTTCTGGCTTCAAGTTTGTTTGAAACTTCCTTTCAGTTCAACTTTTTTAACCCACAGGTTTCCTCCAAAACTCTGTCAAAATGGAATAGCGACGCAGTTTTCAACGTTGCCTTCATTGACGCAATCATATCTCGGGCTCAAGTTTTAGGACCTGATAAATTTTTGCACTCTTTGAAGCTTCAGCAAGGAGGAATCGGCGTCGGAATCTACACAAACCAGGACGAGTGGAAGCAGATCACAAACAACTGGACCCCGAACTACCCGAATATTCCTCTGTGGTACTCGAGCGTGAAGGGCAACGGTACCCAGGGAGAAACTCCGCAAGATTTCAAAGATTTCGAGCCTTTTGGACCTTTCACAACTCCCACCGCCAAACAATACGGAGTAGGGCGAGTCAGACTGCCAGGTGGCTAATAACAGGTAAAAAATTGATTTTTTCGGATCTTAAAAGAGATTTTCCAGAGACATCTACATCAAAAATGAAGCCGCCCCGTTTAGCTTCTTACATATGGGGACGCCAAAAGCTCTCTGAAAACCTACCCAAATCAATGAACTACATTTGTTTTTAATAAAATTCTCATTCTTGTTCATCGCAAAAAACGAAAAAATGATTTATAAAAAACCCCACTTTTCGTGCATCTGAAAAAATGTCTCAATGGCTGATTTCAAGTTGAGGTGATAAGCTTATTGGAAGTAATCGTTCATTGGTTTTTGGACCGGCCAAACGTCGTTGCTAGCTGTTAACACGAAAAAACAGATAATGACGATTTAGACGTTGCGTGATCCAAACTGATGATAAAGATCCTTATCGGCCCGAAATATAAACACAAAAACGCCACAAAAGAAACTTGTGTCCTTGAAGCTTCTTGTAATCGCCTTTAGCTTGCAAAATTGAACTTCAAGCATGAATATCCTAATGACCTCACTTTTGGCGGTGTTCGGCACTTCCTTGGCCATGCCTTCGGATATTTTATCGTTGGCGAGAGTTGATGGGAATTTTTCCGAGGTCGAAGCTCAGCCAGCTCCTTCGTCTCCATCCGAGCTGGTGAGAAAACTGAAAAAAAGGAGAAAAGGAAACTTTCAAGTTGTACTTCGCATATGCCGTCGACATTTTCATTCCTGCCAGCGTCTCTCAACTAACTTGCCTGAAAAAGAGTCAGTACAGCGCTCTTTTTGTTCGGTAAGCTTTTGAAAGAAAGAAATAGCACCATATTTCTTTCAGAGCTTATAGACCGGAGGGACAAGGCTTTTTTGATCCAAACTGTGTCACTACCATTCAAAACGCTGTGCAAGGTGTTCACATATTTTGGCAATCAGATAATAATTCTCTCCGTTCAGTCGGCATAAACGTCGAAATTTACATGACTCCTCAGGCGGTGTCAAACAAATCAGGCTCCCAACAGCTCGAAGAAGTCTACTACGAACTCCAGGCCCAAGGCATCACCGTTCGAAGCATTTGGATTCAGGTTTTTTTTTTTTGAAATGAATAGAAGTTCAAAGAAACTAACTCTTCAGGTTGTTTCGCCAGAATATTGGAGCAAAGATCACTACAAGAACACCGACTTCATCAACAGCATCATCACTCGTGCCACGGTGAAACAGAAATTTGAATTTTTAAATTAATTATTCTGCAGCAATTCGGACTGGTGGTCGGCATCTACACCAGCCACTACGACTGGTATCACATCACCAACAGCTATTCGCAATTCAACGTCGACATCAACCTGTGGTATTACCACGTCTTCAGCGATGGTCCCCGAGGAGAGACCAAAGGCGACTTCAGCGATTTCCTTCCATTCGGACCCTGGATCACCCCGTTCGCCAAGCAGTTCGGCCAGATGGAAACCATTTGTGCTCTCAATCCCACCAATCGGTCAGCCTTTTTTTCGGTTAATGATTCTCTTTCGTGGTTCAAAATAACTGCTGTAGTTTTCGCGAGATACTCACAAGAGAGAAAAATTGGTCAGCGCACTTATTTCAAGTATGAACCTCTGAAACATTTAATTTAGCTAAAGTAAAAGTTCGAATTCTCAAAATGAATTTTTCAGCAGACTCTAAACGGTTCCTGTAACTTTATAAAAGTCTTTTTTTAATAAAACTACAAATTTGTGGGGGTCGACCCTTCCAGGAACCAAGTCTGGTAAAGATGAAGTCTTTCATCACTCTTTTTCCGATTTAGCCCATCATATTCGTATTCGAAAAACTCCAAAGCTGATTTTGTTATAAAATTGGGATAATTTTCAGGCAAAAACATGAAAAATTCAGCGTTTTCCTTTCACATTTGTATTTGATAGATTCAAAATTTAAAAGAAGATAATATTCCTGTCAAACTTCCAGTGACGCCTACGCACTTGCGAATACGAAAGCCCGAGCTGCCCAAGAAAAAAAATCGCTGGCCCTGTCGTTGGATTTATCGGAGTGCAATGATTTTTATAAATATTTTTTTGAAAATATTGAATAAAAATAGTTTTGCGTATTCAATAAAGCTGGACCAATCAAATCATTTCTCCGGGAACGAATATATGCAGGTTTTCGAATTGATAACAGCTGTTGTCAATTTGGCGATAAAGGAAAAGGTCAAAATCTGTAGCTGTGGCTACAAAAATGACGTTTGTTTGAGAAGATTTTCCATAATTCATGCACGCTTTTTTTGCTTTTTTTCTTGTTTGCTCTTTTGTCTGCGGGACGTGAAAAATTTACAATTGAAAAGAAAATGAACGAATTGGAGGAAAAAAAAACAGATTTCTCTTTCGAAAACTAAAAGATCGCTCGACGTTTCTCGATCATTTCATGAAACAGAACACAACATCTTAAAATTAATTGAATGAAAATATTCAAAATTTCAGATAGATTGCCAGGAAAAAAATGATTATTTTTATGGTGGAAGCCTCTTTTTCAAAAATTTGCTGACTCTTTTTTCTGAGTTTTAAAAAGCTCCAAAACAGTAGGAAAAAAACCGAGCTTCTTTCTTCATTTTTATACGAAGGAAAAACGAAATTTTTTTTACGAGAAATGTTTCCAAAACTTTCTGAACAACATCGTATAACGAAGAGAAAATGTCAAGGTGACGCTATTTGAGTGTCTCTCCTAGCTTTATCATCTACCGTCAGTTATCAACGACCTCTACCGGAAAACGTGGGCGTTCTTCTTTTCTTTTTGTTTCTTTCTCTTTCATTTTACGAACAGATTAAGATTGCACCATCAGAACACAATAAAGGATGACGAATTTCTATTTATTTATTTTTTGGCAGAAAAAGGAATATGAAAATCATTGGGACGATTTGTTTGATCACATTTGGCGGTATTGTCTCTTGGCAATATATAAAAGCACGGAGGGAAATCCCAAAAGCCAACTTTAAATTCCTATTCAAATACATTTTCCAATTCATAGCATGAAAAATATTTTAATTTTCATCATTCTGCCTGGCGAAAAACTGGAAAAAGGCTGTGAACAGCTTATCAAAAATTGTTTTCCGATTTCAACTATCTCAAAATGAACGCCTTTCAATAGTAAAACGTACCATACGTTTTTTCTTTTCTGGTGGCCTTTTCAACATGAAAATCGATGAAAAAATTTTTTTCAGAACATTTTTTAACTAGCTTTCGAAAAGTTCGAAAAAAAAAACTTTCTTTGAAGCCTCCCCACTTCGGTCAAACTTATAATTCGAAAGTTCCGGGAATCATTGACTTTTGGAGTGAATTGTTTATCTAAAAGTCGAACAATTGATAAGCGATCTTCATCGTTATCGTAGCATATATAAATTACCGATAAACCACTTTCTGGCAGCTTTGTCTTCGATTTTTTCCAATGTACACACGTCTAATGATTTTTCTGGAACCTTCCCTAAAACGTACTTTTTTTTTAGGATGCTGAAGTTGGCAGCACTTTTGTCGGTGGCCTGCGCCGCCGTCCTGGCGATGCCCTCGGACCACGTCCTGCCGTTCGTCGCCAAGTCTTTCCCCATCAAGTTCGCGGAAGTCATCGCTGAGCCTGCTCCGGCCGTTACTTCCAACTCAGCCACTTACCAATACGCTGTCGATTTCGCCGTTCCTGCCTCGACCAGCCAGCTGAGCTGCCTCAAACAGGCTGGCTACAGTGCCATCTTTATCCGGTTTGTCGCCAATTTATCGGTCTCTTGAGGAAAGAATTTTTCAGAGCGTACAGTCCGGCTGGACAAGGTACCTTCGACACCAATTCCTGCCAAACTATCATGAACGCTGCTGCGGTTGGTCTTGGCGTCGAGGCATACATCACTCCTCAGCCGTCGTCCAGCAAGCAGGGATACCAACAGCTCGATGAAACCTACCAAGGCCTCACTTCTCGAGGAATCACCGTCCGCAGCATCTGGATCCAAGTATGTGGAAAGATAAATTCAGAAAGCCAACCAGCTTTTTCCAGGTGACTTCACCTGCCAACTGGCCTGGTACCGCCACGAGCCACGTCAACTTCCTCAACAGCATGATCACTCGTGCTCAGGTTTTTCTCAAAACCAAAACAATCAAAAACTTCAATGATTTTTCAGCAATACGGCCTTGCCGTCGGTATCTACACCAGCTACTACGACTGGAACCAGATCACGAACGGCTGGACGAACGTCGGCAGCCAGGTTATGGTCTGGTACTGGAGCGTGTTCGGCGGCGGCGTCAGCGGCGAGAGTCCCGCCAACTTCAGTGATTTCCGTCCTTTCGGAAACTGGAAGACTGCCACGGCCAAGCAGTTCGCTCAGGTCGAGACTGTCTGCCAACTCACAGTGAACAGGTGTATTTTTTTGCGAAAATCTTTTTTTTAATCGCTTTTTCAGAGACGTTTACGCGGTTGGAATGCCACGATTGGCCGATGCAGTTGAAAGCAAGTCGGAAGGACCTGTCGTCGGTTTCCTCGGACACTAATGTAGATATAAACTCATATTTATGAAAAAAAAATACTTAAACCTTGATAATAAAAAAATTGATTCGACTTTTCTTTCAAACATTGAAAAAAAAAATTCGATAATAAACATGTTGCTTTATAGAAAAAAAAAATCACAACAAGGCATGTGAATAAGTATCAGTATTTAATGCCGTGTTCAAAGTGATTCCGCGAAATTCAAAATAGCCGTCAGAGAAAGAGAAAGATAACTAAATTTTGGAGGGTCAGAGACCATTTTGCATTTCGCGGAAATTACTTTGAACACGGCATAAAACACACATAACACCATCTCGATAGAAGAAGATTCGCGTAATTTCACATTAAAAAAATAGGGTTTCGAAACGAAGAGACATTTTACTTCCATAGCTTCCTTTAAGCCCTTTAAAAAAGAAAAAAGATTTTTCAATTCAGTTTTCTATTCTTTCCTTCCTATTTCCTCTCGTTCGATCGGTTCGTAAAAGGCCCGTTTTTTAAAAAAAAAATTTGGCAAGTTGCAAACTTTTCTTATACTAAAATTAATTTTTGGACTCGTCTGAAAAATTTACTTTGACCTAAGAAGATCAAATGCGCTGGGCGCGCAGCCATTCAAAACAACAGAAGTGCGGCTTTGAAACTTTTTTGCGTATTGGTTAACTTGTAAACCTTTAACGTTTCTTAATCTTTATCAATCCTTTTTTTAAACAGATTTAATCGGAGGTTTTGTTTCAAAAGTACTTAATCAGGCTATATAGTTTTTGTTCCAACTTTTTATTACGTCTTTTCTCAGATTTTCTCTTTCAGATGAGCAGCGAAGATTACAAGTTCGCCGCAAAACTGGCTCACCTAGAAAGCTTAGAAACGTCCCAGGATGATGAAATGTATGAAGTTGAAAGCCGCGGAAATGTCACATGCCCTCCGGACATTATCAATCAATTCAATTTCTCCGATTTAAATGAAGTGAGTTATGAGAAGAGTTCAGAATTATGGATATTTTCCTAAAGACACCAGATCATCAATTGATATCCGCTAATTTCCAATTATTTTATTCTTTTTATTCACTCTATTTTGTAGTTTCGTTCAACTAAATAACTCTGATCAGTTCCGCATGAGTATAGTATAGTATGTTCGGTTTCGGGTGCGGGAATATTAATCCCCTAAGCTCACTTCTAGTACTTAGTACAGAATTGGCAATGAATAACTCACAACCTTGAAAATTCATAGCTCCAAATCTAGAAGTATTCTCAGATAGCGGTAGTAATGAGTCGCTTTGTCTTCCTAAGCTTTTAGAAAGTAAAAATTCTATACTTCACACTGAATACATCTTGTCAGAATTTTTCTTGAATAATGAAGACAATATTTAGTCAATGGCTAGAGAAATGGACGAACTCAGCAAGCAAGACAGGATATTTCACTCCGAAATGCGTGCCACAATCAACAGCGCCATCATTGCTCAAGACCCTTGCACATTGCCTGACGACGTGCGAGAAGAACTTATGAAGCAGAAACGCAAGGTTTCTTTTTTTGAGAACGCAGTTTAAACTAAGTTAGAAATTTTCAGGATGAAGCCTACAAAACGGCGCTGTGCGAGTCATTCCGTAAGACGAAAACGTGCGCCTACGGCGAAAACTGTCGATTTGCTCATGGAGTTGACGAACTTCGGCTGCCTCCTAACGTAAAAAAAAAGATTCACTTCACAAGTTAATGGTGAAAATTTAAGCCTCGTGGACGGAACCATCCAAAATACAAAACTGTGCTCTGTGACAAGTTTTCAACTACCGGCAATTGCAAATATGGGATTCGGTTTTCATATTGACCTAGATTATTCATAGAGTTGATGTTCTAGATGCCAATTCATCCATAAGATAGTCAACCCTTTGATTGTTGCGCAAATGCGGCCAGACGACTTTCTGCAGCAAAGTGTGAGTAAATGCTATTTTTTAATGTAAAAGAAAAACAATATTGCAGTTTGTGGGAAGATCATACGGCTCTACAGCGCCACATCAATACGGCAGACAAGTAGATCTTAACCAGAGGTCCGTTTTAGTCTCCTCTAGAGTTTAGTAACGAATCTCCATGCCTGTTCTGTAATTATGAGTTTTTTTATCTTTTCAGTATGCCGCACTCGAACTCTCGTCGCGATGATATGGCACGAGCCTTTGCTCGCGCTGTCGACCATAACCCGCACATTTCGCGGCTCGCTCGCGTCGTTGAGACGCGCAATCCTTTCAACAATTTCCAGAAAGGCCTCTGAGTTCCACCCAAAATCACATATTTCCATTTCTTTCCTCAGTTATTGCTTATTTTTCACTAATTTGTCATATAGTCGTCTACTAACCCAAATTTTTCATTCTAACCCCGTTCTTTTTTCTTTCCCACCTCAGTGATATACATCCTACTGCTTAGCAGCCTTTTTTCATGTTCTTTTGGTCAACTTTCATGTTTTCTTCTTTGTACTTTTGTTGGTTTATTGTGTTCTATGTCTTTCAGTTGTTTAATTCATGGCCTCAAAGGGAATAGATAGGTTACAATTTTTATTTTTGAATAAACGCTTAACCATGATATAAAACTTTGAGTTTCACATTTAATATTCCCTGTTGTGCCATCAGGATCTTGTACCTCTAACGGCTCGAGTGAAAAATTCTCGAGACATGAACCAACTTCCTAAGCAAAATTTTGCGCTCGTCTCACGTTATAGCCTATTCCGCGCCAGCTTGTAACGTTTTTCTTTCCGCCAAAAAGACCGTATACCAAACTAGATTAAATTTCTGCTTTTATAACGGCAAAAAACAAAGGTCTTGAAGCAAAGTTGGTTAAATTTGACCTGGCCTTTCGGCGGAAAGAAAAACGTGACAAGCTAGCGCGGAATGGCCTATAACAAGTCCTCACTTTGGGTAAATGAATGAAAGTATAAAAAAACGCTGATTTAGTATTGGTAATTTTTTTTTATTTGTAATTTTTTTAATCAAAAACATTCAAGGACCAGGAGCGCGTCCTTGTAGGGGAAAAGAGACCAAAGTCTAATGGAACTGGTTTTCAGTGTTAAAGGATGTCGTTAAGACCTTATCTCGTTCTAATGGTAAGTTTTTTGGTTCTTGATTGAAAAAATAGACGCGTCTTCCTCTGTTTCCGAATTTTTTCTTGCAAAGAAAGAAGTTTTCTGCCATTGTTCAGTATGATTTATTGAAAAGGTGACATGGTAATACAAAATACGGCTAGGATGGAATTTAAAAACCTGAGCAATACATTTTCTAGCAAGTTCAGAATTTTCGTGAGTAGTTTGAAAATTCTACTGATGATATATATATATCTAGCCGATTCACGGCTAGCTTGAGACCCTAAGAGGGCGTGGCCTGTCTACGCTTTCCACGAGCCAGGCATTATCTAATGCATTATCGTGTCCGGACCCTTTTTCAATGGCTCAAGCCAGTCATGAATCAGTTATATATATATGAAAAGAGAAAAAAACTGGCAAATAAGTTTTTTTATCAATATTATTTTTTTGATATTTTTTTAGACCTATAATAAAAAAATATATATTCACAGGCTCGACACAGAGGTTTATTTATTTTTTTTCTGACAGCTCAAAAGGAAAGAAAAACCCACCAATTCTGATTTTTACTGTAACAGTAGGAATACTATCTCTCTCCGTTCTATTGTATTCATGTGTGAGCGATGCTCTCGGCGTGTAATTGCTCCGGCAGACACGCCTGTATCTCACTTGGTTCCCCTGCACGCGTCTTGGCCACACGCGTGTGAGGCTCACGAATAAAGACTTCATGACAGTCTGCCTGCAACACGTCTAAAGCTTACACGGAAGAGCCGGTGACTCTTCCAGTGTAACATTACTTAGATCCTACTATTTTAGTTTGTCCAATAGTTCCTTTATAATTTTCAAAAGGCTTTTAAGTTTCGATAATCATTTTTTTTATTATGCGCAGATAAAAAAACGTAATATCCAATCAAAAAAAAAAATTATTTCTCTTGTGTGAAAGATCGTGGCCTGCGGTAGCCTTGATTTGCTCGAAGGATCTTCCAGAACCGGAAAATTGTTAACATCATGAAGTAGCGACAGACGAACCAAAGTAACAGTAAAGATCCCATCACAATTGCAAACGTTCTGGCTGAAATTTGAGCCTTTTTGGATTTCTAAGCGACGATTTTACTCACCATTCCATTCTTTGCCGTTATACTGTAAATATTGGTTGCTGTAAACGTAAGGGAATACTGTAACAACGAAAAATCCAATGAAAAGAAGAAAATCCCATAGGATCGTCAAGCACTGGAAAATGATTATCTAGCATCTTCATTTTTTGAATTCAAACTCACCAAAAATATTAGATGAGTTTGTAGAAACTTAGGATCTTCTTTAATAACGCCAAACCACAAAATCGCTATTTGGATCGTGAGCATGAATAAGTTGACCGAAGTGAAAACTATGCTCCCTGAAAGTTTGAAATAACCTTTTTTCTCTTTGAATATTTCTACATGCTTGCTGGTGATGGATGACAGCAAAAATGAGAAGAATGGCATAATAGACCCAATAAACTATTTCCAATGTCGCGATTATCAGGCACGCTTTCTAAATCTGAGTTAACAGACGTTGAAAAATTATAAAAAAAATATGAGAAATATTTTTTTCATCACTCCTCAGTCATTTTGAATTTTATTTTCGCGACGGCACAACTAAAAAAAATTTCTAGAAACGCAATTTTGAAGCTGAAGCTCAAAATTTTCAAATTAAATAATTTTTCGGGAGTGATTTTTCCTTAAAGTGGAAAATGCATTTCCCACTTTATTGCATTCGGCCTCTGAACACAATTTTTCTCAACTAATTTGTTTACGTACCTTGTATGTGAGTTTTTCCAAAAGCAAACTCGTTTCTCTTCATCATAAAAAAATGTCTCGCGGTACGTAATCTCGATTCATTCTTTTGGAATTTGTAGAGACTGAAAATATAATCAATATTCTATCGATGGATCAATCATCGTCAATTTCCAAGCCATTTTCCGACTGATAACACATTTCTCCCTGTATTAAAATGACGTTGAGCTTGAAAAAGAAAAATATTTTCGTCTCAAAAATATAAGAAAAGTGTCGGTGATCAAAGCAGAGAAGAGAAACACATCAAGAATGGTTAGTTGGTTTTTGATTGATTGGGAAACAGAAATTGTTCTGTGGGAAGTGCTGGTGGGAAAGTCAATACCATTGATAACCTTTTGATTCTCAAAAAAAATTCTCGCCCACTTTACAATCCAGTAAAAAAAAAAGGAATAAATGTCTTTGTTTTTGGAAACGTCAGACATAGGGAAGATCTAAATGGGCTCGAAAAAATCTCCAACACTTAATATCTCTCAATTTTTCAAAATTTAATTTATTATTCTGGATTCAACATGTTATTTCAATTTTTAACGGATGTTTGAGAACTAGATGAACGAGAATTCTCTTAAAAATGAATTATGGTTTTTAAAACAAATAATTTTCAGGAATGGATTTTGACTCGATTTTCCGTAGTTTGATTGTTGGGGGTTTCATACGATTTTCAACTGCCCATAAAAGCATTGATTGTTCACAACAGAATAGGAAAGAACTTCTCTTTTTTTTATTAAATTTTCGACATCTTTACAAGGAATATGACACACAAACGCATGAGAAAAAAAAAGTGCCGAGATTCATTTCAAGTGCCGATGACTTCGCAAACAAAAAGCGGCGACGAACTGCAGTACCGCAGCCAGCAATGAGTGAATCATATCGTAAACAACCTGAAATGAGTTCTTTATCAGTGCTTTTGACAGCTGGAAAAAGACCGCTCTAATCGGGTCATCTCTAGTGATAAAGAGAGCCAGAAAAGGTAATAAAACAAGGTTTTGAATAAAGCAAGTTCAAACCTTCGGGGCAAAAACGGTCCAGAGGAAAAGGTGCTGACGGAAAATTATGAATGATAAAATTGAGACAGAGAAAGCAACGATTCTGTAGGCAAACGTCCATGCCGCCAATGCTTCCAGTTCTATCCCAACATTCCTCTTCTCCGAACACCTGAAAAGTTGTCATAATGTTTTCACACTTTTTCTCGCACTCACAGTCCCAAGATAAACACGATGGGACCGGCGTACATGTTCAGGAGCAGCTGAAAAGCGATGAAAATCGGCTGGTATGAGGTCACGCCTGTGTAGGAAGCAGCCAAGTCGATAGTGGACAGACTGTTCGAGTTTCCCTTAATCATGATTAGTTGAGATAAATCGAGGCTGAGCCTACTGTATAATAGAAAGCAGATACTAGTAGAGCCATGAGCGGATCCACGCCCAGTTTGGCTTTTGCCGCTCTCCGACCCATTTCATGAACAGCGGCGAGAAGGAAAAGCTGATGTGGTGGTGATATGAAAAGAATGTAGGTTAGGATGGATGACGTTGGGCTCAGGTAGGCCGAAGCAAGGCTGAACAATCGGATAGCCGTCTCCAAGGTTTGGTCACCACTGAAAACATTTTTGTGATCATCTTAAAACTTGGAACTACAAGGGCTCACAAAGGATTTTCATTCCTGACGTAGTGAAAAATAGCTGAGCCGAAGATTCCGATGACCTGAAGAGCCGTTGCAAAGCCTCTCTTCTTCTTAGATATCAGGAAGATCCAAATCAAGCCGGCAAGTAGACTTGCCGATGAAAATTGAGAGCTGAAATCGTATGCTTTGACGAATTCAATTGAACACACCTGAAAGATTTCCCGTCGTATGAACTCATGTTTTTCAATAAAAACGGCTCGTCAAAAATTTGAGGAGGTAGTAGGTCTTGAAAATAGATACTTTTTGTACCCAGAAAATAGCTTTTCTTCGCTTACCAGAGCTCATAGACCATCTTCTTCTCTCGTTTTGCCGCCAGGCAACTCCTAACCGATGACAAACTGCCACAGTAACCGTATCAAGCAGCCTGCCTTTGTCTTTGCTGCGTAAATAGATCGCCAAAGTATTCACCAGAAGAGCTGTCGACGCGATAAAGTACCTGGGACACTGTGAAAAAAATTATAATATTATATTTAACGAACCAAATCTCATGCTCTTCTTCGATCAAGCTGCTTGAGAAATAGGAAGAAATCGGCAAGAAAAATTGAAGAAAGGATGTTTGAAAATGCCAACGTTGAACTCGGAACGGTATATAAAAGGCCTGCAGATAGTTTTATTGAAAAATTCAACACCAAAAAAACCAATGCCAGTAGAGCCAGACAGATTATCATCGGATTTATGCTTGTAGTCGAAGCTTTTTCAATTTCTTCAGATTGAACAGCATGAAGGGACTCAAATTAAAAAAAATGTTTCAATAAATTATCTTTTTCAACTTCTAGAATCCGAGTTCGGTTTGATTGCGATAAATTCTGTTCTGAACAGTCTTCTATTGAGAACTTCATCTGCTGCTGTAGCTCTAGAAGTTGAGCTGGAAAGTTTTATTTTTCTTAACTCGAGGGACACGTACCGCCGTTGATCAGGCTGAAATGGCGCAAAGTGTTTTGGAAATCCCGATCGATAAATTCCTCGTCAAACTGCCAATTTCGTTTCAATTGCGGGATCAACGAAATTCCATAAGATGAAAGAGGCTGCCGAACGGATAAATAAGACGATATTGTTGCTGAAACGTCCATTTGTTCGATTCTCGGCGGTCCTGAATCATCGGAGAGAAGTTGAATATACTTTTAATTCGAACAAACTAAGAGCCGTTTGGTGTTCTCGCTTTCCGACTCGAGAGACAAAGAAGACGACAGGCACGACGGATTCAGAAGAACTGGCTCCACCGTGAGATCCGGCTTCTGTCATTCCGTGGTCGCCGCACACAACGACCATCGTTTCAGTACTTTGAATCGACTCGCTCTGCACGATTTTCTCGACTACTGCGTCCATTTCAGCCAACTTAACGTTTATCATCGGAGAAGTGCCGCCCAAGGAATGGCCTGAACCACATACTTCTTATAAAATCTCTGGTCGAAGCTCTCACCAACGTGGTCGAGGCCCAAGTAGTGCAGAATTAAGATATCCCAAGTATCAGAGCTCAACTCCCCATCCAAGTGCCGAGTCACATTGTTGTCAACCTGTAATTAAGGAGTGATTTCAAAAACGTTTCATCAATGTTCACTTCTGTGTAATCGTTGACAAAAAATGAAGTGACGCCGTCCGACTTTCGAAATTTTCCCGGGAAAAGCTTCAGCCAAGTGTCGTCACCGAAAAAATGTATCCTAAAGCCGATTTTACAAGGAAAGCGATGAAATCGTACTTCAAATCTTTCTCCCTGGATGCCTCGATCCAATTATCCACTTTTAATTCTGAGCTCGCGAAGTTGGTGAGAACTGTCCCAAAGGATGGCAGAGTACCGCTCAGGTAGGCCTGAAGTTTTGACTGGAATATTTGGAAAATTGGAATTAGGTTTAATTTATTCTCGATTGACATGATAAAACGAACAGTATTCAAATGACGATATTCACAAATTTTTGGACTTTTTGATCAAGCAAGTGGCCAATTTTGTATAAGATAAACTGAAATATTGGAAGAGTTTCCCCAATTAAAATCTGGTTACTAATTTTCCTGGTGGAAGTGAGAAAACTTTAAAAAAATGTAGTTAACATATTTTTCCTTTATAAGTTATGAAGGGATTTCTAGTTGATCGTAAAAAAACCCACGGTTATTCTCGGCAAGGTCACTGTAGGCATCCTAGCGTACGCCTCAAAAAGGACCGCATCTCTTTTTGCAATGGCCGATCGGACGAATTTCATTGGAGACGTTTCAGAAGTCAGGAAGGATAGTCGCCACGCATCGATCACCATGAAAACTATTCGGCGACGGCCAGAAGCTTTCTCAGAAGAGGTTGGACATTCTGAATATCGTTCTTGAAGTAATTCGACAGGTCGAAGAACCTTGAAAGGAGCTCTGCGTTGGCGAAGAATTGATGGCCAAGCTGGTATCCAAGACGGAAAACGAGAGAACGAGCACACTGACACTCAAAACGAGCAGAATAGACGAGAGCTAAAAGAATAATCTTCAGTTCAATCCCAAGAAATAATCTTTTAAACCGTTATGTGTCGGAAAAGTTGTCTCACGTGCTCTTCGTGTTCATCTTTTGTTCTCTTCATCTAAATTCTCGGTTTTTTGTTTCCAAATAGACCTCAACAAAACTCCTTGGTTCAACTTTCCCAATGATCACGCGCTGCGATCCCCTTGGAAGCCCCGAAAAGCGGTTAAAGTTCGAGAAAGAAGCAGGTTCTGATTGATTGGCCGCCTCAAGCAATTTCCCAAATCCCTAGCGTTTGGTCACTATCGATCCTCCGGATGTACAGGATTTGCACAGTATTTCTGACTTTTTGGCTCGATTTGGGTCTCGCGGCGCCGGCTCTACCTTCGCTGGGGTTGCTAGCTGGCAAGGACGGCTATCTGATCAAGGAGTACATCAACGCCATTACCGCCTACGGGCCTGGCCTTGGCGTTTACAGTGAGTCTACATCGGATTTTTTTTTTTGCGAAATGAGTTTGGAGAGAAGGTTTTATTAATCATATTTTCAGGTTTATTACTAGGAACTGAAGAAACTGAAATGTATTATTGCTAAAAATTTTTTTGGATATTTTTTACTTTTTTTCTACGTTCCGCAGTTCGTTTTGAAGAAAACTAATTTAAATTTTTTTTCAGCACCCTACAGTTACGTCGATCTGTCATACGATAACATTCCTTTCGTCGGAAAAATCCCTCTTCCTGGAAAGGAAGGAACGGCGTCGCGGCTAGGGATATCACCTTTCTATCCGCCGGAAGGAAATCCCAGCAATCCATTCCCACCGCTCTATAGGTTTACAGAAATTCAATTTAGAATTGCTTTTAAATTTGAATGACTTAATTTCTAGAGCCCGCCCACTGCCTATGCACGTTCCTGAGCCGCAGGACGTTGTCGCCGTGCCGCTTGATGAAGAAGCGCTCCACGGAGAGCCTCTGTTTCCGCCAGGTTTGAATCAATTTTCATTCATATTTTTCTTACTCAACAGTTCAGAACTCGTCTTACCTGCGGAGAGCGCAGAAGAACGGCCTACTGTCAAATCTGATAACGGTGTTCCTGTTGACCCTTTCAGAGTAAGAAAATTAGTACCATTCGTAACGAAAGCACTTTTTTACAGACACCTGAGGGCTTCGTCGACTGGGACGGAACTAAAACAGCCGGTTTGAGTCTTGAAGGTACATTGAAAAAATCGTAAAATGTACTGAATTCAGAATTCAGATGACTCATCAAAAGGAATAATCGTGGATGAAGCCCGAGAAGCGGCGATTCGCGACAATGACCTCACCAAAATACCAATTGGAGTCAACGACCGACCAAAGACGCCTTTCCGATCAAAAAGGATACTCCTTCTTTAATTTAATTGTAAATTTATTCATAAAGAGTCAACGAAAAAATAAATTAAAGTAATATAAACAATTGACCGTCGAGATCGTAAACAGGAGGGAATTCAACAAAAAAAAATTAGGGCTGAGAAGGAATGGCTTTTCGGTACCAGAATCGTGCTCTGTAGTCGTCACTGCCTGTGAGGAAGGCAGACATCGTGGGAGAATGGACGAAGGCCCGAACTGAAGTTGTGTGTCCTGAAAAAGGTTGATTAATGATATCAATCTTGAAATCTTGATAATATCGTTTTCTTCGTAGGAAAAACCAACCCAAAGCAAGAAGACGCTTCCTGTCGGAATTTCTCGAGTCCCATGAGCAAAGACTTCCACTCTTCTCATCGGGGAATAACACTAAGAACAATCACTGATCATAAATGAAAAAAAAAAATTCGTTACCGTAGTCTTCATTGTGATTGAACTCGGCGTTTATCGGATGATCTGTCGAGCCGGTGGCTCCCGCTCCAGTGTAAGCGATCAAACAACGGTTTGTCGAAAGTTCCCACAGCTTCACAATACTGTCCATACCGCTAGTTAGGATGTACTGAAAAAAATTATATTCATTATGATGTTAACTTGATGAGTTTTTTGAAGAAGAAAAGATTATCCTTTGACTGTAAATTGTTAATTTTTCGAAAACGCTCCAAAATCATCTTCAGCGAACTTTAAAAGAAAACAATTCTAAAGCTAAAAATCATAAAAAATTTCCTGCAATAGATTTACATATGTTCATTTTTTGTTGGACATTTCCTTTCACCTTTCCGTTCCTCGTGAACTTAGCCGAACAAATAGCTGAGCCATCGTGAGCCCCTTTGAACGTTTCAACACAACGGTTGGAAATACCATCCCATATTTTCACATCGCCGTCTTTCGAGGCCGTCACATAAAGCCGGGCGTTTGTCGAATAATTGACCTAAAACATTTCTGAAATGTGCCATCATTATAGAAAATTCAAACGTCCAGAACGGGTTGTGAATGTTGGTCACTCGGATTCGCACAAACGTAACACTGAGCGGTTTCGATGTTGTATAAACGGACTGTTGGATGATCAGTGGCAACAACAAGAAACTCGCCGCCGGGGTGGAAGGAGAGGGCTCGAACAGGATAAACTTCCTGAAATTTGAAACTATCAGAACCGATTAAGACTCATTTTCCCGTACTGATAAAGTTTTCATAGCTCTTTTCACAGCAGTCTTAGAGAAATCAAATAACTTGACAGTCTTATCATTGGATCCCGAGATCAGAATTTGCTCGCGTGGGTGGAACTTGATGCAGTTAACGTCCTGAAAAAAAAAAACACTTTCAAAGTTTATGAATGACACAATATTCTCACATCAAGGTGATCATACAATGTACGAATGACAGGATGATGGGCGTCTGGGCCGTTTTCGTTCAAATCTCTGCTTTCTCTCTCGCGTGCGAAAATCCTCTCCACATCCATAATTTTGATTGAGCAATCAGCAGAACCAGTAGCAACCAAAGTTCCTTTAAAATTTTAAAGGCCTAATTTACAAGAGTAATCAGTTTGAAATGAACCTTCATTATTAAAAGAAGCGGCTCTACAAGCCGACTTGTGAACAGTCAAGTAAATCGTTTCATACATGCAAGGTTCCGGCGAGGTTGGTTGTATGTCAGCATCAAATTCCAAGTCAAGACCGCTCGATGGAGGTTCAAACTAAACCGAAATAGTAAGAAAAAAACTTTCAAAACTACCTACGGGAAGGGTCAACTCATTTTCTTTCGCGTCAGGATCATCAACAAACTGTTTTGCAAGGGAAACGAGGCGGAAAAGCTTGTCAGACGGCGGAGGAGGCTGGGAAGAGCATCCAATGGCGTTGGCAATGGATATCGCTATCTGCTGGTGACCATCGTAAAACAACTGTCTGAATGTTCGTCATAAGAAATTACATAAAATCAAACAAAACAAGAAATACAAACCCAATTATTAGACGATACATATACTCGCGATCTTTAATATCCGGCTTCATGATGAAATTTTATTATATTTTGTTGCTTTTTGAATAATTGCTTCCAAAAAAAGATTAACAGAAAACATGCCATTTTTATAAAAGGAAAGTGCGCTCGGTCGCTTATTAAAGGCGCATGTTTCGGTAGAGAAAAAGACTTCGATTGACATACCGTAGTTATCAAGTTTTGCTGAGCATGAAAGTTTTTACATTTCCTTTTTTATTTTTTTCAAAATGAGTTCAAATATCTATATGTGTTCATCGGATAGACGGAAAATGCTTTAAAACGAAAAATCGTGTTCATCCGCGCGCCAAAGTTGCTCCAAAAGAGTATTCATACTTTGTTTCGAAGCAATTTTGTTTTTTCCGATGAACACGCCACTATAGTTTGCCCAAAGTGGTTCAGAATTAAAATTTTGAAATTTTTTTTTTTTGAGAAGATATCAAGTATGTTTCAGTAGTTTCTTGATGTAGAAAATTCAAAAAAGATCGAATAAACTTTGGAGACGCTTTATAGTCTGTTCCTATCCCTTGAATTGGTGTTTTTATGCATAGAAGTAAAGTTACTCATCCAAAGCTCAAAATTTTTTACGTATTTCGTTTTTCAATTTTATTTCTGATTTCTTCCGTGTGAGATGTATGTTCCTCCTCTCAAAACTTTTCGAGTTTATTTTGGCTCAAGTTCGAACTTTTTGGAATAGTTGAATTTTACAGGGTACATAAAGATGAAGCTCAACCCGTTCGTCTCCAGAGATTCCGGCAAGAGCCGTAAGAATCACTTCAATGCTCCCTCTCACGAGCGCAGACGGATCATGTCGGCTCCTCTGACCAAGGATCTTCGCGTTAAACACGGAATCCGCGCCATCCCCATCAGGTATTATTTTCAGTGTTAGGTTGCTTTTTTCCATTAAGTAGTCCCGATAACATCTTTTGTGTGCTCGGTTTGGACAAAATGGAGAAATAGTTTGCACTTTACGTTAATATTACATAAAACATGTGTTTTATTTTAGAATGTAAAATTGGAACATTCAGAATCGAAGACGAGGTCGTCGTAATGCGTGGACGTCATAAGGGAAACTCTGGCCGCGTCATCCGTTGCTACCGTAAGAAGTTTGTGATCCACATCGATAAAATCACCCGCGAGAAGGCCAACGGCTCTACTGTGCACATCGGAATCCACCCATCCAAGGTGAGGTTTGAATAAACTAGTTCCGATGCACATTGTAAGTGAACGCAGGTACGCCATTTACTATGAATACTTTTTCTAATTTATCTTAATCTGTGTAGGTCGCTATCACCAAGCTGAAGCTTGACAAGGATCGCCGTGCTCTGGTTGAGAGGAAAGCCGCCGGACGGGCACGCGTCACTGGAATTCTCAAGGGAAAGCATACTGAAGAAAGCGTTAACTAATTTTTTATTTGTTGGAATAAATTGTTGATTTTTTTTTTCGTAGTTAGATATTTCTTTCATTCACAAAGAAGTAAGTCGATCGAAAGCTTAAACCTAAAAAAAAGTTAGTCATTCCGGTGGTAGCATCCTACATAGGAATGGTGTCTTGCAAGGATTCTGCATCTTCCAACGATGCAGTTGAGCTGTTTTGCGAAGGCTCCATGAGGATGAAAATTTTTTACACAGACGATCCTTAGTTTTGATTCTTATCTGGCCCGGTAGGAAAAGAAAAGTTTCTGAAAATTTTATTCAAAGTGACAAGGCAAAAACAGATAAGATGCAGTTTCAGAAAAAAGCGAACAACAGTTGAAAAACGAGACAAAAATTAAATTAAACAAAATTGTAAAAAAGGTGATAACAAGAAATTTTCGGAATATCGGAGCGTTAGGTGGGAGATGGAGAACGAGAAGGTTCAGAACGGGATCGCGAACGACTTTGCTTGCGTTCTGGACTCTTCGACGGTGATTTTCCACGTGGCGACTTGGAGCGAGAGCGGTCTGAGTGAGCCGGCGAAGCGCTGCGACTACGGCTACGACGCGGCTGAAACAGTTATCGTGTAATCCAAGATAAATTCGACTTGAAATAGTTAATATGAAAATTTTCTTTCTTTTAACACCTACGAAAATTTTCATCTTTTTATATTTGCTTTAGTTTCGGATATGATCAAAAACAACTTAAGATTTTTCGTTTCTTAAATTGAGAATCATATTAAAATGGCCGAAAAAAAATCATCACGTTAACAATCAAGACTGCATGCTCGGAAAAGACTCTTAAGAAAAATGAAAAAAAAAAACTTACCGAGCGTGAACGCCTCGGAGAACGCGATCTTGAGCGAGAATACACTGGCGAGCGGGAACGACGGCGTGAGCGTGGAGAGCGCGAACGCGAACGAGATCTGTTACAAGAAAAATGATATTTTATGAAAGGGATATTTCATTATGGTATACTATGAATCTAGTATTACACGCTCTTTTTTTCTTTGAAATGTTGCCCTTTCTCGTAGATTCGTTTACCTTTCTTCCGGTTTCGACTATCGCACACGCTGATTTCTCATCAAATCGTTGAAAATGAACATTGAAAATCTTGCGCATTCGTCTATAGCAATTATAAAACTTTTCGAAGTTGCTATTTTCAAAAACAACAGTAAAAAATGAGAAATGAAATTCCGTTAGCACTTTCGGCAACTACTGATGGTTTTCTAATTTTTTTAGCTGTGAACGAAAGAAAAAAAATGGACAAAGGAAATGTCTTTCCGTTTTCAGAAGAAAACGCTCTCGGTAGTTACCCAGGCGGCACAGGGACACCGCAACACCGACGGCGGCAGAGCGGGCAACGGGAATCTACAGGAAAAGTCAGCAACTCTGCTTCTTTACAAGAGGCGGCTCAGGCAGCAACTGCGGCAGCCAGTACTGCTAACGCTGGATGTGCTGCTATACCGCTACACCAGCTCTTCCAACTGTAGTTTCGATTTTAGTTCTCGTTTTAATTTCCAAAGTAAGTAGCAAAAGAAACACGACACACTCATCTATAAAATTATTTGTTTCTTTTATTTCCATGTCCTCAGACACCATGAGATCGCGAGGAATTTCTAATCCAAGCATTGATCGACTATGAAGATGAATATATGCCTTCTAATTTTTTTTTTCAGTAAAGTAAGATTATGCTTTCAACAATTCGCCACGGTGTCTGAGTTGAAGAGCACATGCGGACATTAAACAAAACAGTACCAAGAAAAGTTGAAAAAAAAAGTGGTGCCGAGTTATTTTGTCCGATTGTGCTCTTCATTTGACGGAGAATGAAAACTCTACGAACCTTCCCCCACGGCGGTAATTTCCGCGTTCGTCCAGCGGCCTCTCGTAGCGGGCCATGTTCACGCGAAGCTCGCGGCCGTCCACAAACTTTCCGTCGCAGCGGTCCATCGCGTGTTCCGCATCGCGCCGCCTGGAAATAAGCTTCATAAGAAAAAAAAATGTAGCTTACTTTTTTCCAAGCAAATAAGTATCTTTAAAAAAGGTTTTATCTAATGAAATATTACTAAATTTCCCAGTACATTTATACTCATTCATTTTTCACGAAAACTTTGCAAAAAAATTGGAAGAAAAGTTCACTAGTTACACAAAATATGTTCGGGTTTATAAACTTTGATTTGGAACCAAAAAAATGAATAAAAAAACTTACGAATAATAGCGAACGAAGCCAAATCCTTTGCTCTGGCGAGTGTACTTGTCGCGAGGAATGTGAATATCTCCAATCTCGCCATATCTGTCGAAAATGCGACGCAAATCGGCCTGCGTCGTACTATAGGCAATGTTGTCGACCTGAAAAGGATCACAAATTTGAAATTCCGATAAATTATATACCCACCTTCAGCGAATAGAGACCGTTAATTTGGGGCGGAGCGCGAGATCCGCTGCTTCGAGACATCTTCTGCAAAATTCATACATTTATTTACAATTTGCAATAGATAAATAAAAGTTAACGCGCAACGATCCATAAAAAATAAGGAAGAAAAAGGAGGGTTTAAAAAATTATTAAGTGGGAGGACGAGATTGTTTCAAAAGAGATATGAAATGATCATGAGAGGCGTAAAGTGGAAACTCGGAGTCGACGTCAATCCAACGCAAATTGGTTGCGTCGTCGCCGGCCTGAGAAAACGGAAATTAGATAGCTACGTGGAGATGCGTACCGCAAGTTTGACGCCTTGCAAAACGTTGTCTTTATCATGAAAGTTCATTAGAACGGTCTCCATCCATGAATTGTCAGTGTTTCGCGGGTCGTCAACATAGCCTCTGAACAAACTATAACTTCAAAGGATCAAATTTTCCAAAACTTGTAAAGCTCTCTGCCATGCTTCCAGAGATCCTCAAGAGAGCTGGCGTCAGCAACACCATTCAACGCTTCCTCAGTGAATTCGCGTTTCAAAGTTTGCGAAACTTTCTCTCCGGGATCTACCATCCCGCCAGGAATCGCCCACTCGCCTTTGAAACAGATACATTTTTTACTATTGAAGATTTTTATTAAACCAGTGTCGCCTCGTTGAATCGCAACAAATTCCAAACGACCATTTTGGTATCGAGTGACCAAAGGATCGGCGGCGTGGTTTGGACCCCATTTTCCTAACACGCCTCTGCCACTTAGTCCCGTTCTACCCATAGGGTTTAGTGGACGACCATCTTTGTCAAATGAATAATCACTGAAAAACAAAAATGAGGCAGTATTAAAGCGGATTTTTTTTTTACCAAATATGTGATTTTCTGTTAATTGATCCATCAACGGCGTTCCAGCGAAAATCGCCTTCGTCGATGTTTTTATCGGCGTAAGGCTTTCCGATTGTATTAGGGTCAGTATAATTTTTGGGGCTATATTCTGACCAGTCAACGTTCCATTTTACCTTATTATCTGGAACCAGCGCGCGGAAAACATCTTTAGTTTTTGAATAAGGAGCATCTACAAAAATGCTAAAATAGAAACCATACGTTTCGAATCTATTTACCCGTGATGCGACACTTTGTGTGAATGAAGCTCATTCTCGCACTGCACAGAAGATGGTTCCAAATTGACATGAAAACTAAAGTTAGAGGAAGAAAATGGGAAGGAGCAAACATTGTTTAAGCATAGTTTTTCAACAACGCGCTTCTCATTGAAACGGAATGACACGGATACAATGATACAACTGATCAACAACTCTAACGACAGAAAAATGCGTAACAACAAGGAGAGAGATAACAAATTCGAAACCTCAAATCGATGAGTTTTTTTCAAACGCCAAAAAGTGGGAGGAGAAATCATGCACGCACCGTCCGTCTTTTTGCATGACCTCCAGGGCTGGAAAAACGATACCGTACACCGAGCACGAAAAAAATTAAATCATTTTAAAACTTTATTAAATTCAAAAAAAAAAGTTTGTTACTGAATTCGGGAAACTAAAGTTTTCTTTGAAACATAATTCAAGGAAATATTTTTTTAAATTTTTACGACGGTCAGGATACTTTTTCCCAATTTTAAGTTAGTAAAAAAAATTGACCAAAGGTTGGCCATTGTTGGATAGTCAAATTCTTCAGCCTTGATTCTCTGCAAGTTTTTCTGACCGAAAATATTCAAAACAAACGAGCAATGTGTATCATTTCATCATTTCAGTTGAAACGAGTCGCAATGGTAATTTGGAGGTCTAGAGATCCGCATATCCCGGCTCCAAGGGAGACATTCAATCAGATGCTCATCAATGCGATGGAGAGCCACATCGCCGCGAATCCCAATGCGATCGCCATGGTAAGGCAGGGTGGTGGAAACTATGGCAGACTAAATTTACAAACGTGGGGTAATTTTAACGATAGACAAGTGTAGAACTACTCTCTTTACAAACTAAAAAAGATTGTAACCTTCTAGATAAGAGCCGATGTACCTACAGCCCCACCAATGACCTACAAAGGCCTTCTGAAGCTTTCGAAACAGATTGCGTTTTTTCTAAACTCACGGTGAACATGCCTCCCTTGTTTTCCGCAACGAGACCTTTCAGCGGTTTCGGCCACGGTTCGATCGGCTCTATTATGATGAGCAACTGCCCGGAATTCGTCTCGTTCGTACTTGGATCCATCATCTGCGGTGGCGTTTATTCGCCCGTCAACCCATTTTTCCTCAGCGGTCTTTTCTAGACTCAATGCGCTTATAGAAAACCGAGATTTCTAGGCGAAATTCAGCGCCAACTTCGAAACAATGGCTCCGTCGCTTTATTCGTAGAAGAGGATATTCTAGAAACAGCTCTGAAAGCCGTTGAAAATACCTCAGTGAAGGTGAGAGGGTGAAAAGGGGGTTTAATTTCAATAAGAAACTCAGATAATCGTCTGTTTACGCAACACGACAAACACCCTGCCTTCGGGAGTTGTGGATTTTGAAGAGATCCGAAACCTTCCTGATAATATTTCTCACATTAAGCCAGAAATAAGGTCAGAAGTTGGCGAATGAGTGATTTCAAAGAACAAAATTGTAGTCTGGACGACATGTGCACATTACCGTATTCTTCTGGAACAACAGGCTTTCCTAAAGGCGTCATAATGACGCATCGAAACGTATCTACCATGATCGCCATCACCGCATTGTCAGTGATTTTTAAAGAACTTTTGAAATGGTACGAAGCCTTCGAAAAAGCTATCTATATCATCTTTATTGTTTGTCAAATGAAACCTACACCTTTGAGAACCCAAAATTTCATTGTAAATTTCTCAAAGATCCAAAAGTAGGAGTGAATGGTTTTAAAAATGAGATTTTCTGTGAAAATCGGAAAAAGATGAATTTGTTCGTTTTTTTCAATCTGTTAGTAGAAATAATGGGTTTCGAAGCAATAAATATGATGAACTACGAACTGATCTATCAACTTGCTGCTTAATTAATTCCTCAAACTTTTTTTCCAGTTTAAATTTTATACTTTTTCATACAAGCTTTTTTTGGCTGCCTAATTTGGAGACGAAAAAATAATAAACTTGCCAGATATTTCAAAAAGTGGAACGATCTGATCGGCGAGGACAGTCGACATATCCTCCTTCAACAGCCGATTTGCCATGGCGTCGGCTTTCTCGTTTGCTTCAATGTTTCTAAGTTTCCAAATTTAAAACACACCAACCTGTTGAAGGCGATCATCAACGGCGCTTCTATGGTCTACTTGTCCAGAGTGGATCCGATCGTCTTTCTTACCTGTATTCACAAGTTCAAAGTTCGGATTATTTTTTTAAACAACGAATGACTAAATTTTCAGTTTCGCCAAATCTACGTCGTTCCTCCACTCCTAGTACTGATGGTCAAAAATTCTTTGGTGGCCAAATTCGACCTTTCCTCGATAAAAGTGGCCTTTTGTGGCGGCGCTCCACTCGGAAAACAGCTTGCCCAGGCGTTTATGAGAAGGTTTCCTCACTGTCGCATCTACCAGTGTAAGTCTGAAGTTGGAAGTCTCTGTGATTTGAAAATTCAGGCTACGGTATGACAGAAACCGGCACAAGCTCCCACGTTCCTGATCTTTTTGACAGTAGCTACTCACAGAAGAACTACGAGTCCTGTGGCAACGTATGCTCCACGTTTGAAGTCAAGGTATAACCCCTTTCTATTCTTTCAAAGTTTAAAAGGTTCAGATTGTCGATCCGGAAACGTACAGAGAGCTGGGGCCTGGAGAAACTGGAGAGATTGTAGTACGTGGGCCGACCGTCATGCAGGGCTACTATAACAACCCCGAAAGCACTAAGCACACGATTCGCAACGGCTGGCTCTACACCGGTAGAAACACTTTCCGTTATAAGTTATCAACAAAGAAAAACTAAGGCGACATCGGAAGAGCTGACAAGGAGGGTCGATTCTACATTGTCGATCGTCTGAAAGAACTCATCAAAGTGCGAAGCATACAAGTGAGTCTTGAAAATACTGAAAAAGATCAGTTCATACTATCAGGTGCCTCCCGCGATGCTCGAAGACTTGCTCCTGGAGCATCCGAAAATTGCAGACGCCGGCGTCGTCGGCATGCCCGACTTTGAAAGCGGAGAGCTTCCTTTCGCGTTTGTCGTCCGCAGGTCCCCAGACCTGACTGCCGAAGAAGTCAAGGCCCACGTCGCTGGTTCATCAATACTATTTTTCAAGGCGACATTGGAACTTGCAGAACACGTCGCCGGGTTCGAATGCCTCCATGGCGGCGTCGAATTCGTCGATCAAATCCCGAGGAGTCCATCAGGAAAAATCCTTCGGCGCTACCTCAAAGAGAAGCTGAAAGAAATTTGTAATCGCAAAAGAGCATAGAAACCTCGCCACTGTACTCGTTAATAATAAATAATTGCTGTATTTTCAATTGAACAAAGATGTGTTGGTATCTCTTTTTTCAAACTTTTCGAAATCCGAATTTTGAATAAGGTTGGGTGAAAGAAATATGAATAGTGACTTTTTACTTTGATCGAGTAAGGGTTTCATTCCTTTTTTATTTTATTTTTTCCTAGGAAAGCAGAAAGGAAGTATTTGGATTGAACCTTCTAAAATCCTTCGAGTTTATCTTTCATAGTTTCTTCTGTCATCAGCTTTCACAGTCTTTTTGCGTTCTACAATCTCAAAAATGTAGACATAGGGATCTTTAATGTCACAAAACTTGGCGATATCAATTAAAAGACTCGAAAAGATTAAAGGAAGAATTAAGAAAAGTTTTTGGATTTGGAAGCAAAAATGGGACAAAAGTCTACGGGACATGTTTTGGAGAACATCTGACTGATCTCTGAAATGTGATAAGTGATGTTGCGAACCTTCGACCTTTGAGGGCATTGTTCAAAACAGTGTAGGCGTCGAAAACGTCTACCGTCGGGTTTAAATGCGAGAAATTCGTCTTTCTTCTGAAAGAATACGATGGTTTGGACGTCTTCTGATTTGGATCGGCCGATTCCAACTGAGCCACTCTACCGTAAAATCGTCAAGGCTCTGGAGGCTCGTGTTGCCGCTGACAATGAAGCCATTGTCCTGGTAAGCCCAGAAAGGTTTTCGGTCGAACTGCGAGTATGATCCAGATCCGAGCCGAAAATGACAGCACGATGACCTGCGCGGAGCTTCTTCTGATGACTCGAAAATTTGTTCGATTTTTCGAGGAACGTGGAATCGGCCAAGGCGACGTCATCCAAGGTTGCACTCCGAACTCTCCCGAATACCTTGCCTACATGATTGCCGCGAACGCCGTCGGAGCCATCCATCTTCCATTCGACCCTCACAGCACCGAAAGTATAGTTTAACCAGAGGAAGGCAAAATTAATTGAAAAGTCTTCCAGCTGAGGCCCGCGATACTATGAAAAAGTATGAGGTGAAAGCCATCCTTTCTGAAGAAAGACACCTCGATTCGCTTTTACGTGCTTCCCTTGGTACTGGATTGAAGGTCAGGAAACAATGAAATCCGCCCTATGAAAACTTTTAGACAATCATCGGAGTACGGGAAACTGAATACAAAGAGTTTCCACCTGAAGTCGTGGATTTTGACGACATTTTGAAGCTCGAACCAGCCAATCTTGGTGTCGATCGGTATACTTTTGAGTAAGAATTATTTTTTCAAAGAAATGTTCTATGGAAATATATAGCCCAGAGGAAATTGCTTTCATGCCTTCCTCTTCGGGAACGACAGGAAGGCCGAAATGCGTTATGCTCTCGCAAAAAGCGCTCATTCATAGCGTTGAAACCGTTGTCGAGTTGGTTTTCTCTCAACCAGCTTGATTCAATGTATTGATTATCCAGAAACTCGGAAATTTGGGACAAGCAGGTTGGCCGCAGCAACAACTACACTATTGTTCAGCAGCAAATGTACCATAGTTTCGGAATGCTGATCACTTTCAGAGTAGGATTTGACCCGAATTTTTTCGCTCAAGAAGTATTTTTTTTTTCAGTGCCTCATCAGAGCTGAAATTCCAGTCTTTTTGCGCGAAATCAATCCAGTTTTGTTCTTCAAATGTATTCAAAAATATCAGGTGAGTGATTGAAAATTTCCTTCGGAGGTGAAAAGTCAAATTCCAGCCGCGAATGCTACTACTGACGCCATTCCTCGTGATGGCCCTAACCAAGCATCCCGAAGCCGAAAACTATGATTTGAGTTCGGTTAGAGCCTTGATGTCTACAGCCTCGTTTCTCGGCAGGGAACTCACCGAAGAGTACAAGAAAAAGTATCCAAACGTCCAAGTTTGTCAAGGTGAGACTAACTTTGCTTCAGAACCAATTTTCTAGACAGTATATCAATCATTTTTTCTGGAACTTACCGGTCACAGGTTACGGAGCGACAGAAGTCGGTTTCATCACTACGCCGCGATTTGAAGAGGGAGAAGATTACACAACGTCTAGTTCACTCGTCGCAGGAGCTTCGCTGAAAGTAAAAAAAAACATTCTTATCTTTAGGGATTTTTCAAAAAAACTTGTTTCTAGGGAAATTTATGAACTGGAAATTACCCTCAAAAAAATAACCCTATCTCAATCATTTCGACCTTTTTTGATTGCTTGATTCTTTTCTTGAGGTCTTGGATTCTCAGAAAAGAAATATTTTGTTGAGAATGAATAGAAAGATGATGAAGTTCCTCAGATTCTCGACGAAGACGGCAACGAACTGGGCTACAACGAGCCTGGCGATATTTATGCTCGGACAGGAGCCTTATTCACAGCCTATTGGAAACAAGAAGAAGAAACAAAAGCCGCTTTCAGTGACGGTTTCTACAACACAGGTTTTAGGTTCAATTTCAACTCAACAAACTTTTCATCAATTTTTCCCAGGAGACATTGGAAAAATGCTACCGAATGGAAAACTGGTGTTTATTGATCGTAAAAAAGAGCTCATGAAAGTCAATTCAATCGCGGTACTTTTTTTCTTTCTGAAAAGTTAGATGGATGAATTTTCAGGTAGCGGCAGCTGAAATCGAAGACTTCCTTCTCAAGCTAGGAAATGTCACAGAAGCCGCTGTGGTCAAGATCGATCATCCAGAAACTATCGAAGCTCCCTACGCTTTTCTCGTTCGCAACTCTATGAGCCTCAGCGAAGAAAATGTCTGGGCCCATATCAACGGTAGAAAATATAAGTGAAGTTGAAGAAAAAAAACGAAAATTCTCAGAGCACCTTGGCCCATGGAAGCGTCCAGTGGGCTTTGAGTTTGTGGACAAACTTCCACGAAATCGGATGGGAAAAGTAATCAAGGCCGAGCTACTACAGACTTTGGAAGAGAGGAAGACGCCCAAGGAACGTTGAAACAAACTTTGAAATCGTGTAAATAAAATTTCGTTTCTCCGTCAACATATTTTCTCATCTTGGCGTTTTCGTTCAATGAAATTTAGTCCAAAGAAGAAAAAAAAAAAGGAAAAATGTACAAGGAAAAACTCTTGCAACTAAAACACGTCAATGGTATTAAATTTCAGATATCTTGTAAAAAAAAAGAGTCAAAGTAGTATCAGGCTTTGGTCTCATCCTCTTTTTCTTCTCTCCACTAAAAAATTTTGTATTATACGAATGAATAGAAAAAAAAAATAACTCAAGGTCGACTTCATTCGATTGATCAGATTAGAAAAATATTCAGAATCAAATTTTCTGTAAGCAGAGAAAAGAACACGTGAAGAGAAGAGTCGGCCATGCTGAGAAACGTGATCTATTTCTCGGTATTGCACCATGGTTGTCTGGACGTCTTCAGATCCTACTCTGCCTGAACCTACGGAGCCCCTGTACCAGAGAATTGTGAGATCCCTCGAAGCTCGCATCCAAACGAATCCTGACGCCATCGCGTTGGTTAGTTTCGAATCCGCAGCTTTAGTTATAAATGACAACCAGATAAAAGCTGAGAATGGATACGAAACAAAGTGTTCTGAGTTGCTGTTGATGGTTCAAAAACTGGTGACTTTCTTCGAACTTCGTGGGATCGGCAAAGGTGACATTATCCAAGGCTGCACGCCAAATTGTCCTGAATACCTTGCGTATGTCATCGCTGCAAATGCCGTTGGCGCTGTTCACCTTCCCTTCGACCCTAATAATGCAGAAAGTATGAACCTTATTCTAAAAAAAAAACTTCAAGACGACTTTTCAGCTGAATGTCGCGATATCATGAGAAAGTACCAGGCGAAAGCCATCCTCTCAGAAGAACAGCACATCGATTTGGTATCGCGCTCTTCTCATGGCACTGATATTAAGGTAAAGCTACTCGGACTACGACGCTAAACAACTTTTTCTAAATTTGAAGACTATCATCGGAATCCGAGAGAACAAAAACAAAACAATCCCGCCCACCGTCTTCGATTTTGACAATATTATGAAACTGGAGCCTGCAGATCTTAACAAACAGCGTTACGCTTATAAGTTCGTCTCAACGGTCGAATTAATCTTATTGAACAGTTGGTTAGAGCCCAGACGACATCGCTTACATGCCGACGTCTTCTGGAACGACTGGCAAGCCCAAAGGTGTCATTCACACGCAAAAGTCATTGTATCGGATGGCAGAAACTTTGATCGAGTTAGTTTCGACTATGAGAAAGAAAAAATGAATTTTTTTTAGATATTCAAAGAAGTGGGACGACGAGATTGGTCGCACTAACGACTACACCATTCTTCAGCAGCAAATGTATCACATTTACGGAATGATGTTGCATTTTAGAGTTCAGTTTTTTGGTTTCACTCCCGATTTTTTTTATTGAATTCGTTTGAAGTGCCTTATAAGAGGAGAAACCGCCGTACAGCTGCGTTTGATCAACCCAGTTCTTTTCTTCAAATGCATCGAAAAGTATCAGGTAAAGATCCATAAACTGGGACTTAGTTTTTATCACATTGTACAGCCACGAATGTTGCAAGTGACGCCATTCCTGGTTCTCGCTATGACGAAGCATCAAGAAGCCGCAAATTATAACTTCAGCTCAGTAAGAGCTTTCTTCAGCACAGGCTCGCTAATTGGTCGTGAAGTGGCTGAAGATTTCATGAAAAAGTATCCCAACGTAAAAATCGGCCAGGGTGAGCTCTTTATTCTGACGTTTTGACACAAAGCATTATACTCAAGGGTATGGACTGTCTGAAATTGGATTAATTACTGCGCCGCGATACCGAGGGGCTCAAAACGAACACCTCCATTTGGGTACTCTCATTGGCGGAGGCTCAATGAAGGTAAAACTCCTTTTGTGGGGCTTTAGTAGAACTTATTCAGATTCTCGATGAGAATGGCAAAGAACTCGGCTATGACGAACCTGGCGATATTTATATCCGCAATGAAGCCCTGTTCAAAGGCTACTGGAAGCAGCCGGAAGCTACGGAAGCCGCTTTGATTGGCGGATTCTACAAAACAGGTGTCCTGGGAAAATATTCATTTTACCTTCTTTTCTTCACAGGTGATTTTGGTAAAATGTTACCTGATGGGCAATTGGTGTTCATCGACCGCAAGAAAGACCTCGTAAAAGTCAGCGGCTCATTTGGGGTTTAGACGTTCGAAAAAAAATTAAACATTATTTAAAATCTAGGTAGCTGCTGTTGAAATCGAAGACTCGCTTCTCAAGATTTTGAACATTGCTGAAGCCGCTGTTGTTCGAGTAGATCACCCAGTGACAGTCGAGGCTCCTTATGCCTTTCTCGTTCGCAAATCAACTAACATTACTGAGAATGAAGTCTGGGCTCACATCAAGGGTACGCAAACTATAGTTTTGCTCATTAAAACGCTTCTCAGCCAATCTCGCTCCACTGAAACGTCCTGTCGGGTTCGAGTTCGTCGACCAACTTCCACGCAATCGCATGGGCAAAGTCATGAAAAACTCATTGACGGAGAAGCTTCAAGCAAAGAAAACAGCCAAAGCATGAAATTTATTTTATGAAATTTATTTTAATAAAGCTACTTCCCAATGTATCCACTTCGACTCAAGTCGGAGGAAACTGCTTTCATATAACGTTTTTGCGTTTGTGTTAACGATTTCTTCCATTCCGGTGAAGTCACTCGTGAGGGTGACCTAAAACCGGTTCCAACTTATTTATTCTTCTCACCTTTTGGATGCCTGAGCCTACAGAGCCTTTGTTCCGGAAAATCGTGAAGCCCTCGAAGCTTGCATCCGAGCAACGCTGATTCCATCGCGCTGGTTGGTTTTAGATTCTCATCTCTACTGATCAATAAATACTAGGTAAGAGCAGATAGTGGATACGAAACAAAGTGTTCTGAACTACTGTTGATGACTCGAAAACTGGTGACTTTCTTCGAACTTCGTGGAAATCATCAAAAGTTAAATTTTCAGCTGGATGTCGCGATATGATGAAAAAGTACCAGGCAAAAGCTATACTATCTTCTACGAATAATATTAATAAATCTTTATTTGATTGATCGATCAAGATTTTTCTGAGAAAAAAACTGTTTTTCTTTAAGAGAAAGAGTACCTGAAAGAAAGTTTTATCCTGGCATCTCGTTCAATTTTTGTTATTATCTCTTTTGTGTCTTGTCTTTTTTTTTTGTTGGTAAATTGTTTTTTTTTTCTTTCAATTCATAACAAGAGAGCGAGTGATCTGGAATTTATTGATGGAAAGATCAAGATGACACTGCCTTCAATAGACCCCTTGTCTCGATTTCAAACTCTCATCTGTAAAATGTTTTTTCTTCTACAAAATCAACGAATTTTTAAAAATTAAAAAAAAGAAACCTTCACGGCCGAAAGGCTTCGTTTTTAGCGATCGGGCTGTGAACTCATCTTCCTTCCCTCGAGCTAAAAAAAAACTTAATTGTTATTTTAAAAAAAGCTCAGTGTTACATTTTTGTTCGTTCACAGGATCTGCATCAGGGGACGGCATATATTCAGATCTCGGCTTCAATAAATTGTTATTTTTCCGTTTAATTCTCCTATCAAAATACCTTTGATGGTTTCAAAGTTCTATGGCTTCTCTCAGATCTGAAAATCCAGAGATAATAAAGATAACAAAAATATGAAGTCACTTCTCAATGGTATCAGACTTTTGGAAAGCTTCCGATTTAGATGGGCCAGGAGTCCTGAAAATTATTGAAAACTTTTTTTTATCTAACCTCAACTAAGGGCTCCTGTGGAAGAGACATAATGAAAAGTGGATTTATCCGAAAAAACTGACCCTTTATTTTCTGACAACTGGTCCGTACTGTCTTGGACGCTCCTTCGGATACTCGGTGGCGGTCTAAAAACTTCCAGGTAAATGATACAAAAGTTTTTTACTTGATTATCATTTAAATTGAAGTTAGATCAAGGTTGTTTTTTGAGTTTTAACTTCATATTTTCAATAGAGACATATTTCTTCGTAGTTCTGTTCGTTATCGCGTAAACCTGGTCCTGATTTCGACTTCCTTCTTGCAAGAAGGAGAAAACGGTAGGTTGATGTTCTCGGCGGGGTCACCGGATGGAAGGCCGGCGCGGATCGCCGCTCGAATCTCTTTGTTCGTAGGCTCACGCTTCTTCTGCGAAGTCCTTCAAGAAAAATTTCATTTTTTTTCCTCTAATTTGATCTGTTCATCTACAACTGGTTCGAAACGTTTCTACGACATGATTAGTCAAAGGTGAAGGTTTCAACTTTTGTTTAATGAATTTTGTCTCAAGCTGGCTGTGGTCATACAAAATTGATCAATGACCGTCGTCGTTTCGTTTTTACCTTTTTCAACTTTAAACTTATGAAAAATCGTGAGCTTCTCCCAAAATCTCAGAAAAACCTTCTCAAATTCTAAAAAAAAAAGCGTTCACCAGTTACGGCTAGAAGAAATTTTACACGGTTTTTCGAGATCTTTGTAAGTAAACCCAAACTTTCTCTTACTTGGAGGTAACATTCATCGCAACGGTTTGAGTCATTCTACGTGCGACCACAAAAATTTAGGTTCAGGTGATTTTTTTTTTTGCTTTTTGCTTTTTTTAATTTTCTCCTGCATAAGAATTAACGTTGGCTTGCCAAAAGATGCAAAATCCGAAAAACTAAAAATAAACTTTGTCCTCGCCAATTCAGGTCGCTTCTTCCTACACATTGCAAAGTTGGCGCTCGCTGAAGACCAACTATTTTTTTAGGTCTCAAAATATAATTTTGACTGACCAATAAGCATTGCGAAAAGTAAGACCGTCACCGAGATCATCTATACAAAAAATGGTCAAAAGTACACGGATTTTCTTCTTTCTGCTGAGTAATTTATTCATTAATGAAGGATTAGGAGTAGTTTTGATCATTCCTCGTCAGGTGAGCTTTTTGGCGGGTCAATGGGCTTCTCGACTGTTGCCGAGCCTTTCGGCCAACTTTTTCTGCAGGTACTGAAAAGCTTGTGTTGAATTTTCTTTTCAATACAAGACAAATTCAAAAATTTTGACTCGAAAATTTTGTTAGCTCCAGAGAAAAGCTAGGAACCGCTCGATTTGAAGGGAATACAAAGTATATTTTTTTGATTAAAAAAACTTGAAATAATGATACGGTAGCAAAAACTCCTTTATTCGTTTGCCTTACTGGCGCTGGAGATGCGGGTGATTAAATTGAAATTTCACCTTCTCAAGTTTTTTTTTCGAGTCAGGAAAGATCTAACCTATCTTGAGGTCTTCACTAAATCAAGTTTTCATTTTGCTAAAAGCGCGCGTGTGAAAGAAAAGAAGACACAAACAGGTCAGACTTGCAGGAAATAAGAAACTTCATTTTCAAGGACCCCTTTCTGAAACATACCGTAACAATAATTTCTGGAACCGAGCCGCCGTTGCTTCGTTTGAGAGGTGGTCTCTGAAAAAAGATTCAGAAAATACCTTTTTTATTTTAATGAAAACCATTCTGACTGCGTCGTAAAACGGCAAGGCCAAAACTTCGTCAGCCGACAATCTTTTCGTCGGATTGTACACTAACGTCTTGTTCAGCATTTCGTACATTACCGAGTCCAAGATGTTGCTGGTGAACTGAAAACCTGCGGTTATCACCGGGAAATGAAGGTTTTTCACTAGCCTTCTCAATGGTTCTCGCCTTTTTCCGCCCTACTCGAGGCCGTCGTATCTTCATTCCTTTGATGTCATCATCGCTGGGGTAGCCGAATACGTCAATCAGCAGGGAGATCTGTGTTTTTTTCTCCAAATATTATTTACTGATCCTATTTCTACTATATTATTTATCGATGGAATCAGAGCGTTCTAAAAAAAAAACCTTGTCGCTAAAAAGAAAAACTGGAGCTTTCCTATGGATTCATTTTTGGGTATCTAGAGTTTCAAAAACTCTTCAATTCTATTAAAAATGCAGAAAATGAGAAAATTGGTGTGTCTATTCTCAAAAAAGATTCAAAATGATAAACTTAATCGCTGTTTTCTTTACAAATTCTTCTTATACAAAAATTTATAATAATATTGTTATCATTGAGACTCGGGTGTTTTTGGGTAAGACTTTTCTGCGATTCTTTTTTTCTTCTAATTTCGTTTTCCAGCCTATTAATATCTTTATGAGAACTATTTGTCAAAACCTTGTCTTTTACTACAGACAAAATTGTACCTGATCCGCCGTAGAACGAGCCTTGAAAAGCGTGCTATTAGCGATAAATTCGAACGAAACGCAAGCCACTGACCAGACGTCTGAAGTTTTTGAAGGTTCTACTTGAAGATTTTTGCAAGAATCTTACCGATTGCGCAAGTGAAATGCTCACATCCAAAAAGTAACTCCGGCGGACGATAAAACCGGGTTACCTGAACTATTTTTTTTTACCTTTATCATTTGAAAATGTTCAAAATTTACTTGATAACTTGGACCTCGTCTCTCTTCAGAATCTAACCGCCTGGCATTTCCGAAATCGGCAAGTTTCAACAATCCAGTCTATAAAATCTAATTTTAAGACAAAGCCCTTCTTTCTCTTCATACCTCGTGGTTTATAACGATATTATTCGGCTTGACGTCCATATGAACCACATTTTTCGAACTAAGATAAGCAATAGCGGAAAAAAGTTGGTATGAATACACCTGGAAAGATTTTCGTTTTAGTCTTCTGTGTTATTTCCCTTCCAAGATTTCTCGGGAAAAATATTTACTTTCGCATCGAGAACATCAAATTTGACGCCACTTTCGCGTAGTTTCGCCATATCCGCTGGCATAAAGTCCAAAACGAGACAATGCAACTTTTGGGACTATAAATGGAATATTCAAAGCGCTTCAACTTCTGAAAAACCTCCGTATCGCCGTCACGTGTGAAGTAATACAACAAATTGGCGATGGCCGGATGGTAAAGCTTTGATAATATTTGAACTTCTGCGCAATCTTCCGTTTGCATCCGCGCATCTTCGGTGGTTGACCTAAAGTTTTTAATTTTACTCGTAAAAGTCGCAAAATAGGCACCGCGAGCTTGAAAAAAACTTTAAATATTCAAAACAGACATTATATATTTTTCAATTCTACTTTTTCGGGGTATCGTAGCTGCACTTGTTTTTATATGAAATATTTCAATTTTGCCCTTTTAACCGTTATTTCCATGCTTCCCTTACCACACATTCTTAATGGCGACGCGCATTTCCTCCGGAACGATCATCATCGTGGAATAGACATTCGAAAAACGACCACTTCCACAAATTTTTGAGCCTTATTGATACAATTTCTTTTTCCTTGAAGTATCACTTTACCAGTAAAAACAATTTTTGCTGGTGAATCTTTCGAATTTCCGTGAACTCGAACCGCTGTCAAGTTAGACATACTGAGTTAGAAATGAAGAGCGACCGGTCTTATTCCAATTTTCCATCTTTCAGAATTATCCTCACAGGTCAGAAACAACCTTTTTTCTTTTGGAGGACATTAGAACGGTTACAAGAGTGAAGCGAAGTTTTTAGTCAGTTGTTTCATTTTAAAAAAAAATGATGAGACCATTGAAAGTTCTTCTGTTTTTTTTTCATCACTGAAAGTCTGCGAGCCCTAGATTTTGCAAAACTGAGAAACCAAAACTCTCTAGCAGGTCATATCTCAAAAGGGTGCAACGTATTTACTTGACCCAACGGCTAAAGCTCAACAGAGCCACACCCGTTTCTCGGCGACGAGGCGCCAGTCTGTGGCGTCTCATCCTTTCCCAGTCACCTATCACTTGAGTTGAGCCGTTTTTTGAAAAACTCTGACTTTTTTTCCTGCAACAGACCATGAAACAAGGTTAACTTCAAGTATATTTTTTTGGAATGAAGATCTGAAAAATTGAGGAAAACATTGAGCCAGCAAATGTTTCTTGAGCCCGTGTCTTTTTTCTTTTTTTATGATATAAACTAAATTTTTTCCCAAAACACTTTTTTTCATCGGGTTCCTGGTTTTGGTGAACCCATTCAATTGATCATTGATTTGAAAAATACATTAGATCTAGATGAAAGATCATTTTTTGCAAACTTAATTCTGGAGTCCAGTTAAAAACTTTCTTTCTTTTTTTTGAACGAAAGTTTGATGAAATAATCGTAAAGTACTGTATTTTTTGTCTCCCAGCTTACAGTAGTTTTTTTTCAAAAACAATAATGGAATTCAAGAAGCATATAGTCGAACTTTCCAAGAAGCATGCCAAGAAAAAAGGGCTCTCTAAACTTCAACGTGGACTAGACTCGCATCATACTTTTCATTGTTCAACGGAAACCGTACCAGACGGATAGAATCACTGCGGCCGGAGCCACTTGACTTCCGCGGTCACACAGGCACACTTATCCGTCGGATTTGGAGTGAGAATCACCACGTGAAATCTTTTTTCGTACATTATGTCAACAGATACACATCATGCCAAACAATATTTGATTTTTCGCTTCCAAATCACACCAAAAGCAACGACGATTCTATCTGGTTCTGCGACTTTTTCCTCATCCGATGGTGAACGACCAATGATCGACAAATAGCAAATAAATATGACGTGGTTGAATTTTTTCGAAAAATTCCTGTGTCATCGGAAAAGGACGTTGAACAGAAGCAGAATAAATCCGCCCAATTAAAGTCACTGGCTAAATTTTCATCTTTGACGAGTTATTTACAGCGGTTTGAAAATCATTGAAGAGTTCACTGTGCAGAATTACGAAAAGTTACTCCCTTTCAGCTTATAGATTAAATTTTTTTGAAATTTTTTTCAAAAATTTTTTTAAATGGACTTGGATCCGAAAAATCTTTAATAGTAAAAAATATGTGGAGAAAATTCCAAATGTTTTGCTAAAATGATTTCCAATGTCATGAGGAGCGGTTCGTGATATCAATGTCTAGGCCAGTTACTCCGAAAAATCGCAACGAAACTAGAAGAGGTCCCTTTAGCGCTGTTTGGTGGCTGCCAAACTAAAAAACTGGAGTAGTTCCCGACTTTTTAAGAGCACAAAAACGTTTTTGAAGAAACGATGCGGTGAAACTTTCAAATTTTTCTTCAGCTCTCCTCATACCTAACTAGCTAAGGCAAAAACTACTAAGACAATTTCTAAACCTTATCCCTTGGCGTTTTCCAGCTTATCATGGGAAAGTTCTAAACTTGTCTTAAGACATGAGGGTCTGATAATGATCTTTAGCTTACTTCTCGAGACGAGCTCCACAATGGTCTTTTTCCGAGTATTAAAAAAAAGAGCACAATGACTAAACGTGAGTCCAAGCCATTTCAACTCGAATAGTGATGGAGTTATCGTCTGGGCCTCCCTACTCAGAATTCGACAAATTGACCAATGCCAAACCGTCTAATTCGACCGACTGCAAGGTGGTAACAATAGCATGTTCAGCTCTTCTTGAGAACATTCTCAATCTTGAACTCAATGACCGATTCATTAGGCCAAAAAGTTGGTTGACGGGATGCTCCGCGGCACGCGAGATTCATCCGAAGAGAAACTCCAGAAACCACCGGATCGTACGAATTGTGATAAAAGATGAACATCCAAAATCAACTTTTGCATTTTCAAAATAAATAATCGCTTTTTTTTCAATGTTTTTGACTCCAAAAACTTGCCAAAACGCCGGGTTTATTTGTAATGAGCAGAATAAGTAATACATTTTGTAAACCTTCTGTAGGTCCTAAATGCAATAACTCTGAACTCTTTCCAACTAATATTTTGGTTCTCCGAATTCGGTCTATCTGTTTTCGTAGGATGAGACCCAAAAAATTAAAAACCGCTTCATTTTTGCGCCAGAGTTCGTCCACCATGCCAATTTGTTTGCTCATCGCAGGAACGAAACCAATGATCCAACCAGGGACACGAGAAAAGAAAAAAACTCGAGAGAAAAGGTGTCTGATTCGACGGCCCATCGGTGAGCCGACACGAGCTTAACCTCAGTGGCGCCGTCGGGCAAATATCGCCCGTATGGAAATAAACTCCTTGCAAACTATGTGTATAGAGTTCGGTTTTCTTCTCTATTTTTTTCTTCGGCTTGCAACATGGATGTTTCAAAACAAATTGTTCATCTTCCCGGGTGGAAAGTAGTAACACCAAAACTCAATCTGAGATCCTATCCCTAAATAGGTCGCAGGTCAAGCCTGCGGCGTGCCTATGGAGTTCGAAAAGAAGCGATATGTCAACCAAGTAAAGGACAAGAAAAACTGAGCACTCAATTATGAAAAATAGGAATACATGTCCTTTGATCTCTAGATAAATATACTTAGTTAGAAAATCCTGCAACTCGAATAATTAAAAAAATTCGACGGTCATTAAAAACATTATTTATTTTTGAATGAACTTCATCAATAAAGAAAACCAGTTTCTGAAATTAATCTGAATTTCCAAAATAAAGTATAATAGACAAGTCCGATGCGAGTTTTTCGTAGAATTTTTTAACTAGTTTACCTGAGTTTAATGCTATTACTAATTTCGGTGGGCCAATCCATATTCTTCTTCGTGAATGTGTTCAAATTGTATCTTTAAGTTCTTTCTTTCCCAAAAATAATAAATTTTGATTTTGAAAGAAGCTCTGATAAATAAGACTTGAAGTTGTCTAGCCGATACAAAAAGGAAGACGGTTAAGCCTTCGACGAAACCGATCCGATCTTTCCAAACGGCTCAAAAATACCTCAGAGGTTTAAGAGCCGGTGGCGCCGCCGAGGCGACCGACTCGCCGACGCCTGCGAGTAAACAGCGACGGTCGCGTCGCAGAGCCGTCGCGTGACTTTCCCTCGGGGGGACGACATCACTCGTCCACCTCTGCTCTTCTTCTTCGATACATTGTCTGTAACAAAAAGGAAGCGTTCACTGGTTGTTTGCCTCGGTTGCCGCCGAGTATTTTTAGTCATCAACGCCCTTTTTCTGGACTGTTTCGGCTGAGTGTTTACTGTTTGGGCCGATTTGTGCCCTTTTTTTTCTCGACTGTGCTCGAAATACCAAAATATCAGAGAAGAGTTGTTTGGCACTCGGCCAGTGATGGTTTGATTTATTGGATTTGGGCCCAAGCTTTTAAAGTTCATTCATCAAGTGTCCAGCCTTTGTCGCTGAGTTCTGAGTGGCTTTTTCCATGCAGAAAACTTTCTTTCAGCTTTTCGAAAATTTAAAATAGCCTTCAGAAAAAAAATAACGAGAGTTTTTACGTCCTGATTTTTGAATAGAAAACCATGAAAGTAAGATCGTCATGAGGAGACTATAATATTTTGTATTTTCGCACTCATACTCAGTCAATTGAAATACAAACTACGTCTCGACTCGCGCTCGACCAGTGATGATTAAAGCTATTTGGTAAATATCGGAAATATCTTCGGTATTTCAAGTCGAGAATTCTTATTATATAAAGAAAATTCAAGCTGAAGTTCATCCAGAACTTTTTGAAAGAATAATATAACTCAAATATTGAAAAACAACGCTTTCCATTCAGAAGCTCCAAAAAAACGACTAACTTCGATATTAAATAATCTTTTGAGGGATTTTGCTCTCTGAATTAAAAAGTATTTGTTGATATCTGAGAATCTCTTCGAAAAAGCTTGGTCCAAAAACCAGCCACCAAAATTTGAAAAACTCCGGGAAATGTGAGATATCGGCTGGCCGCATTCCATTCCACAATCCGAAGGATTTGTATTTACACTTTTCGTTATAAAAACTCAAAAATCGGCCAAAGAAAACCTTTGTTCAAATAAAATTGCTGGCGAATCACACGATTTATCCGCAAACTGTCCTCCAACACATGCTTGCGTCACAAATTATATAAACTCTAAACCGACTTTCGAATAAACAAATATTTCTCACATAACTTTAGCATTGATTTTCACAGTCGGGAAAAAAGATTAAATTTCATATCATTTATTTCAAGAAAGCAAACATTTACAAAAACAGTCATGCTCAGGAAAAATTATTTGAAAGGAAAAAAAAACCTGGATACCAGTTTCGAAAAGATTGAAAAAAGCGAACAGATGTCAACTAAACAATCTATAGTTCGTGTAACACGTGAAATATTATACAACATAAGCACCCGCAAGTGGGAAAAGCGAAAATTATAAATTTACAAATCTTGGAGAGGAAAAAAATAAAACAAAAAATAAAGGCAAAGTAGTACATTGACACAATCTAACCATGAATAAATTTTACAGAAAGGATGATAAAATAATAAAACTTTCTCTACGTGTACACAACTACACTCGCATAATATCGAACCGTAGGATGGAGAAAAAGAGAACAATAGGAAAGAGAAAGAAGTGGCGGGAAAGTTGTGAAGGAAGCTTTATAAAACATACACGCAAAGTAGAAAGAGAGAATGAAGGCTTAAATAGACGTGGTCCAACGACGCTCGGTGTTGTCAGAGAGTTCGCCGGCGGTTGCGCAACTTTCGTCTTCGTCGTCAGTTGCGTCGAAACTCTCCCATTTTTTGTCGATGGAGATGATCTTGAAGGTGTTGGAGAGCGTCGCGATCGGCTCCGTCACCGCCTTTTCCTTTTTGAGCGAAAGCCGCCGGTTGGCTGGCTCCGATGCTGTGCGACACGGAACTGAAAATCAACTTTTGAAATGGAATATTCGAATTGAGAATGAGACGGTAACTGATTGAAAAAAGAAACTGGTGCGTGTTTCAAACAAGAAAATGTAAAGCGTTTTGGAAATGATGAACGATTTTTTAAAATATTTTTTCTCTTCATAACATGTAGCATGAGTTATAGAAATTCTTTTTGGAAATGAAGACTTTCGCACGCAAGTCGAAATTGAAAAAAAAATTGTCCCTGTTTCGTCTAACTTCAGTGTACGAGGGAATTATAAGAAGATCAGAAGCTCAAGAACGTCATCCGAAAACCAGAAATACACAGGAACGCATGAATAATCAGAACAAAATTCAAAACAAACGACAACCGCATGCCGCAAACGAAAAAACTTGGCAAACGGGATCGTGACACATTTACCAGGAAAAATGCGAAATATTCACCTTCTTGGTCTTGTTTCCTTTTCGATTGGCGAATCACACTGCGGCGGATGGCCCCGTAGCCATTCTGCGTGGCCGTAGAAGGCGACGGCACGAAGAGGGACGACTGGCTGTACGTATTCTGCTCGGCAAGCGTCTTCGCCTCTTGATTGTGATTCTCGTCAACGTCCTCAGCAGATCCGCGATTACGGCTAGGCCAGACGAACCATTTTGGTCCGTTGGGAACCTCGATAACCTATAAAATACACTCTTTCATCAAAAAATAGAAAAAAGATCAAACAACGTAGGCACGAGTCACGAGTTACCTGGCGTGCATAATGTGAGCCGCCGAAAAAAACAAAAAGGTCGAAAAGTGATATTTTGGGAAGAAAATGAACTCACTTGAAAACGGAAATCGCGTTTGGGACGCGAGTTGGGGACAGCATTCGCCGTCGACTGGACCGGAACTTCAGTCCAGCGATACTTGGACGAAGCGCTCGCGTCGTTGTTATTCATACATACTTCCATCATGCTTGCAATTTGATCCTGAAAATAAGACATTTGAAAAAAAGAGTGAAAATTTTTAGTTTTACGGAGGGGAAAATGATTTAGAGAAAAAGACACTCGGAGCAAAAAGAAGAAAAAAATATGTAAAAAAAGAAAAAAATAGGTTTGAAACTCATAGACCACAAAGCAATTTTTTTTCTGATGATAACTGATGGAAACATTTTGAAATTTATTATAGTCAAAGGCCACATTTCTCCGTGAAAAACAGCTGAAAAAAAACCAAGTTATCCAATTCCGAAAAAAAAATTGACGAAAAAAGACCACAAATTATGTGAGAGCCTCCCGTTTTTTTCTTCGTTATTTTTTTGGGGATTATTTCAAAAAAACAAAACAAAAAAACAGAACAGGTAATTATCTTCAAAAAAATAACAAAAAAAGATGTTGGAATTTCAATAAATAATTACGTGAAAAAAATTAAATAAGAAAAAAATAACTAACATGATCTGCGTAGTAAGTAGTTTCAGTCCAGCGGTTACGAGACATCGAACAGAGAAAGCAACAGATTTTTTCCAACAGGAAAGAAAAACCGACTCTCAAAGGAGCAAGATCAAAGTTGAAATGCTATCGCGCCAGGATATCTTTACGCGATCCGCTCATAATCCTTTAATCCTAGGTTCGCAGAAAAGCTTTGTCGGTGCTTTTTATTATTATGATTTTTTTGTTTATGGAAATTTATGATGACGACTTCGGGATCTAATGAGAAAAAAAAATGAAAAGAGTTAATGTTTACGTAATTTAAGTGATGGATACCAATAAAGATAAGTTAGAGCGAATAATTACAGAAAATGGGGAGCTAATAATAGAGGAAATGAGAAAAAGTAAGGAGCAAAAAGTTAGAAGTCCTATTTCTAGAGAACAAGCCGGGGATTCCGGTGGAAAACGAGAACAACCAGCTTCTCCGTTCGTATCGAGGCGGACAGACTGGCGGGGTTATTTCCTCTTTTGTGCAATTCAAGGGAACGGCGGGTGTTCGAGAAGAGAAAAGAGACTTGAAAAGAGACGCAAAATGAGAAAAGAGCTCGACGCTGAAAGCCACTTTTTCCGCACTTTCCCACAAATTTTCTAGTTGCTCTTCTTTTTTTTTTGCGCGCCATGACCTTTGTTCAAAAGTTGCGATTTTCATTTGAGAAAAGAAAAGTGAAAAATTGGATGGGAGCGAACGCTTGACATGCCAACGCGGAACATCAACGTCGCCGTAAAAAATGCTTGAGGCGGAGTTTGAGGTCAGAGTGGGCGGAGCTATAGTTCGCGTGACGATTAGAGGAGGCTAGGAAATGAAAAAAAAAGTATTGGATTCGTTGAAATGATTAGAAATTACGGTGTGCCATGGCTAGGTTCTATTATTAGCTGTAATTAAAACGAATGAAGGCTGTGGTTCTCCAAAAAATGTCCTTTCAAACACGCGAACTCTGAGTTTTTTCAATAAATTGTCTAGGAAGTGGAGAAATAGGAGAACGAGGAAGCCTTCATAAAAGGCTTCATTACAAGAGTGTTTCTAAGTAGTCCAATGAGAGTTCTGAGTAGTTTATTAGGACCTAACTTATGCGTCGAGGTGAGTAGAAGTAAAATTTTCGTCAGATTCATAAAATCTATAAGATTCGGACTAATATCGGAAGTAAAGCAAAAGAAGACCTCAGAGCCTTTGAATTCAGAGCGGAAAGCTGATATTTATCAGAAACAGCTTCTACTCAATTTGGACGGAAAAAAACTTAAGCTAAGAGGATCTGAAGATTCAAATTCAGAACTAGAAAAAGTTTGACTTTATTTAGAGACTCTAACTCTTGCATGAAGATCTGGATTATTCACTGAAAGGACGTCTCAAGTCTCAGCAAGAAACGGAGGACTGAGCCGAAGGTCGAGACCGGTGGGTAATGGCTGCTGAGAGGAATCAACTGGTATTATACTTCTCGGGGCGGCGCCGGCGGCCCTGGCGCCAGCGGCAAACCGTGGCGGCTGGAGGCGTGGCCTGGTTTGGTGAGCGAGGCGGAGACGACCGTTTCGGCCTTTTTTCATGTGATTTCGAGGCAAGAGTCGAGTCGCAGGTGCGTCAACATGCTCGTCGAGTTCTTTTTTCAGTCAAATTAATAAGTTGAAATTGCGAGAAAAAAGTTGAGGAAGTTTTACAAGAGCAAAAGATGATCGACGGTATTATCTCAGACTTATCATTTTCCTAGACATGTCTAACTATTCAGATCGTTGAAAAAGATCGTAAATGTCACTTTAAATTTGACAGGGTACAAAAAAGAGTTGGAGGCTAGTACCATTAGACTGGCACGTCACTAAAGATTTGGAAAAAAAAAATGAATAGACGACAGGGTTTCATTATTCCTGACTGGGTGCTTTCAAACTTTGAGAAGCTTTTTCAGAGGGAATAGGTTACCTACCGTAACATAGTAATTTAAAAAATTAAAGGTGCAAAAAATGATGAGCATTTCTCAATGAGGATATCAGATCATTTGAGATTTTTTTAAAGATATTTTTGTAAGCTGCTTAAAATTTTTTTCATTCTTCGAAGTCTCACCTCAGCTTTACAGAACTGATCAAAAAGGATCAATATTAAATCTCAAAATTCTTAAAAAGATCTTTATCACCTTCAATCTAGTTAGAAGTTTTTTTTTTCAAGAGTGTAAACACTAAACACCAAAGTCAAGTAGTAGCAACAAGCTGAAAAAAAACTTCTTTCTCTCTGTTTCGTGTCCGGTCGCAGAGTTCAACAAGTCCTGGCAATTTTCTCTGTTTTGTTCTTTTCGGAAAACAGTTTGACGGTCCGTCGCCACATGATGAGCTCCGATAAGAACCTTGAATCACAGGTTTCTGGCAACGATTTCGGTCGTCGTTTTTGGTTGTGATCTTTGTGATAAGTTGGTACGCTCCGGTGGTTAAAACTAGACTCAAGAAACTTTTGGCGCAATTTATCGTTTGGCTAGCGAAGATTCTGGAAGTTTTTTATTCCACTTTGATCCTAATTGTCATCTTTCACATCGAAAGCATTGTACAGGACGTCAAAAAGGAAAACAAAAGGTTGCTTTTCGGTCACGTTGAAAAAAAAAACATGCTCTTTAGAGAGATTATTTGGAATTATCCACTACAGGCAAGGAATAACTTCGAAAAAACAATGAAATAAAGTGCACTTCCTATGTAAATATAACGATAAAATGGGCAAAGTGCAATACGAATTATAGTTTGAAAAGTTCAGAGTATGGTAGAGATTAAACTGAAACAGGAATGAAGAATGTTAACCGCAAAATTTTGACCTATTCAAAGTCGAAGAAAAATAGTCAGCCTTCTTCCTTCTCAGCGATACTTTTCAAGAAGGAAACCAAATTAAGCTAAAGTGTCGGCGTTCGTCTCCAGCAACAGACCGGAATAATACAGCTGAATTTAATTAAAGCTCCAGTAGTGGTAGAGGCCTAATGACTGAAGCGCGGAGGCTCATTTAGCTGCAAGCCACGATATTGTTGTGCGGGATGCGATGGAATTCGTTGAAGAATTCTTTGTCCCTCGGTGACGCCATAGCGGCTCGTTGGAATTGGCAGAGTAGTTCGCGTGGGGAGCACGTCGTATTTCTAAATTTGGCACCGACCTTTTCTCTCTCGGTTCTGCCATTTTGTACGTTTCTGAGCTTCAGACAAACTCTTTGAAAAGCAGTGACTGGAAAAAATATCCAGTTTAGTGGATTTTGAGAATCTTTAAAAAACGATAGAAATCCTCACAATTCTCAACTATTTATTGTTCCAGTTCATTTTCCAATAAAAATTCATTAGAAAACTTTATTTCTATACGCTTTTTGCACAAACCACAGTGAAGAGATAGGAATCTCTCATTTAATCAGATTTTCCTATTTATGCTAACTTTTTTTCTTTTATCTTACAATTTACCTTCCAGGAAGCGGCTTTCCGACAACCTTCGTCCAATAAGCTATTGGAGAGAACATCGGCAAAAACATGAATGTAAATCCTGAAGTTGTCTTCGGCTACGTAGGATAAGACAAGCGTGAATAATTCATTGCCTCTAATTTCTTAGGCAAAAAAAAACAAGATAGAAACACGCAGTACATTGTAGGGTCTAGTGCGTAATTGTACTGCTTGCGTCAGGAAAAAAAAAAGTTGCATCGGCCGGGAATCGAACCCGGGCCGCCCGCGTGGCAGGCGAGCATTCTACCACTGAACCACCGATGCTACGCTTGGAAAAGCTTCGGAGAGCGTACTATTGCTCGCATACTTGCTAGTTTAAAAGAGAAAAAGGTCCACCAAACATTAAATTAAACAATACATGTTTGCATCAAAAAGTGTTGTTACAAAAGGAGAAACATATCACATATAATTTTTATTTTTACAGCAATTGAAAAATAGTCCAACCAACACATTCCTCTCGCTCAAGCAGAGCAAATACCGTGTTTATTTGGCACAGGACGGAAGATTTTTGTGTTTCGGAAAGATGTGTTTGTAGACGATTGCGTGGGCTTTTCACAACCAAAATAACCCTTGTTTTTCAACTGATTATCGCAATTGTCAATGGACTTTGAAGAAATCAGAAAAAAGCACACGGCTTTCCACGAAGTCACGAATCGGCGTGGGTTACAATTTCGAAAAGAGAAAGTCGCAACAGAAGGAGCAAGAATCTTGCAGAAAAAAGGACGAAAAAATATTCTATTAAGGAAGCGCATGTAAGACGATGCGAGGCTTCCGCGTTCTGGTTCCACTGGTTTCTTGGCGATTCCGTGGAGAATTGCTTCACCACTCGATTGTTTTCAGTGGTATATATATGAAAAATAGCTTTAAAAAGGCTTGTTCTTCCTGATTCGGGAAAAAATTAGGCCTACCGTAAAAAACAAAATTCAAAGTTCTCAAACTTATTTTTTGCAATTTTGAGTTGAAAAGAAGAAAAAAACTTGAATAGTAATAGTACGCAACAGCTTTTTTAAAATTTCGAACACAGTTAGCTGAGATTTTTGAAACGCAGAAGTGTAATTTAGTTTCAATTACACGAAATCCATGAAGTTCCAGTCATTCTGTTCGCTAAATTATATCAGTGAAAACTTTTTCCGGATGGTTCTGTTTGTTAGAATTCTTGGGAGCTCTTGAATTTCCCGATAAGAACTTTCCGCGAAGAAACAAAGAAAATTCCAGAAAAAAACGCAACCTTATCAATGATATTCGGTCATTACCCGTGTTCCTTCCCGATACCGCGTGGTTAAATTTTGGCGGTTTGATTTTGACTGCTATGAACTTTCAGAGAATAAAAAACAGGTATCTGGTGATTACTTTTCTCATCAGTCGAAACCAAATTTCTACGTTGTTCTATTATTTTTAGCAGAGTTCTACAGAACGCACACGATGGTTAGGTGGTCAAGAAAACTGAATCCGATTAAATTTCTTTCACCATTTTTCCTTAAAAAATGATTTGAAGCCTTTGATTCGATTGAGCTCATTTTATCGCTTCTAGAGGGCATCATTTGGAGATGAATGAAATCTAACTATTAA